TTTTGACTAATATAATCAAATCATAAACAGTTTCTTTAATAATTATTCTACTTTCGTTTGGAGCTGTTACAAATTCCTCATCAGTTATAGATAAATAATAAAATTTTTATATTAAGAATTCTTCATTTCAATTAATTATGCCTCTTGCTAGAGCCGCTTCTTAAACGGCTCTTTTAAGATGCTTGCAATGTTATAAGTTTATATTCTATCTTTTAATAATAACAGCGTTTTTAATATGCTACCTTAAAATGATGACCCAGGAAAATTTTTTAAAAATCTCAGTCGCATATTAAATTTTTTTGCAATATATTGGTAATGCATTTCATTTCAGGGGAAAATCTTAGATCTATTATGAAAAGATATGGGCCACTGGCGGAAGATCATGCCATATTCTATGCAGAGGAAATCGCGATTGCGTTAAATTATTTACACGACAACGGTTTTAACAATATTATTATATTATCAAAGTTAACTTTTAATAACACAACTTTTAATTAAACAAAATGATAGTTTTTCAAATATAATCGTATATTTCTATCTTTTAAGAGATCATTCATCGCTATCTTCACCCTGAAAATAAACTCTTAGATCGTAAGGCCATGCCATACCTACGACTATGGAGTATGTAAGGTATATGCAATAAATCATTTTAAAAAAGATAAGAAATAAGAACTTAGCATCGATATAACTATCGTAGGCCGGGTGCCGCTTTCTATCGTTGTCAGGTGGCGTAAAGTACACCGACTTAGAATTTTTAAAATATATTAAAAAATATTTTAAGAAAATCTAAATATAAGTAGTAATCAAATAAACACAACAGTAAATTTTCTTTAGTATATTTATTGAAATTAACTAATTATAAGATCTTTATTGAAATGAAAACTATATTTATTTTTTAATTATTAAGTTATCAAAATAACCGAACAACAAAAGATCAGTCGTATCAAGATCTAGCATCTATTTTTGATCCATCTATTTCGACCTCTGCCGTTTTATATTTTAGATTAATTATTATTTCTTTTATTCTTTTAATTAAATTTTCGACCAAAGGTATTCTTTTAAATACCATAAACTGTTACTAGATTTGTAAACCATGGTCTAATAAGTTGTGTTTATATTCACCACAAAATCTAGCACCCTTTCTAACCAACTCTATTTGTTAGAATGTTTAAAATATAAGAATTCCAAAGAATTTTCGAAAAAGTTATTTTTTATATCAAAATCATTAATACAAACATTATCTGTTTAAAAAAATAAAAATTATGGTATCTTTTATAGTTTTAGCTTTTTGATTGATTGAAACCCAGTCGGGGCAGATCTGTATTTGATAAAATTTAATCAGAGTTTGAAATTGTTACAAAATACCTGAAACCACGAAACCAATAAGAATATATGAACCACTATATGGAACCTTAAATTTCCATGTCATTAAAATTATTAGAAACTTTGTCATTCCTAAAAAAGAGTTTGAAATTGGAACCATACCCTATAAGAAAAAAGATTGAATTAAATGTTGTTAATAACCTTTTTATTATATACGTTTTTAAATTTACATACGAAATTTTCTTATAACTCAAATTACTGATGAAATTTCTCGCCAAGTGTATGTTAATTCTTATTAAATGTAGTAGGTATCCAAGAAACATTATTAAAATTAGTGACCATTTTGTGTAAAAATAACTTTATTATTAAAAGTCGAGGAGAAAATTCTAAGCTAATTTCGTTGAGCTAAGACGAGCTAATATTAACGGTAATTAAATTAGGAGGGCTTAGCGAAAGGGGAGAAAGTGAACACATTCTGTGGGACAATCCCATCTATGGCGCCCAAAATTTGGCATGGTGAATAATATGGTAAGCCTTTTGGATTACACTTTTATATTTTCCTATCTCGTATTACAGATTATTTATTATTTTTATACAAAATATTTAAATTAAACTTTAAGGATTTTAATAATTAGTTTTAAAATAATTTATAAGGTTTAGCTAAGATTTAAGAATTATTATATAATGAATCATCTACCTTACAAAAAATTTAATCTTAATTAAGAAAGATTTTGGTGTGGATTGGTATTCGCTCGGTGTACTTCTTTATGAATTTCTAGTGGGCCCTGTAATTTTTCGAGGGTCGATAAAGCGACCTACACTACTATCAAGGTTCAATTTGTCTTAAATTTTTTTTTCATAAATATTCAGTTTATTTTGTGAATTATTATTATAAATTTTATTTATAACATAAAATTATGTTTAATATTTTTCTTTAAACTTTAACCAGAAAGGTTTTCCGGTCCTTGGCATGTGTCAGTCGAAGCCAATTCTATGAGTGGACATCTCAATATAGTTTGTTATATAATTAGTGAATTAAATAAATAATAATTTTATAAGATCCCGTGGAAACTGGTTTTGTCGATATTACATCCCATTCCTTTTTCGCTTCAATTAATTGGAATAGGGTAAGAAATGTGTTTTTAAATTAAAATAACTATATATTTAAAATTTATTAAAATTTTTTATATCTCTCTACCTTTTAGCTCCGAGATCAGCAATTGTAGACACTATTCAAACCCCCCAAAAAATCAAATTTTTATTTTTAAACTATTTCTTCGATACTTTGCTCTATTTATTATATGTTAAAGAGTTAATGTGATTTAAATTATTTCAAAATCAATAAATATTATAAAAAAAATTCTTATTTTCTCGTTGAATTTATGCTTATATTTATTTTAGGTTTAAACATAATGTGGTAAACTTTACATAAATCAAGGAACGAATCACGTTGTAGGTGTTTTCTTTATTAGAAATCAGGTATAGATTAGAAAATCCTGCAAGTTTCACCCAAAAGCGTCGGACAAATGTATAGATATAAAAATTATTATCACTTTATTGTGCTAATAAAATACAAACAAGTACATACCAATTTTCAAAAAAAGAACCAGGTCGGATTGGACTGACGGTCCCACGATCAGGTCTTACTTGACTTAACGGTCCATCTGTCTGATTTCATTTTAGAAAAAGGACAACGGACGGGATCGAACAGTTTCAAACACTATTGAAAAAAGGTTTACTCCTTAAATAGATAATACAATAGGTATTAAAAATTACGCAGTTTTTCTACCCTAATCAACAAAAATTATTGAATATACTTTTAACGGATATTTAAAGAAAAACGTATAAATTTTACTATAAATTATCATTTTTTATTTTTCAAAGAGATTGTTATTTAAAGGTATTCTATTTTAATTATTTAGCAACTTTGTTTCAACAGTTGATGAAGAAAACAATGTGTTATACTTTAAAAACGCCTTTTAATAGTTTGAGTACTTTTTAGCATATTAAACCTTTTAATAGTTTGAAAACTTTTTAGCATATTAATTCGATTATCATCTTTATAAAGGTAAAATTCACAAATTTGAAATTTATCATTTTTGTTTTTAAAAATCTACGGACTTTTATATTTAGAAATTTTTATTGAAACAGCTTCAGATATTATCAATTATTTTAAAATATTTGGTCTAGATATTGATTCAACAAATCTAAGCTTAAAATATGGGGTAAAATATAGCTAGAAAGCTGAGTTTTTGTCGCATACAAACTTTAAAAAATTGGAAAATCAATCTTTTATTGTATCATTAAATTAAAACCGAAAAAAGAATATAAACATGTATAATTTGTATTTTGTTAGTAAAAAAAGGGGAAAATAAAGAGTTCCTTAAAAAATTGGGCAAATCCATTGGTGTCTATTCTATAGCATTCATTAATATGGTTTTAATGTTCTCTTCGCCTATATTAATAATATGAATGATCATCGAATTGATCTCACGAATGTAGTCATCATTTTTTCCCCTAAATGAGACTCCTCCGTTTTTAACAAATTTTACGCTAAAAAAAATTGTTGAAAATGTGCGGTTATTAAAACTTTTCTTTGCATTTTTGTATTATTGGGGTAAATAAAAAACACACAATTATTAGGTTAAATAAAACTTTTAAAGTTTATCGCAAATGTGACTTTTATTGAGAAAGCCTATATCCTGATTTTTTTTAGATTAATTATAATTACATAATTACAATTCCTTTTTTAACTTAATTAATATAATAAAAAAAAATTAAAGTAGGATTTGATTAAAAATTATCAAATGAAGTTATAGTTTAGAAAGAATTTTTAAATTGCTGATAAACTTCCTAGCATATTAATTCGAACTTAAATCACCTTCTATAATAATTGACATAAATTCAATATTAATATAACACCCTTCCACAACATAAAATTTTAATGTTCACAAATTAAACTAAATTCCAAAAAAACATTATAAGGTATTTATTTGAATATAAGGTAATTTTTTAAACCATATTGATGTATAATTTGCATTTTTGGAGGTTTTAGTGAGGGGTAACTTCGCCCCGTGGCTACGACATTGAGAGAATGTATATTCTAGGAGTAATATTAAATTATTACCCTCTAATATTGGTATAAAATGAATTTACCAGTTATCATTCACATCACAAATTTTTTAATTTAACAAAATTACTTACGTTTTCTGAGTCCAAGTTAAAATTTAAAGATTACTCTCATGTTCCCGTCAAAAAAAATGAATGAATGATTGCATAATAGTTGTATACATTTTGAAAAATATATTAATGAATATAATTAATAAGCATTTTTCATAAATTAATAATTTAATTTAAGAAAAGGAATTATAAATGTAATTGTAATTATAACTAATTCCTAATTACAGGCTTGAAAAATGGAATTAATTATAATAACCAAATGTGAAATTTATTACAGTTTTACTAATTACAAAAGGAATTAGAATTATGGAACTAATTACTCTCCAATAGTCTAACAATAAAATCCTATAATATATATAGTTTTTTATTTATATTAATCATAATTTTTACATATTATTTCAAATACTCTCAAAAAAATATTTTTTAAATTACAATTCATAGACAAATAATTTTTGAAACAAAAAAATATATTATCATAATTCATTAACTCCCATTATATACAAAATTAATGATAATAAGAGGGATCACTCAAACCCCGCCCATATATGCCCCACCTCGTTAAATAATAAAAGTATTTTAGAATTAAATTTAAATGTTGAGAATTTAATTTGTTTTTTACACGGAAAGAAAAAAAAATCACAATTTTAATTTTTTTTCCCTCTCTATAATTTCATAATCAAATATTTGAATTTTTAGGGCGAGGCCATATGCCGATGATAGAATTTTCTATTTCGCAATCGTTTTGTCCTCTAAGTATTCGGAAAGTTCCATTTTCACCCCATTCTTGACCCCAGGAATTGGCGACAATCTATTTAAATATATATTATATGGGGATGGGAAGAAACCATATTTTCGAAAAAAATGCTACGATTTTTATGGAAAATACAATCTAAACAATCATCTTTCAACTCATTTATTTTGTTAAATTGTGTATTTTTTAATAAGAAAGTAACATTTATAGATTAGATTTTTGGGTTTTTCACAATTTAAAAAAAATATTAAATCTAGTTTTTTATTTATTTTTAAAAAAAAACAGTTGTTCCTGTTTTTTCCATCCTAATATATATACTAGAGAGCTGCAAAACCCGGCCCACACGGCCCAAGCCTAGACTAAATAGAATTTAATCCGGGCTTATTTTAACTAATATCGGGTCGAACGTCCTAATACCTTTTTAAAGGAATTTAGGCCAGGCTTAAATTTTTAAATGTCATATTCAATTTTATGAAATAAATTGATATGTTTAGTACAATTTTTGCAAGAAGCAAGGAGCCAATATTTTTTATTAATAGAATATTATTTTTATAATTAAAGAGATATTAAATATTTTTTTATAATAAATTCGGGCTAGGCCCAGCGAAATAATCTATATTTTAACTTGGGGTCGGGCTTTTCGGTGTTAATAAAAAAAAATTAAATCTCGAAATCGGGCTAGGATAGACAAATTTTTTAAAAAAGATTCTGGGCAGGCTTGAAAAATTAGTTCCTATAAGATTTGTAAAAATTAAAATATTAAAATCGAGCTTAAACATTATCTGATTCAGACATTTAATATTATGTTAACCGAGGCTAAACAGATTTTAAACTGGGACACTATCTTAATATTTTTTAAGTATTTGGTGCTATTGTTATTTTTCGTATTTATTTTCTCGTTTTTTTTGTCGTTTTCTTTTCGTTTTTTTAAAAATTTTCTTTTTGCTTTTTAGGTTGTTTAATCGAAGCCAAATAGCCAGCTAAAAAGAGTCTATTTAGTAATAAGTCGAACCAGAATACATTCTAAAGGCTGATTATCATGTAAAATAGGTTTAATTTTGAGAAAAGAAGTGTCACAATCATATTTCATGCTTTATTAATTTAAAAAAATATGTATTTACAGTTATAGTGGAATATTTTAAAAATTAATTTTTATGGTATAGACCAGTTGATCAAAAAGTTAATGGGATATCATTTTGTTATTCAGACTTAAAAATTATTTGTATTGAAATTGAATGGGAAATTGCAAATGTAGATTCAAAGAGTGGTAAAATATGTTCGGCCCGACATGATTGCCTTATTTCTTTATATCATTATGCTTTTATTGGTAAATTATAACTATATCACAAATAAATTTGTAGAGATAGTCACCCTCTCAATTTGCAATATTAATATTATATAATAATACATATTATTTTACCCAATATTTCGTCTTTGGTGGTTTATCCAATTGTCCCCAGCTATTTTCAAAATTATTTGTTTTTTTAAAAAAAAATTATAATTTACTTCTTTTATCTAGATAAAAGGATAAAATTAAAATTAAATATGTTAGGATAGGATATGACCCAACAAATACTGTAATTTTACTCTTTCATTCTATACGTTATATAAACATTGACGTCAGGAGAAACAAAAGGATGCAGAGTAACATTAACAATATTTAAATTCTTCTTTAGCAATTTTTACTAAACAAACCCTAATTATTCAGAGCCAGTGGAGCCAATGTTTTAAAATTGTAACTGAACCTTTATAATTTATAACACCTAAACATATAACCTCAAAATATAACGGGTTTTCAACTCCGTGTTTTCTACCATAATAATAATAGCAATGTTTAAATATTTTTAAATTATATTTATGTGTGTCCTATTTGTGAAAGTTTTCAATTTTATGGGGGTTATATTAGAAGTTTCCCGTCATGGGCCGGATATTTAGATAGATGAGCGGTTTAAAATAGAAAGAGTAGAGCGAGCTTATATATATATTTTTTTTTTTAAAAAAATTATTTCTCAATATTGCATATTTTATAAAGTTCAAAGTAAAAATAAAATAAAAACAAAATGAATGGATCAAATAAATTTTAAACATTTGGGCTGGGGAAACAAAATTTCGGATAGTAGACCGGTTATTTAAAAAAATGGGCGGGCACGGGTGAGTTATAAAACTTAAAATATGAGGGTGGGCTCGTTCGTATTAAAACTTCTCCCATTACAGAAATCTAATTTTTACACAATTACTCTTAATAAGGTTTTATAATACATTTAAAAACTTTTAACAAAACAATCCACGAAAAATTTGTAAACCCTAAAATTCTGACGGAATGATAAACGGAATTGTTTTTGACTGAAGCTGATTCTTTGACTAACCCATCTAGTCGAATATTTTTCTTCGATTTTCCTTTCTTCACCCTCTTTGGACATCTGTATATTCCACTTTTGTAAACGAATAAATCGGGTCTGATAACCATCGTAGCTTTAAAAAAAATTATAAATATATATATTTTTCTTTTCTTTTATTTTATTTTTCTTTCTTTCTTTCTTTCTTTCTTTCTTTCTTTCTTTCATTCATTCATTGATTCATTCATTCATCCATTTATTTATTTATTCATTCATCCATTTATTCATTCATTCATTCATTTATTTATTTATTCATTTATTATTTCTCTCTTTCATTTATTCATTCATTTTTATTTTATTTATTCATTCATTCATATAAATATTTTTTTAAATAGCTGACATCTTTACAAAAAAACCGGCATATTTATGCTAGAAAGTGACATAAATGACGCAAGCTAAGATGTAAATAAAGTAAAGTATCATAATTTACCCTGAACTGGTCCATTGGACAAAATTTCGATCCTGATACTGCTTTCCTAAAAGAAATAAAAAACATTATGTCTGCAATATTTTAGTTAAAAGGGTTATCTTTTCTTCGTTCCATTTTTTTATAAAAAATTTATTTCTTTCATATGATTAGATATGAAATTCTAGCTCCATTCTTATAAAACCAAAAATCATTTTTAATTTAATTTATTTTGCAAAATCTAAAAATGTTTTACATTTTTTGGAACTTTGTAAGGTGGTGTGAATTTTAGAAATTGGCTCTGATTCTTCAAGCAATCGGCGTTTTTGGAGACAAGAGATGAAGAATTATTAATAGGGCATTCGATATCTGCCCCAGTATAAGGAAAACATCCTTCCATTACAGTGCTATAAAAATTAAGTTTATGATACAATATTAAACTTGCAAAATATCATTTTAAACTTCAAATTTTAACCAGATTTGAAATTATATACCTTTATTCTACATTTAAAGGCTTCTGAAAGTTTATAATCATACTTTGCAAGAGTACAATTTCTCATTATTATACCGAATTAAGGATTTTAAAATTTAACATTTCCTTATCATTTTTTTTTCTTTATTAGTCGATTATCATTGAAAAGCGCACATTTAGATAAAATAAAAAAAAAATTTATCGTAATATAATTTTGAGAATATTATATATATTATACCCAAATTTCCAAAGAAATCTCCAAGCTATATCAATATGACCACCATGGCAACCCAGCTGTCTCCCCCTACCTTTGTTACATGATATTAAGTACTGAGGGGAAAGGGTTGTTAACCCTTTTCGCATACCTATTATTCCTGACCTATCACCAGCCACATCTTTTTTTCGAAAATTTTTTTAAAAGAAAAAGGTTAAAATAATCTTTTGAAAGATGAAAACAAAGTATATATATATAAAAAAAAAATTCGGTTTCTTTTCTAAAAAAAACATTATATTGATCTTAGAGACCTGCAGATCAAATCCGGATGTTTTCGGGTTGTAACTATTCAAAACTCCGCCCGTGAAGCATTATAAAGATGTATAGAACAATGGGAAATATAATGAAGTTACTTCTTGAGTAACTTAGTGAATATGAATTACAGCAATACCTCGTTATATTATGGTGAGTCACAATTTAAGGACTCGCCACATACATCATGTTTTTTTTATAAACCTGTTATTGTGTGAGCGAATGAGTGTCTATTGTTAAGCAATAATTTAAAGAAAAGTAAAAGAATAAACCAGCTGCTGATATTGCCCAAGATGAACCGCAATTCAACTGATTCCGAATAGGATTGATGTGAGGGCCCCATTTTTTCCGACTATCGAAGTTTTCGTTTAGTATTTCATCTAGATACGATATAAGGGATATAAATATTTTTTGTGTATATATAGAATTAGAAACTCGATTAGGTTTAAAAAAAAATTAAAAGAATAATCATAATAAATGATAAAGCTAGGACCAAAAAAGATTTTTTTGAATGTTTTCCCACTAAAAATCAAGGAAAAATATAAAATTTTCCCTTTTATTTTTATGCTTCCTGGGGCGAGTTCTTAATAAATTATTAAAATAATTATCTTAATTTTATTTTTATCATTTTACACAATTTTTTATCGGTTTGAATTTGAAGTAAATTGCAAATGTCTAAATAAACACTAAGTACTTCATATATAAATTATTTATATATGTTGGAATAGGATAGAAATACGCACTTTTTATTGGAATGGTAGTTTATAATTGTAGTATAATAAAAGTAGAATCATTATGGATTAGCAATCTTAATCTTGGCAAAATACAAATCTATGTTCGTATAAAAAAGTGTTATTTAAATTTATGATATTTATATTATTTATATCCTCTTTTATATGTTAACTTCAATGTGTTTTTTGGGGCAATGTATTATTTTTTTTTAACATTAAATCCATTTTTGAGAGCGATTTTTTTAAAAAATTTAAAATATATGATTTTGCAGGAATAATATTTCAGCCAATCTAGAAAGCCTGCGCTGTGATTTTTAGAAAATTTTGTCATGAACTTTTGACCTTAATATAATTTATTTCTTAATACATTTTCTATATAAACTATAAATGACTCAAAACTTGACGACAAAATTATCTGAATCTCATAGAGCAGGGATTCAAAACACCTGTAAAATCAGATTTTTTTTAAATTTAAAAAACGCAATTAAAAATATGATTTAAAGTTGAAAAAAAAATAATATCTTTTGTACGAAAATTTATTTAGACAATTTTAAATAGGAATCTATCATTTAAATATTATTATATGAATTCGAATAATAATTTTAAAATATTAAAAAATCCATTTATTTTGATATATATCCGTCTTTTTTAAAATTATAATTTTGATAATTTTAAAAAATAGAAAATTCAAATTATTGTTCGATCCAAGAGAGGTTAGATAGGTAGGCATATTATATGCTACATATGCGAGTCGCGTGGTAACCATAAAAAGCTACTTATTTTTTTAAAAAGGTGTATCCTGGTAAAACTACAAAAGGGTAGAACCGCAAAACAACACTGCTATAACCATACCAGTCTTATTGACACATTGATCTTATTAAACACTGTTAGTTTCCCAAATTTTTCCCAAAAATCAAATTGCCCACATTTTAAAAAAAATAATTTAAGTTATATTTTAAAAGAAAATGATCTTAGACACAAACGCAATATTAAATAATCAAAAAGATATTTTAAAAAAATTGAATATCAAAATGTCTTCATTAACAACGAACCTTTTCCGAGAGTTAACGCCACGTAATTCATGTCTGAAAGACTATTAGCTAAAGGCAAAACTCCTAGTTTGTATTTCTTACCTTCGGCCAGCGTGTAACCCCAGAAAGCGGAATAGTTTGAAGCTTTCCAACTTGGCATATAAACATATAATTGAGATAAAATATCGAGAGGTTTAACTTTGGTGGGTAGGAAATATTTAGGATAGGATCTAGCCCTCATCTCTCAATACCCAAAACAAAAGTTCCACAAATTGGTTTATCTTACACTAGTGAAATGTAATTTTTTTTCTTCAAAAGTATATGTATTAAAATATTTGTAAATTACCCAATTCAATAATTTATTAGAAATTAATTACATTTTACTTATGCATATTATATATAATATAACTAAATAATATTCTAGCTGCTTATTCACGAATTATAATTTTTTTAGTATCGCACGAGAAAAATGGCTAAAAGTTATAATAAGGAAGAATTTTAAAAAAAATTTAGTAATACTTAATTTTATAAATGGCATTTTATAAAAAAAAATAATTATTTTAATAAAAATTGATATAATCAAAAGCATACAATAAGTGGACCTAAAGATCTCCAATAAAATATATGGGTCAAAAAAACTTACAATATAGCGCCCCCCCCCTTAACAAAATCCAGGTATGCCTATCCCAATTCAGTCATTTATTATATATATTTTACTAAATTGAATACATAATATAACTAAATAATATTCTAAGCTGCTTATTCACCAATTCTAATTTTTTTTAAATGATGAATTTAATATTCATGAAAATGATATAAAAGGAATCAATATTATACATTTTTATTATACATACCCTTTATTAGAATTATTGATCTTTTTAATGATTTCTGGCCGTATCATGCACACAGTTGTATCGCATTTAAATATTCTATTAACTTGACATGTACTACGATAGAAAAATTTTTTGTTAGAATTTTATATTTTTATAATATTTTTTTGGGCCTATATAACCGAAAATATTAATAAAAAATGTCATAAAGTTTCTATATATTATATTAAGGAAAGTAAACAAATACTTCGTTTGTTCATTCTTTCTTTCTTTCTTTTCTTTTCTTTCTTTCCTCAAAATTAAAGTTCTCATATTTTCTGGAGAATCTCATCATATCATACTTCATTTTAATTTCCATTAATTAGAAATAATAAACCATCTGAAAGATGAAGTCAATTTATTCTCCTGTTAAATTTTTTAAAATAAGATTTTAACAAAATAAATCTGGAGAAATTGGATTAGAGAATGAACAGACACTTATGATATAAATAAGAATGACTAATATGACAATAATAAACTGTTTATTTCGAATCTTCTAATAATTTCTTGTGTAAACATAACAAAATGACTTCCTTTTTAAAAAAAATACCCTCTAATTTCTTATATTATTTTTTCTTTAAATATAAATACAAAAGTAATATTTGATTTCGCATCTTAAAAATAAAAGATAAATTAAACAAAAGAAGATTAAAAATTATGAGACAATGAAAAAAAAATTAAATATCACTTTTTTGACAATATTTTTTTTTTATTCAGACATTTTTCCGGGAAAAGATTTAATTGAATTTTTGACAAATCGCAAGGTTTATTAAGAATCATTATCATAATTAAGTTTACATTATTGGAAAAATATTATTAATATTGATTTAAAATATTGTTTTTTTTCCCTTCTTCCCTCCCCCTCTTTCACATCCTTCCTTCCTTCCCTCCTTCCTTCATTCCTTCCTTCCTTCCTTCCTTCCTTCCTTCCTTCCTTCCTTCCTTCCTTCCTTCCTTCCTTCCTTCCTTCCTTCCTTCCTTCCTTCCTTCCTTCCTTCCTTCCTTCCTTCCTTCCTTCCTTCCTTCCTTACCTTCCTTCAGTCTACAAAATTTGTTATTTTGTTACCAGAGATTGCAATTGTCCTTAAAGATAGTTCCTATATCATATGTCTCCCCTTTGTATATGCATTTTCTTCGAATGTTATCTAATACGTTTTTAAAAAATGAAAATAGTTCTCTATTTTTGACAAAATATAATATTTATTTTTAAAGATTATGCAATAATATATAGTTAGTAATAAGATACCTTATCGTATTATCTATATTATGACACGCAAGATATTATTATTTAAATGACGATTCGGACAAAATGTATTTTGAATATTCCTAAATAAAACAAAAAATAAAAACAACAATCTTAATATATCCACCTCTACAACAGCAAAAATATCAAAAATGATTTTTTTGATTCAAATTCATGGCATAATTTTGCTAGAAAAATTGTTATAAATGATTTCCATTTTCAAAGCAAGTTAAAAGACATATAAATAACCAAACAATCCACATAAATGAAAATTATTACTTAAAATAAGTATTTCATAATAAATAAAAAACAACAATCTTTCCCGTTATATTGATATTTTATATATTTTTTTTTTGAATATAAATGTCCTCTGAGAATTTTGTCATTAGTTGCATGTTATTTGGACCTTCGTGGTTATTTGTAATGTATGATAAATATGCAAAAAAATTTGAAACTATATTAGTAATTTTTAATTTCACATTCAACTTACACGAAAAAAAAATGAAAAAAAAATAGAGATCTCGGCCCGGGCCTATTTAAAAAAAAAATACTGTTCGGTCGGGGTTTCCCTCAATATTTAAAAACATCTGGAATTGGATCGGGCTTAAATTTTGAAATAAAATTTCTATAAACCGATCAGTGTAAAAAATGTATAAACATTTAAATAAATTCGGGCCACGGGGTGACAAATAACTCTTATTTTTATTATGGGTCGGGCCTTCGGGACAATAGGATGACAATTTTTGGGGATCGGGGCGGGCCGGACAGGGTTGAAAAATTAAGCTGGATGCAGATCACTAATATAAAGTAACTCTAGCCAACAGCAGGTTTCTGGAGGATCCAAATTAACTAAGTTACACTGTATAAATGGTTTGATGTTCTGAATATTTTTCCCCAAAATCCCATACCTCCAAAATTAATTTTTGAAATAGAATCTGGCTCTTTGTAACTCCTATTCTCTAATTTATCATGATTTTTTTTAATACTTATGGCTATGTCTATTTTTTTAAATTTCAAAAGTTTCAAAACTTTCACAAATTTTAAAATTTTAAGGAAATAGTAAGTCAAATTTTTGTAATTTATAAAAAGAATTATGTTTTGGGCATGTTTTCATTTTTATATTTAAAATAGCTTATTTATTTATTTTCATTAAAGTTTTGAAATTTTGAGAATTTAATTTTTTTTGATATTTTGGACACGACATAAAGAAAAGAGTTTCGTGAGGAATTTCGAAAAAAAAATATACGGGACCAAGTGGAAATCTGAACTCTAGTATGATGAGTGATAAATTTCCATAAAAAGAAAAAGAGATAAAAAAAAGAAAAGAAAGATATGAAGGAGAAATTTTCAAAATTAAATATTATTAGTTTATTTCATTAATTTAATTATTGATTTTTGTGCCTTATATTTTATGGAGTTTTTTTTTCGACTTCCAAAAGGTTTATATTGTCAAATGATCAATAATTTATGTTTTCTTTCAATAAATATTTCTTCTTTTTCTCTTGATAATTATTATTACTTAATTATAGGATCTTTCAAAAAAATTATAACTCCAAATTTTAAGCTATTGTGATCGCGACCTTGTCCTTAATAATAATTTGAAATAAATATTAAAAAAAATGTAAAAATTTTATAAAATAACATTTTAAGCTTTAAGTATAAAAATAAGAAAGAATTTCAAGGGTGGGGTAGGTTTGAACCCAATAGAAGAGTTTACTTTAGATTTTACATTTTGGTCATTAAAATCTGTTGTAAAATTCTTTTAATTTTATCGTTTCTTTTATCAAGACTATTTCCAAATCTTCTATGTATTGAGCTCTAAGTATGGTAGATCTTAGACACTTTTTATCAATCATTCATAACTTTCCATCTCTACCTTTCATGAATTTGCAGGGAATGGGGATATAATTCCTTTACAAACTTCTTCCCATTACTTATGTGAATTAGAACATAAAACATTTTTTCGTTTTGTATTTAATATGACTTTATTTTTATAAAAAAAAAATGTAAGAAATATACAAAATAAATTTTATCATTAATAATCGCAAAAGCATATAAGAGAACTTATAAATTTATCATTTAGAAAAAAAAAATTTATATATTTTGCATCACATTTATTTTTATTTTTTGAGATTCCAGGATAAGATTTCAAGATGTAAAGAATTTATGAATTGTTTAAGTGAATGTAAATAATAAATGGGTGTGGTATGGGGTATCAAAATTATAGGTAGGGATAGTTTCCAAATAATAAATTGAAGAGAGGGCGGACTTGGTACGTGCGAAATAATTAATGGGATAAAATAGCGAAATTTAAAACATGTAAAAATTTAAGATAATAATAATAATATAGCTATAAAATTGACATAAAATAGGGTGGAAAAAACCTTGATTGATAGTAATGATGGATGATGTTGACGAGGGAGTAAAATGAGTAAGTTTTATGACATTTCCAGAAAGTAGGGCATTACGGGAAGGCGGAGTAATTGATTCTAAGTCGCCATCAACACAAACCGATTTATAGTCAGGGCAGCAATCGTTAGCGTGCTGGCAAAAACTGTCGCAATAGCAGAGAGTAAGATTGAGATGGATAGGTTTGCTACAAGTGTCATTCCTATTCCGACAGCATGTGGAAGTTCCCCTGGTTTAATTGGTTTGTTTCGATTTTCCATTGAGCTCTCGGTTATTGAAAATGGAGTAAAACAATAATCACCAGCTAGATCTGAATCTACTATATCGTGCAAAAATTCTTCGAAATTCCCATCTCTTAGAGACCGTCTTAAGTCGTTAAAGTTTTCCGGTTCTTTTTGCGAGTTAGTCAAACCATATACGTAAGAGTTATAAGTCTTGAGCTGATTAAATTTGGAGTCGTTAATTCCCCTCTGAATCTCGAAGAAATTCGAATCTACGATTGATTGTGATAACGTTATAGATATCGCCAATATTGCCAAAAGTTTTTGGATCGAAAATGTTACAAAGGTGTAGTAATATTTTTTTATATGTGTCCTATAATTCATTTTTCTATTATTTTTATATTTCATTTTCAGAGAATTTCTTTTCTTGTCTGAAATAAAAAAAAATTTGAAATATTTTAGTTTTAAAATAAAAAAAAATAAAACTGATTTTTTTATTTTCGTCAAAAAAAAAATTGACAAAAAATATTATAATGAAAATAAATATCTGATTTTTTTTAAATATTTATTTACTGATTTAAAATGTTAATTATGAAAGTATATAAACTTATATTTTTAAAGATTTGGGATATCGATTTGGAAAGACAATTTGGAATTAGACAGATGTTTATTTTTTACTATGGTCATTGTCGATTAATAGGATCATAGGCGAAGAGGAGCACTATTAGATGTCTTTTTTTGTCTCATAAAATAATAATGGAAGGCTTAGAGTTAGACCCACTTATTTGCAGACCTGTTGATAGACTTATATTTCTTTTTTAAAGGAATTTAGTTTTCACTTATTTTTATGTCAATACGCTTATTTTTTTGAACGAATCGGATAATTTAGTTTTAAAAAAAATTTACTAATCGTATTCGGTTAGAATTATTCGACTTTTTTATTATTTAACAAAAAAATATTATAAAATATTCATATGAAAATGTATTGAGAGATTTTTTTTAATGCAATATTTATAATATCTCTAAAATTCTCATCAATAATTCTTTGCCCTAAAGAAGGGAACCTAAATCTCCAAAAATCATAGGTAAAATTTTATGACTCTTATTTTTGGATTTAAATACTCTTTTTCTTAAAATGTATTATATATTTTCAATTTTATATTAAAAAATTGTTCAAAAAAAATGAATTTCGCATTTATACATCCCGTCTTAACTCGATTTCGTAAATTTCAATTATAAGTTAATTTTCTTTTATTTAAATAAAATTTTAACTTTGACAGTTTTAAATGGATTATTATCATTATTTATAAGAGTTTTTTTCTAAAAACAAAAATTAATTATCAATTATTTTTTATAATAAAAAGATTGATCTCGATGATTTAAGTTTACAAAAAATATCATTTTTACTGTAACTCTTTTTATTCAGGCGTGAATGGAACATTTTATATTGTTGATATGATAAATAGATGTTTTCCATTGCCTAAATGATTTTCTAATTATTAAACATTTTATTTCCCATAGAGTATCACACTCCTAATGATATATTCTTTTATAGAAACTGTATCTGTATCCACTCTCCAGTTTAAACCCCTCTTAAGCCAGTGTCATTGAGATCCAACCTTCTGGTAACTAACATAAAATAATTAAATTATAAAATGGATACCGTTTATCTAAGATGGGTATTCTTATCCCCTGATATACCTCTGACATTTTTATATGCGTGGGTCAAAATTTTCAAGAAGAGCCTCATTTTTAAATTGAAATTAGTTATAATTACAACTTAAATCTCTTCTTCTAATATTATAACTGACGGTGTGAAGATTTAAAGTTAAATATATAACTTAATCTTGTGGTAAATGATCAAATAGAGGCAATACTTCACAAATCAAAATATCTACAAATGTCAAAAAAGTATATATAAATAGAAGTAATTGATTGACGTTCATGATATAGAAATAAATTTTGATCTCGTAGCAGTTAAAACCTTATGAGACACAAAAAATAAATTTTGTAGTAGTTTTCAAAAATGATAAGCACTGGCAGTAAATTCAGATGATCTATAAATTAAGATGTCACAGAACGTGTAACAAACTTGAGAATTGTCAGAATCTTAGCTTTGAAATTGATGATGATCCTGGTTTTTCAGATTGGTAAAAATACTCTTTTTATTACCCTTCCGTTTTCTCAAATATATTCAATCCCCTCATGCACTGCCGAAGGGGTAATGCTAATGTGTAAAACAATTTAATTAAATCTAAACTACGAGGTATTATTATAGATCCTTTAAAAAAAAATAATTTAACAAATTTATCTATTCAAAAAAAAAAAACTTCATTTCGAAATTTAAATAAATTATTTGATTAGTTGCAAGATACTTTGTAGTTTTAATAAATTATTATAAAAGGTAAGATATTTTTGATAAAAAATTAATATTTTATTTTAACAAAAAAAAAAGGAGGAAGGGGAGAGTTCATTAAAACAATTTTTTTTAATAAAACCTGGCAATTTATCTGTACTTTGTTTTGATTACTTGGTTTATTTTTTTAACCCTTTACAACATAGGTATAATAAACTCCCTAAATTATGCGGACGCGGTATATTTTGTCCAAAATTTTAGATAGCTATATCTCAGAAAAGGTAATCCATATCGTCAGAGGAATGTTTAAAGAGTGGCGTAGACAACCACCCCTCTCATGGAACATATGATAATGTAAAAATTCTATAATATTTTTTATATTTATAACTAGTCCAAAATTTTCTTTCATTACCTTTAAATTGATAAAACAAACCCTCTCATTTACTTTTAATTCTATAAAATAATCTTAGAAACTTTCTTCTTCTATTAAAAAAAAAATTGTGGGCAAAAAAAATCTTACAAATCTGAGAATAAGCTATACTATAGACACATATTTCATTTTTTAATCAAATTTTTGGGTACTTTCCAGAGATGCTATGATTTTTATGTGATCGGAATTTGACCCTTTCCTATTTTAATTGTAAATATACTTAGTATTTATCACACTTTTAATTTATAATGTTGCTACTAAATTCTAAGTTTATCAAAGTTACAGTCAGTAAGATAGAGTCTCATATTTTGAAATATAGTTGATTCTTCATGATAATGATAGTAATTTTTTTATAGATATTTCGTTATTTTATATTATAATTGCTTTCGTACATTCTAGGTTCCTCGCTCTATCTTGAAACGTGATATGAATTTGAGTAATTTTTGAAGTTTTTAACCTTTTTATAAGTGTTTACCAATTGGGATATAGAGTAAACTAAGTATATCATTTAAATATGGTCTTTCAAATGTTTGGCAAACTTCATGCTTAACTGAGTCCTCGTTCTTCTTATTTTTTAAACTTATTTCCGTTTAGACCAGGAATTTGAACGAGGTCACCCTATTTTGGTTGGTTATCATAAAATAAAATAATAATCAATAAATAAATTCACTACAAAATCATTCTCTACAAAATTCTCCATAAAAATAATTTTCAATAAACTGTCTTCTCTATAAAATCATCCATACTATTATTTTACAATATTTTAGAGATTTTTTATATTATATATAGTGTTGTTAAAAAGACTCTATTTTTAAAAACGACCAATCCAATATTTAAGCCAAAAATATTAAGCAAGCCTAGAAATTTCGTTAATAGATGATCAAGCCATTTTACCATCTATAAGCAAAATCTCCAGGCATTTTTGGCTAAAAATCGAACCCCTTTTTATATCATAATTTAGAAGTCAACCGTAATTTTTAAAAATTACTAACATTTAATTTTTATAGGTTTCTTTATTTATATACCAGCCAATTTCCCACTTATCGTGGCAGAGCGATTTATATCGGTGACATTTTTTTTTGATTTTAGAAATAAAACTTATAATGAGAAACAAATGGATATATTTTTTTTCAGAATGATTATACTTTCAATTTAACCCCGATTTCGTTTGAACATATAATATAAGTAAAACTAAAAATTACAAATAATATTATTTTATTTATTTAAAATCATTATTTTACGTATTATTTTTCAAACCACATTCAAAAATATTTTTTTACACCAAATCCAAATAATTTTTAAAATAAAAATATGATCATAATTCCTAACTCCCCATTATAAAGGAAATTATTCATTTATAGTAATGAGATCTCAAAACAGATCCGTACGTAATCCCACAAATCGTGTATAATCAAAATATTTTACAATTAAATTTAAATGTGAGGGAAAGATAAAATTAAATTTAAAACTTTTTTTTCCATCCATAATTTCGTAATCAAATATTATTTTTTGAAGGCCAGATACCAATGATACAGTTTTCTATTTCGCATTCGTTGTGTCCTCTAACTATCCTAAAAGTTCCACTTTCACCCCATTGTTGGCCCCAGGAATTGGCGACAATCTATTCACATATAAATTATATTGGGATTACAAAACCCAGTTGTTATTTTTGGAAAAATCACTATAATATCTCACTTAAAATTTATTTTATTATAAAAAAAACTAAGCTATTTTTTTAAAGAAAGTAATAGGCTTGTGAAGATAACCCTGCAATTTGGGATTTTGGTGTTTATCAATTGGGTGGATTTGTTGCCCGATTTGTACCCGTCACCGTTTTTTGAGATATTCAAAGAATGGGGCCAACTTTAAGGCAGCCCCACAATTTCTGAATTTACAAATAGATATTTAAGTCGATTCAGAATGATTTGTACCGTTTTCAGTTTGATTGATATTATTACTCTCTTCCAGATATTGCCCTGTTCAAGTTTTAGTGTAGTAAATAAAATAATTATTAATTTATATGTTTATTTTAAATTTTATTTTTTTGATAGCAAGCGTTTTTTTCTTTCCTAGTTGGTGCTTTAAAATGATGTTATCTTCATTCCTTTTTATAAAATCAAACTTTCAATTTAAAATATAATGTGAAATAGGCCTCCTCAATTGGATTTCTAATGGTTTATCTAATGGAGTGGTTAGTACCCCATTTGTATAGTTTTGAGTTTCGATTTTTACCATTAGATTTTCCAGATATTGACCGTTTAAATTTTGGCGCAAAAATCTATTGTAAAAATTTTTTTTAATTTTTGGCACCAAACTTTAAATAGCCAATATCTGGAAAACGATATAACAAATCGAACTGAAAATGGTATAAATGGCACAAATACGTCTAATAGTTATACTCAAAATCCAAATTTGCAAGGCCAACTTCAAGCTATATTTTAAATTAAATATTTTATTTTATATAAACTAATTTAGATAAAAATAATTTGAAATCACCATTAGAAAGGAAATAAGGTTCTTTCTCTAATTGGTATTTTTAAAAACATATTTTAAAGATTTTTATATTTGGTACCAAAACGTTAACGATCAATATCTGGAAAACAGTAATGGTACAAAATTGCTGAATACGTACAATTCTGTCCAAAAGATAAATTATTAAAAATCTAAAATTGCATAGTAACTTTACGTTAAAATTCTTTAATTAACAGTTTGATTTTAGAAACTAATAATGAAGATAAAATCATTTTAAAGCACCATTAGGAAGAAAGGGTTATCTATCGGTTTCTATTAATAAAAAATTTAAAATCCTATTTTTAAGTTTTTTTTAGCGCCAAAACAATAATCGTGAACATCCTATCTTAAAAACGATAATGGCGCAAATCAGGTTTAAAATGGTACAAATCTACGTTTTAAAAATTTGGAAATTGCAAAATTGCGAGGCTAACTTTACGCCATATTTTATATCTAAAGTTTGATTATAAAGAAAAAACTATTGAAAATAACAATGATTTTAAAGCACCAACCAGTAGGAAGGAAAAAATGTTCTATATTACTTCCTATTAAAAAAAAAACTCTTTAAAAAAAATAACCTATTTAAAGATTTTTTTTTTATTTGGCGCTAAGAAAATAGCGATGATATAAATCGAACGGCAACGGTACAATACAAATTATTCTCTATCGACCTATATACATTTTATTTGTAAATTAAATTGAGGGGATGCTGTGAAGTTGGCCCTGTACTTTTACTCTTCGAATATCTTAGAAACGGTAAGGTATAAATCGAACTGAAAACGGTACAAATTCTTCCAATATATAATCTAGCAAAAATATAAAATTGCGGGTGAAAATAATTTTTATATATTAAAACTTTGAAAACCTTAAAATTTTAATAATATTTTGTTTTTTTATGTTTAAAAAACAGTTTTATTTATGTTTTATTTCATCCCCAATATATCCTATGTAGTGTACTATATTTTCGGTTTTAACAATACAAATATATTTAATAACTCCTTTTTATTTTTATAAGGGAATATACAAAAAAAAATTCCAATTTTGAGAAAGGGACTCTGAAACATATTTTGGGAACCTGAAATTTAAAATATTAAAACCAAAGAAACAATGTAAATTATATAATTGAAAGCTAAAAATTAAAATGATAAAATCCATAATCATATTTCTTTGTTTTTAAATTTAAAAGTATATAGTAGATATTTTCTTAGAGTTAACCCTAAGGGAAAGTTAAAATAAATTTTTAAGGTAGACTTAAATTTATTTTTATATACACTTGAAATGGAATGGGAAAGTTGCAAATGTAGATTTCCTAAAGAGTATAATTTGACCAGACACGATTGCCAGTGGTCAAATTAGAACTATCGAAAATGAATTTGTTTAGATAATCCCTCCCTCAAACTGTAATAATTATATTATATAATGCAAATTATTTTACCCAATATTTTGTATATGGTGATGTATCCAATTGTCCCCAGCTTATTAAAAAATTATTTATTTTTTTTAAAAAAAAATTAATAATTAATTTTTTGTTTTGTACAGATATAAAATGTTAAATTTATATTAAATATGATATAAAAAAAACACTGTAATTTTATTCTAAGAATATTTTACCATAGCAATACACCTTTAAATCCTCTAGAATTTGTTTAAATCTATTTTTTTTTAACAATAAGCTTCTTATTTGAAACTAATTTGCTGTCATAATTCTCATATCTTATAAAGAAGTAACAATAAGAAAATTTTACCATAAAAATTGGTTTATCATATAAAGGCATTTTAATTTCGCTAATATCTTGATCGCAAGTTCCTTATTATCAGGTTATTAAAATAATTTTTCCTGTTTAAAATTGATTGAAGGGGCAGCTTGAGCACCCAAATGGGCTTTTTAACAACACTAATTAATATTGCATATTTTGTACGTTTTAATAAAAAATAAACCAAAACCATCCGATCAAATAATATTAAGCATTGGACGGGAAAAGATAAATGGGAGGGTAAAATTTTTATAAAAAGCATGGACAGGCAGACGGATGGGTTAAAAAAAATTTAAACAATAAGCGGGTAGGCATTCGTATAAAAACCCCGCTCATTGCTGACTAATTTTTACACAATAACTATTAGTTAAGTTTGTATAAAAATTTTTAAAAACTTTTAACAAACAATCTGCGAATAATTTACAAACCCTAAAATTCTGACGGAATGATAGTTCGAATTTGGAGCGTTTTTGGCTGATGATTCACTATTTTTCGCCATTTCCTCTACCTTTGGGCACGTGTAAATTCCGCTTTTGTAAACGAATAGATCTTGTCGGACAACCATCGTAGCTTTAAAATAAAATTATATTTATATATTTCTTCTCTCATTCTTTTCCATTCACTCATAAGAAATGTCTTAATTTGTGCTTAATATTGCCTATATACCTTACCGTCGACGCCAGAATTAATAAAGATTTTTTAATAAATATGCCCTTATGTTTTTAATCTATTTTCCTTGTTTTATTCCCATTTTATTATTCCTCCTTCTTCTATTCAATTTTAAATTTCACTTTATTTCTTTTTTTTCTTCTATTTTTCGTTATTTAATTTTTCTTAAAGTATTATAATTTACCCTGGACTGGCCCGTTGAGTAAGATTTCGATCCGGATACTTCTTTCCTAAAGGAAAGGAAAAACATTATATTTTCAGCAATAACTTAGTTAAAAAGGCTGCAGATTCTTTGTTCCATTTTTTTTTAATTATTACATAAGAAAAACTAACTCCATTCTTTTCTAAGATTATAAATAACTTTTAACTTAATTTATTTTGCAAAATCTAAAAATCTATATATATATATATATAACATAATAGCTCATTCCTTTACATTTTTTGAAACTTTGTAAGGTGGTGTGAATTTTAGAAAGTGGCTCTGATTCTTCAAGCAATCAACGTTTTCGGAGATAGATGGTGATTTTTTATTGCGGCATTCGGTATCTTTACCCTTATATGGAAAACATTGTTCCGTGAATATGCTTTAAAGATAAGTTTAAATATAATATCTTGGCCTGGATAAATTATATCATTTCAGATCTATTGAATATAACATTAAACTTGCGAAATATCATTTTTAAGCTTATTTAAGCAGATTTGATTACATTCATTAATTATATACTTTTATTTTACATTTAAGGGTTTCTGAAAGTTTAAAATTATACTTTGCAAGAGTGAATTTTTTTATTATTATAGTGTAGGGGAGACTGGGGTTAGGTAAACCGTGGGGCTTGGCAAACCATTTAATATTATTTTAAAATTATAAACACTAGAAGGTTAAAATTTTATCCTAATATAGATTTTATTAGTTTACATCTATAGACAAAAAATCTTTTGAAATGATTAATTATTAAAAATTTTATTTAAGAAATAAAATTTTGATGAAATTTTCTAAAGATTTTTACATGACAGAATTTTAATTTTTATTAAAATATCTATTCATTTATATATAAATTAAATTTTATAGCAAAGTTTAAACACTCTTCTATAATTTGGGAAAGTTTTATGAATATTTATTATGTCTATATAGTATTTCAATCATGATTAGTAAATTTAGAGCTATCAGGGCTTGCTAAACCATACTATGTCAATCCATTTCAATAATTTTTTTTAGCAATTATTACATTATTCGATATGGTGCGAAAATATAAATCCAAAATTAATATAGGAGAATCATTTAATATTGATAATTATTTAGAAGTATATAAAAATTTAATGAATTAATATTATAATTGTAATTAGGCTATTAGGGTATATGAAAATTGTAAATCAACAAGGAAGACTAGCCAACTTACAGGTAAATTTATCTACATTATCTGTCTTATTTTTAAGATATAATCACAATAATTTTATGTAATTTTTAAACAATATAATCAATTTTTAGCAATATTTAATAATAGAAATTATGTAAATATTTTTATTAAATGTAATTTATAAATGATCTTATATTTTAGATTGATTACAATTTAGATGAAGTATAGTATTATTGTATTAATTTTATGTAATTCTTAAACATTAAAATCAAATTTTAGCAATATTTAATAATAGAGAATATGCTAATAAAATCTAAATGGTAATGGTAAAGAGATTATCATTTTTAAATTTTATGTTCTTAAATGTTAAACTTATAATTAAATAATTATATATTTTACTTGACATTTTTATTTTAGGTATTCCTAGATCAAACTTTATGAGATATTATAAGAGATATCAAGAAAGTGGCATACTTACTAGTGTAGGACAAAATAATAAAAAGAGGATATTCACAGAAGAAGAAGAGGGAGATATAACTAAATATCTGATTCAATCTAGCCAAATTTTTTATGGCCTTTCAATTAAAAAGGTATAGTTTATTCTTCATTATTTTATATTGTTTTTTAGATAAAAATATTAGCCTACCAAATGGCAGTAAATATGAAGAAAAAATTTCCTAAATCTTGGAAGGACAATTCAATGGCTGGCCATGACTGGTATTTGGGATTTATGTCAAGAAATCCTACTCTCTCCTTAAGATCCCCTGAAGCTACAAGTATGGCTAGGGCAACTGGATTTAATGAATAAAATGTTCTATACTTTTTTGATTTATATAAAGTTTATTAAATGATTGTTTACAATTAATATTTAGGAATATTAGATGAACATAAATTAGAATGTATGGCAATTTACAACATGGATGAAACTGGACTTACCAGGCCTCAGTTTATGGAGATTCTATATGTGAACTTCCAAAAAGCCCATTATTAGAATCAAGCTCAGTATCTTTGGTATTAAAAGATATTTTAAATACTAATAGAAACTTAGATATATGTAATGATACTCCATCTACGTCTTATGTTCATTTAGATAATATTCCTGGACCATCGTGCAATTTATCAATATCCTTGCCTCATCCCAAAAAGGAAAGAGTCAAGAGAGTTAAAAGGAGAGCAGATTTACATCATCTCCTTATAAAAAAAATTAATTGAGAAAGAAAAGAAAATAATGGAAAAAGAAAATAATGGAAAAAGAAAATAATGGAAAAAGAAAATAATGGAAAAAGAAAATAATGGAAAAAGAAAATAATGGAAAAAGAAAATATTAACAAGAGAAAAATAGTGAAAAAAATTATTCACAAAGATATTTGTGTTTGTTGTAAGCTGGAATATATCAAACATCATAATGGTGAAGAGTGGTACCAGTGCAGAATGTGCCACGAATGGGCACATGGTACATGTGCTAATTTTGATAAATTATATGTCCAAAATGTTTATTAAATTAACCAAAATTAAGTTTCAATTTTTATATATAATTAGCTTCAATTCATATGTATTATGATATTTTTAACAATAAAAGAATAAAATTATAGTATATGTATCATTATTAATAAATAAAAATACATTTCAATTTATTATGGCCTAAAAAAACCATTGGTTTAGGAAGCCCCTTGAAGTGGTTTGCCTCACCCCGCTATTGGGGCTTGTTGGGCAAATTTACGACTTTTACAAAAAATAAAATTTCAAAAAAATGATTATATTCTAGAATTTTTTTATAAGGCACCTTTATAGAGTATAGTTTTAGGTATCCAATCATATATTGCTTTTTATATTATCTAAAAAAACCCAGGAGCTATAAACAATTTTGTAAAAATCGGTTCACCTAACCCCAGTCTCCCCTATATGTATTTAAAATTTGACATTTCTTTATCACCTTATACTTTCTTAATTCGTCGATTATCATTGAAAAACACATTTAGATAAAATATAAAAAAATTAATTCCATGTAATATTTGAGAATATTATATACATTATACCCAGATTTCCAAAGAAAATTCTAAGCTATATCAATATGACCACCTTGACAACCCTTTTGTTTCCCCCTACCTTTGTTACAGGATATTAGATATTGAGGGGAAAGCGTTGTTAACCCTTTTCGCAAACCTATTATTCCTGACCTATCACCAGCCACATCTTTTTTTGAAAATTATTTTATAAAGAAAAAAGATTAAAATAATCTTTTTAAAAGATGAAAGATAATAACTGAAAATATATAAATAAAAATAAGGTTTCATTTCTTAAACAAAAATTATATTAGAGACCTGCAGATCAAATCCGAAAGTTTTCGGTTATAACTAATAAAAACCCCTGCCGAGTAGAGCTTTTTATTATTCATTTACTGCTAATATTTTTAATTTCCCTTTAAAGTAAATACAGCAATTATTTTAAATAAATAATAAAATTTAAAAAATTCTAAGTTGGGCGGTTAAAATGATCAATTTTTTTCCTTTTTTAAATCCTGGCAGGATATTAGATACCTCTGCAGGTCTATGTTAAAAATGATGAGTTATATAAATTATTTATTAATCCTGCAATAGAAATAGCAACTTTTAATTCGAAGTAACTCTTGTTAGGTCATACTATTTTACTTTCCAAAAGTAACTTATAAAAGCACTACTAATATAATAACTAAATTATATTTATAAATATTTGAACAAAAATGATTTTTAAATTACCTTAAAATAAAATTATGATAATAGTGAGGATTATTTTTTCTTATGTCGAAAGGGGTCTTTCACCCATTAATTTTAATATTTATTAAATATAATCTGAGATTTAGTGTTGTATAATAGCGCTTTACCCTGCATTCACAGTTACTATTGAACACGTATTCAGCACAGAAAGGCAGAAAAGCCATGCTGACATTCTTTATATAGGATAAAGATTTTAAAACAAAAAAATTATGCAAATAATTCTTTAAATGAATTTATGTAATTATATCTTGATTGATAAAATAAAAAGAAACGGTGTTTCCTTTTTAACATAAAGATGTATAGAGCAACGGGAAATGTAATGACGTTTCTTCAGGGAAATGTAATGACGTTACTTCTTTAGTAACTTTATAAATATGAATTACAGTAAAACCTCGTTATATTATGGTTAATGACAATTTAAGGACTCACCATCTAACATCATGTTTTTTTACAAACCTGGTATTGTGCGAATATAAGTATAATTTAAAGGAAAAATAAAGGAATAAACCAGCTGCTGATATAGCCCAAGATGAACTGCAATTTAACTGATTGCGAATAGGATTAATGTAAGGGCCCCATTTTTTTCGGCTATCGAAACTTTCCTCTAGTATTTCATCTAGATACGATATAAGGAATATAAATATATTTTGTAAATAAAAACCTCGACTAAAAAAAATTAAAAGAATTATTATGATAAATGATAAAGCTTGAACCAAAAATAAATTTTGAATTTTTTCCCAGTAATAATCAATATTTTATTTTTATGCTTCTTTCCCGAGTCCTAAATAAATTATTAAAATAAATAACTAAAAAATTGATCTTGTTTCAATTTATGATATCATATTTTTATAGGAAATAGGAAAGAAAAAACCCCAGCAAATTAAACCTTAAATAGAGTATTTTTTTATAAAATTTAATGCTTATAAATAACACTTTTCGAAATTCTCACATATAACATAGGATTTCTTCTACGCGATCTTCTTCAAATCAAATATCGAAGAGTGGTGGGAAATTTTTAGGTATGCTTTATCATATTAATATATAGGGAATTAGTGCAAGGTAAATGTGGTTTTGATTTTTATTTTTTTGCTATTTTTTATTTTTATTTTTTTTACAAATTTGAATTTATTTTGTTTAGGTAGAGGATTGTTTTTCTACACTGTTATATTTTAGAATAACCTAGCAATAGTATTGATAAATAAATTTATAAGCGAGTGCCCATGGCAATATATTATATTTATAAATCATTTTATAGGCGAGTGCCACAATCATTGACAGCCATTAAGATGTATTATTATTATTTATCATTAAGGGTTAAAATTTATATTTAATCAATTAAAATTGTTTATCAGGATTGAAAACGCTATATTTAGACAATTGAGGGTTAATAATTTGTTAAAAAATATAATTGTTCAGCTAAATCATGAACAGCCATGGGCGTAGCCAGGTGGGGGGGGGGGCAAAGGTCCCCTCCCCCTCCTTCAGAAATTTAACACTTTTTGTGAATATCATTTTAATAAAAAATATCCCCCTTAGCCCCCCCTCACTCCCTGACCCCCAAAAATGTATGCATATATCTTAAACAATAATTTGAAAGAAAGAATGTAAAAGTTGATATTTTTTTATAAAACTATTCATCATAATTTATACATTTTTGGAAAAGCATTTATATATAAAAAGTGAACCAAAAATGTTTTTTAAGAAATGGAATATAAGCCAAAGATAAGTCTTAAGATAAAAGTGAAATGTATTATAATTATTAATAATAGATCCATAAAATTACTAAATAATATAATACAGGGATCCAAACCGAAGAACCGAACCGTTAAACCGCTAAAAACCGGTATTTTTATCGAACCTAAACCTCTAAAAACATATCTAGCCAAACCTGAACCGAACCGCTAAAATGCCTCTGAACCGGTTCGAGTCTCATAATTTTTGTATATAAAATAATGTGTAAGTTATTACTAGTAGTATATTGCAAAAATTTTAATTATATTCAAATTGTTTGAAAAATTATTAATTTTTATAAACTTTAGTATATTGCCATTTTACAACATTTTTTAATATTTTAAGCTTATAAATTATAATGTCTAGAAAAAAATTAAATCTATATTATAAATAACACATCAAATCTGATTTCATACTGGCAATGCCAGCTACCCAAGTTAGTGTGGAAAAATGTTTTTCAACAATTAAATTTATATTATCTCCTTATAGATGTAATTTGAGTGAGATGAATTTTGAAAATATATTAATTGTGCGGCTTAATAAAAAAATTTAAAGTAATTGTTCATATTAAAATTAATCCTTTATATATTTATTTGTTATATATATAAATTAAATATTATTTTATAATGTGCAAATAATAAAAATGAAAGTTTTTATTTTAATTATGAAATAAAAAAAAAAATTTCCTTATACATAATCCTAATGTAAGTTTGAATACAAAAGTGTTCAAACCGGTTTTTAGAGGTTCGAACCGAACCGATATTTTTATTTTTAGCGAACCGAACCTGAACCTTGAACCGTTATTTTTATCCGAATCTGAACCTGAACCGAACCGATATTCGTTTCGGTTTGGATCCCTGATATAATATATCAAATATAATTTTTTTTAAAGTGAGTAATTTTAATTTATTTATTATCTTAATAAAAGTATAATATAATTATAAAACTATTAATAAAATTAAATCATAAATTAGATAAAAAAAATTAAAGCACAATACAAACAGTGTAATATTATATGTCGTAGATTTACAGTATATCTAATTTTATCAATTATCATATGACAATCAAGTTATTTTTACCAATTTAGCGAATTATAAATTTACAGAAAACTATAAAATATTGATAAGGACACCAGAAAATATCTTTTAAAGACATTGTGGGATGAATAATATAAGAATTAATTATTAATATCATTTTTTATTTAAAATAAATAGATGGCATTAATAAATTGAATGCAAATTGTTGCTATATTTATTATCAAGAGCATTGATTAGTAAAAAATGTTAAAATATTAACTGTAGTATATTCTCTAACTGTCAAATATGTCTGTAAAAGTGGAATTTTACCTAGTATTTTTTAACTAATTCTATTTAATAGAGGAATATATGAACTATATGTCTACTAACTTTTATAAATAAATTTCTAATACTTGTTTGGAATAAATTATTACCATGCTTTTATATTAATGTATATATAAGTAATTTATTATGTTTTATATAAACTAATAAAAATATATTTCATATTTGTTCCAGGCTTATTTTTTTTATTATAATTAACTTCCTATCTTGTAAATATATTTTATGACTATATATAGACTAAGGTAAACCGGACGAAGGCCCGGCAAAAGCGGGCCGAAGACCGGCCCAAAATGGGGTCTGGTGGCGAAGCCCCCAGTAATTTTTTAATTCCCCCCTCCCTTAGGAAAATCTTAGCTACGCCTATGTGAACAGCTATTAAGATGTATTATGTCATTAGGGTTTAAAATTTATTTTTAATCAAAGTAATATAAATTGTATAATTCCTGGTATTCATAAAATTAAACATTAATAATTTGTATCATCTTTATACTGTATATAAAGACAAAAAATTATTATAGTATTTTAATTGATAATTTACAAAACTTAAATATTATTTATATTTTATAAAAAAAAATATGGATCTAAATCATCCTGGAAAAGTCCTATTTGAAGGTAATCATATACCATCCATAAAAAAAAGATTAAACAAGATAAGATGGCGCCTCAAAGTATTCATCTTTTAAATGCCGAGCATAGTTATTTAGAATATTAGTTTAAAAATAACATAAAAATTTAAATATTATAAGTGATTGGGCAAATTGTAGTTCCCAGAACTCAAAATTTATTATTTGTTAATGGCCCACATGAAGAAGAACGTATAATCATGTTTGCAAAGGATGAATCCTTAAATTTAATAGACCTTTCTACAATTACATGTCATTAGAGAATCAATAAACACTATTTTTTATCACCGTTGTTTATTGTGCACTCAAAAAATAACCCAAAATACTTACGAAAAAATATTCGAAATAATAACGTCTAAATATCAGGAAAGGGATTTATTTACTGATCCATTATATATATATAATATCCATTATAATACAAATAAGAATATGCCTATATTATTAGGTCTTAATTAAATTCTATAAATATTAAAAAAAAATTACGGGGGTTTTTTCCGGGTTTCCTGGAGATTTTTTTCTGGCTCTAGCTGATTAAAGCTTTTTCTACATGGGATGATTACAAATTGGAAACCTAAAGCCGCCCGGCGGGTGCAATTCAAAAAGAATGAGACCTTTCTTTAATTTCTCATTCCTTAGTTTTCCTTAATTCAAACTTGCAATCTGAAGCGATACCATCTTCTATGAGTGGCTTGAAGTTATCCTATTTCGAATTTACTTCATCTTAGTGCTGAACTTTGCATAAGATAGGTTTATTAAATGTTTTTCCTTATATTTGTGTATTATGTGAAGCGGCAATTAAGTCTATTACCTACTATTCTCTCCTGCAAATTCAGCAAAGAGAGAAGTATCCGATATCACAATGAGTTTCCCATTAGGTAAAATCCTCAATATAATAGGGGACGCATCAACCCTGGAACCAATAGGACTCACCACATCTGAGGGAAGAAGACTAAATGGCATAACTCTTATTCCATTCAAGGAAGGAAAATAATTAGCTAGGGATTATACATGAATATATGTATTAGCCAGCAATTCTCTTCCAAAATGCTAAATTCAAATGAGACGCGTTTATTTGATAAATATTCCTTTTTAACCGATATTATTTTTATCCCGTTGGTTACAACCATTTTAGGGAATTTATAACCTGAAGCCATTAAATTTTTATAATTTTTAGGTCTTAAAATCTTATCAAAAGCTGGGAATTCAAATAAATATTTTTATCTAAATTAGCAAATTTTAATAGCAGCAATCATATCTAGTCATTTGTGATTCAATGTCTGCCATGATCTGATAAATTATTTAATTTTTTTAAATCCAAACTGGGTTTATAGGTTTGAACAGACCCGATATTTTTATATTTAAAAACTGAACCTTAACCCTAACGGTTATATCTGAAACAGAACTTGAACAGATATTCGTTTCGAATCTCTGGTTTAGATAAACCGATTTATCATCCATACTCTAGAATTTAGCAAAAAATATATTATATTTAATGATATAGCCCTGATATAATTATTTGACCAGGGCGACCTATATTATTATTAGTAAATTACCCAAAATACCACGAAGAGAATCGAGTATGATAAAAACTTTTGACCTGGTTAATATATATCCAAGATCTACTCAGCTCAATATTTTATCCAGAAAAATATTAAGCAAGCCTGAAGATTTTGTTCATAGTAGGCACAAAGGTCTAGCCATATATTAGTGAAATTTTGAGTTTTAGACGATATTTTTATGGTTTAAAGTATTGAGTTAGCCGTTTTAAAAAATCGGCTCAAATCGAGCCGTTTAACAACACTACTCATACCCTCACTTTCATCTGCAAACTCACTTCTCATTACTATAATCATCTTTATTATATAATATTATGTAAGACAGTACTCCTGCAGATATTACTCCCACTCTTCTCGTGGTCAGTATAACTCTTTGAAAAATAGAGAAGCCAAAATACTATAGGTTTCATCTTTAGAAACTATCTAAAATAATTTGCGCTTATCAGCACCGAATTAAGTCACTTGAAACAACTTCACTTATTATTGCTCACTAGGCTTTATTTCTTATTAAAACATTCATATCATCCCAGGATAACACATATTCTCCATTCGGCTCCAATATTTGCTAACACCAATGCTTAGTGATCTTGAAGGCCAACTCAAGGCTTAGCTGAAAGAAGTCTAAAATATGGCAGATCTTCCTCTCCCTTGGTTACATTCCAACTTACCCAGTAAATTCGCAGGTATCGGTGTTCTTTCTCCCTATTATTATTTCTAGCTTTATTCTATCAATATTGGCATGTTCTAATTCAAACCCAGTTTTATTATATAATGATTCTTGGACAAAGACGTAATAGCTTGGGACTTAAATTCACTTATCAATATTCTTAGTCCGTCCGCTTCCTCGTAAAAAGACTGGAACTTGCCATTAATAGCCCGTCCCGTTGAATATATTATTATCGAACGAGTAATCTCTGGCAAACAGCCTGTAATCTAAACAAACGGTTATGAATGGCTGGAGTACCCGGTGATAGGCTGAGCCTGTTTTATCCCTGGAAGAACTACGGATAGCTATAGAATCCCTCTAATTGTCCGTAGCACTCCTTTTTAACGCACGCTTTGTAACATACCCCTTTCCATTGTAAATACTCTAAAGGATGGGTGATTAGACACAAAATTATAAATAGCATAATATGTCAGTCTTAACAAGGACAAGCCTACCTTCAACTCTAAAACCAACTAAGATGAATTTAGGGGAAAATAAACTCTCTGATAAAATATCCTTCACCACTATGTATAAGATGGCCGTCATTGCCTCCAATGCATCTTTAGCATTGGACGTTCAGTCTGGCATATCAGATGCAATGCTCTCATTAAACGGGCCTTACAGTACGCGGATCTGCTGCCACTTTAGAAGCACCGGGTCTCTTCACTGATAAGAGACAGCCCGATGGAATTACATATTCCTTGGGAGAATGGCTGATTGCTAGCATAGGACTTTTCCTGCATTGACCCCTTCTCACTCTCCAACATCAATAAAGACATGAATACACAAAAGACATTAACATTAACAAATCGTTAACGCATCGAATTCAGATTATAAAGTCTAATTTCATATGCTTCATAGGTTTATTTCACGAGAAGCCGAAATGATCTAGATATTTTCCTCCCTTCATTGTTTATAATCTTTTTTTTTCTCTTTCTCAAATTAAGAAATATATGTACAGTTTTTTTTCATTTATATTCGCGATATACTACTTTATGAATAATTGATTTTTACCGTAAATTTATCATTATTAATTATTAATTTTTTTTTTCTTTCTATAAATATAAATTTTAACAAAATTTTTTAAATATCAGGGTCGGGTCTCTTTTTTTTTCAAATTTTAAGAGTAGATATTTTAAATCGCCATAATTAGCTGCAAAAATTAAAAATAATAGGACCTCTGCAGGTCTCTGATATATATGCTAGCGACAATGTGTTAATTATTCAACTTTAAATCATTTTTTGAGCGCATTTTTCTATATTTAAAAATCTGATTTTACCGGAAATGAATTCCAGCATGTTTAGAATACCTTTCTTATAAATTGTGGACATTTTTACCGTTAATCTTTGAATCATAATTTTTATTTTAAAAAAATGGAAAAACGCGTATAAATTATATTAAATAAATTCATGACAAAATCGTCTGAAATTCATAGGTTGAGTTATTCAAACATGATGGAATACATTTTCGATAAAATAGGAATTTTTAAATTTTAAAAAAGACGCTCAAAAAACGATGTTGATAAAATAACACACTGGCGATAACATATATAAATAATATAATATTTACTAAATTTTCTCTTTATATTTTATTTTCAAAAAAAAATATAGTAAATAGGATATATCAGTTTTAGCATTGTTTTTTTTTGGTGTTCGTATCCACTAAAAAAACTGGCATCGGTGCATCTCTAATTTATATTTTATTAATATAATATTAATTTTTTTTTTCATTGTTTTTTTTTGTAAAAATGAAAATAAAATACATATTTTTTGTTATTTGTATATTTCCTATTTTTCATTATTAATTTCTATAATTTGAAAGAGAGAAAAAACCAAATTATAGAAAGATTTATGAAAGGTTTAGGCCATCAGTGTTGTTATAGATTACTTATGAAAGTAGCGCTGAAAGTTACTTTTATTAGAAGCGTGCTATAGCTGAAGGTATAGGAAAAAGTAGCGCACTTATCATTGAGAAGATGAGTCTGAAACGGTCTGCAGCTAGAACTAAATCAGACTAATTTACGCACTAATCTTTTAAAAGAGTATAAGTTTCCCAATTTTTTAAAAAATAAAATTATTCGCGTTTTTTTTTTAAAATTTAAATTATTTCATAGGAAAAAAAAATGATTTTATACACTTTCATGCAAAAAAAAAATTAGGATTTGGTTCAATTATAAATAATCAAAAAGTATAAAGTATTAAAATGTCTTCAACAAACAATAAATAAACTTTCTCCAAGAGTTAATCCCACGTTATGCGTTCTTAGGAGACTGCTTGATATATGAAGAGTTCCTAGTTTGTATTTCTTGCCTTCGGCCAGCGTCAAACCCCAGAAATCAGAATAATTTGAAGCTTTCCACCTTTTCAAAATTAAATAAAATATTAAATGACATTATTGAATAAATAGTCATAAAAAAGAGCGGGGGGAGGGATCTTGAAGCTAGCTCCCATTTCTGGGCCCCCAATACAGAAGTTACTTGATTCCATACGCGTAACCAAGGGGAATCCGCCCCTCACATTACAAACTTGACTGTTCTCATAAATATCATTTTAAGCTTAAAAAAAAATTCGCATTACACCCCCTCCAAGAATTTGAAAGAAAAATTAGTAAAAGTTAATATCTTTATAAAATAGGACTATAATCCAAAACTTTTAGAAAAAAAGGCATTTTATTTTTAAAAAAAAGAAGCGAAAATTAAAAATTATTTTTATCAAAATATAATATAGTCAAAAGTATACAATAAGTGAACCTACAGAACTCCAATAAAATTTATAGGGAAAAAACTCACATAATAGAGCTCCCAACCCCTTAGCAAAATCCTGGATATGCCTCTGCCCAATTCAGTCATTTATTACCAATTATTTAAATTTTACTAAATCGAATACATAATTATAACTAAATAATATTTTAAGCTGCTTCGCCAATTCTAATTTTTTTTTTAAATGATGAATCTAGTATTATTATCGCAAGAGAAAAATAGCTAAAAGTTATGGTTATTGCCATGTAAGGAAAAGGGTTAGTGGATAGGAGAATGAATGAATAAAGTATATATAACTTGATTCAGAGGTGTCTTTGGCTTTTTGATTTGGTAAAGGGAAGGGAATGTTTAAAGAGTTTTTTCAATATCGGGCATATTCATGAATATGATATAAAAGGAATAATATATATATTTTTATTATACATACCCTTTATTAGAATTATTGATCTCTTTAATGATTTCTGGCCGGATCAAGCAAACCCTTGATTTGCATTTAAACTCTTTATCTTGACATATACTACGATAGAAAATTTTTTGTTAAAATTTTATATTTTTATAATAATTTGTTGGGTCTATATAACCGAAAATATTAATAAAAAATGTCATAAAGTTTCTATATATTAAAGAAAGTAAACAAATACTTCGTTTGTTCTTTCTTTCTTTCTTTCTTTCTTTCTTTCTTTCTTTCTTTCTATCTTCTTGTAACAAATGTCTTATATTTTAAAAACTGCTGAATATTCTACGATAAATTAAATAGAGACACTGAGGATTAGAGATCTTAATAAATCGCCATTTTAAGGTCATATTTATTTTAAAATGCCTGGGGTCCTATTGACACCGCCAGAGTACAGTTTTTTTAAAAAAATTTTTTTAGCTTATTCATTAAACAAAAGCGATATTCTACAAGAACCAAACGATCTTATATAATAACCATTTTTTCAAAATTAATGTTATCATATTTTCATAATGATCATCATATCCTACTTCATTCTAATTTAAAATAAATAAAAATAATAAATGCTCTAGCTGAAATATAAAGTCAAATAAATTATTTCCTTCTAATTTATTTTAAAAATAATAATATACAAAGTAAGAGAAATGGGATTGACAAAAGCAATACTAGATTTCACATCTTTTAAATAAAGAATAAATTAAACAAAGTTCAAAAATTATGAGAAAATAATCTTTAAAAAAATTTAAATGACAATAATTTCTTTTTTAATTCAAATATTTTTTTTGGAAAGAAACGAATTAATATAATTAAAAATCGGCAAAGTGCGAGGTTTACTAATAATCATCAACATTATTGAATTTAAATTATTGGGAAAAATATTTAATGTTGATTTAAAATATTTGTTTTATATTTTTCCACTCCTCTTCCCTGCCTTCCTTCTCCAAATTTTATTATTTTATTACCAGAGATTGCAATTTATCTTAAATCCAGTTCCTATATCATAAGTCTCCTCATCGTATAAGCATTTTCCTTCGTTGTTAACTTATATATATTTTTTTTACATAAATTAAAATGATTTTTTGAAACAATCGAAAATTTCCTTTCGTATTTGCTATTTTTTGGCAAAATGTATTCTTTCATAAATTATATAATAATTTTAAATATATAGTTAGGTTAGTAAATAATTAAATTTTTATGTATATGTTTAGCGGCAATGTGTTTTTTTTCCCGGCAATGTGTTTGTCTTTTCAACGTTAAATCATTTTTTTGAGCCCTTTTTTTTAAATTTAAAAATCTCAGAAATATATCCCATAATGTTTGGAATACCTACTCTATCAATTTCAATACAATTTTGCCATGAACTTTTGAACTTAATAGGTTTTGTAAATACAAATTATAAATGACTTGGATGAACGGAAAATTTATCTACAATTCATAAAATAGGTTATCCTAAACATGCTGGAATGCATTTCCGGTTCAGATTTTTCAAATTTAAAAAAAAACGCGCTTGCAAATATGATTTAAAGTTGAAAAATAAACACTTTGCCGGGAAAAACACATTGACACTAACATATATTTGGTTTAATTTTGTAATTTTGATTCGAATTCAGCATAAAATTTTGTTATAAAAACAAAATATTTTTATTTTTAGAGCAAAACAAAAAATTATATAAACTAGAGATCTGCAAATCGCGAACCTGCCCTAACCCAGCTCGAGCCCGGTCGGTTTTATTTTTTAAAATAATTCTGGTACGGGCTGGGTCGGGCCTAAAAATTTTAAAAAAAATTTCCAGGCCAGACCTAGCCGGGCTTTAATTTATAAATATGATATTACATTTTGTCAAATAAATTAATATATTTTAAAATTCTTTGCAAGAAACAAGACGGTATTAAATTTTTTTCTAATAAATTCAGACGGACAAATAATATTTTAGTTTAGGTTCGGGCTTTTCGGGCAAAAAAAAATTCGTTTGGGGTCGGACCGGGCGTGACAAATTTTTTTAAAAAATAGTATCGGGTTGGGCTTGAAAAATTAGGCCCGATGCATATCACTAATATAAACCATCCACAATCACAACACATTTATTACATAAATTCTTTATTTCGATTTTAAAATAAAATAATGACCAATGATTTTGTTACTTTATATATATATTTGTTTAAAATTTAAGTTATCAATGCCCCCTGAGAATTTTTCATTCTTTGCATGTTATATGGACATTAGGGAAAGATGTGAATCAGGCCTTATTTTTCAAGCCCTGCCCAGCTTTATTTGTTTTAAATTGTCCGGCTCGACCTGATATCGAATGAAATATTTTTATTTTTGAAAAGCCAGATTAGAAATAAGAATTATTTGTCCTCCCGGCACGGTCCGGCCTTAATTTATTTAAATATAAAATTGGTGCTTAGTTTTCTACAAATATATAAAGTTGTAAAAAAAAAATATTCCACAAACAAATAAAAAATATCGGCATCTTGTTTTTTGCAAAAATTTTAAAATAAGATCAATTTTATTTCACTGGATTGAATCATATTATACATTTCAAAATTTAAATTCGGCCCGAATTTTTTTTCAAAATTATTAGGCCCGACCTAGATTAAACCGAACTTTTAAAATAGGCTCGACCCAGCCCCAAACCCGTTCGGGTGGGGCCTAGTTTTGCAGATCTCTATTGGTCATTTAATATTTGTAATAATGAGTAATAAATATGCAAACATTTTACAAATAAAACGAATATTTTTTAAAGGTTTCACTGTTAACCATTCAAAAGAAAACGTATAAATTATCAATAGCACGCACCAGGTTATTAATGAATCCAATAAAAATAGGGGTTTTTTGAATATCTGAACGCCAGTTACATGTGATATTTTTGCACAAAATGTAGAAGAAATAAGATAAAAGGAAAAGGATTTCCAAATTAATTTGTTATTTGTTTGTGTGCCTTATTATTTATGGAGTTTTTCGTCGACTTCCAAGTTATTGTCAAATGTTAATAATTTATTTTTCTTTTAAAAATCTCTTTCGCCTGATTATAATATTATTATGATTCGAACAATTTGAAACTCAAAATCTTATGCTATTATGTTAATTAATAATAATTTTAAAAATATATAAAATAAGTCAAAATTTTATAAGAAATCGTTTTGGGCTTTAATTAATTACCAACAATTTCATGGCAAGGGTTGAAAAAAAAGAGACGGTCATTTTGGAAATATTTCAGGTAATTTTCAACAAAAATGTTTGAGTCCCCCGAGATTGTAAAGGATAGTGACAATATTAACTATTGCAAAACCATATGCCTAAGAGTAGATTAATGAGTGATTCATTCATAACTTTTTCAAAAACATATCCCGCGAAGAAAAGGATTTCTATTCAAATCTCATCCATCCACTCTCGCCATATGAATTACATTAAATAAAAAATAATTACCGGCCCGATTCCTGGAATTTGCATTTTTTTGAGACCGTCTTCCGTTACTTAAGTTCAGCCCTCCATGACCATTATCTCTGCTGAGCATCTCGAAGGAATTCGAATCCACCAAGGATTGCGATAACAATATAAATATCACCAATATTACCAAAAGTATTTGGGCCGAAGATCCTAAGAAAGGGCAGTAATATTTTTTTACAACTGTTCTATAACTCATTTTACTATTTTTTTAAAAAAAATTTTTTTTTCACAGAATTTCCTTCTTTATTGTTGTTAAAACTAAAATTTTTGATTTGAAATATTTTATCCTTAAAAAAATAAAATTGATTTCGTTAAAAAAAATTAATATATAGATAAAAAAAATATAGTGAATAATATCATATTTTTAGATATTAATTCCTTGACTAACATATAAAAGAAAACTTAATTTTGCTTACTCTAGTAGAGACCAAAAAAACAACAAATATAAAAATCTTGGCAATTTTATAATAGCCAATTAAAACTTCAACCAATAGAGAGTTTTTACCTGTCTCTTTTCCTATTTCTAAAAAAAATTACTTATATATAATATAATTTTTTTACAAAAAAATAGGGGGTCAATAAATTCGAAATTAATTTTAACTTATTATTTTATCATGAAGTAAACATGATAAAATATTTAATATTTATATACATTTTATGATTCCAAAATATAACACGTCCATAATTTTAATTGGTTCTTAAAAACAGGGGATCCAATAGAAATAAGGAAATGATATTATATAAGTTTTGACTAGAGGTGTTTAATAAAGATGAAAAAAAAATAGCAAATTATATTCCCCCATGTTTTCTGAAGATTTTTTGAAACAAAATTAGATTTTTTTCGCTTATGATGGCACCAGTGTCAGAGCTGGAGTGAAATCTAGAGCAGCGCGACTTTGGGCGCGATGTTTAAATAGTTTCATTAGCGGTGTCCGATACTATAAAATATGTTGCTGATGTTGATCATCTCAACGGGTTTGTTGACACAATATATAGTTTATATAGCCATAACAAAAAATCAAGAGGCTCTGGATAAAATAGTGTCTGAATTGGCTTCAGTTGACGAAGATCGAAAGGATACTTGATGCACGATAGATGTCCTTCTTACTGTAAAGTTTGAAATAATTTCTTAATCGTTTATTAAGGATATTAAGGATATGCCGGTAGGTTCTAAATCCCTGATTTCTACGAATGTTTTTAATGATGCTTGCTAAATAAATAAATTTAATAGGTTATTAGATGCTAATTTCGATCATTCTGGTAATTGAAAATATTATATCAAATTATGAAGTTTTATCAATTTAGCATTCTTAACTGATAGGGAATATTTAGAAAAAGATACAAGGTAACCAGATTGTCACGTTCATAACTGGTAAAAGCAAGTTAGACGAATTTGTTTCCTACAAAAACTACGGATTTCTCAATAAATTGGATAAGGAATATATTAGTAATAATAACGAGAGTAATAATAGCACCCTGATTTAAAAGAATTCCAAAATTGCATTAATACGATTCCGTGTAGTCATGCCAAGTGGAAGCAGCTTTTACATTAGGAATGTCACGACAGATAAGAGTGCAAGTTTCAATATTATACCTTTCGTAGATACATTGAAAACCCAGCTTAACCAAAAATTTTCTAACTAAACTAATTAAACAATTCCAGTCTTGAGAGCAAAAAACAATTATAAATTAATTCTCCTTAATCTATAAATCATATTCATATCATCTTAATGTATAATCTAATATTAATCTTAATATCCAGCCTTATCAATTTTTAAAAGCTATTTCATTTGTTTTTCACTATACTTGTAAATTTCGTCTATATTTATAAAAAATTAAATCATCAATCTATTATTTAGTCAATGAATGGAATAGATAGTTTGTGATTGTTTCGATTTCTAAATTGATATAAATTTAAAAAATAAATTTTTTTAACTTTGAACCTAAGGTATTGTGCGATATATTTTAACTTTCATATAAATTTTTAAATAACTATTTTATATAACATTAAATATATATATAATATATATATGAAATGTTTAGATTATTAAAAAAAATATCATAAAAATCATTTCTCCTCATATTCGCTTAAAAAAAAAATTTTGCCTCTATTTTATGTCAATTTTGGCGTGCCCATACCTATTCTTTTTATATCAAATCATGTCTGATTTAGATATAGTGACTAGGCCAGAGAGGTTCTTCGAAAATGACATTTTTTTAAATATTTTCTTCTTCTCCATTTAAAGGCGATTTTCAGATTACCCAGGTTTGCCAGTTTTCCCTCTGATTTAATCAAAATATTTTAAATAAACAAGTGTTACCTCTATCGTATCAAAATTTGGTTCGTTTAATATCACACCATGTTATATCTAACATTAACCTATAAATATTTACAAGAAATAAAATATTTCCTTAAAATTACAACATAAACGATAGGATAATTTCGAATAACACAAATAATTTTGAATAATTCGAATTGAATAAAAATTTACTATTAGACGAATATTTTTTCTCATAATTAATATTCGAATTTTCAAATATTGTGATATTCTTATTACTAAAAAACCGAATCTCATCGACGTTTAAGGAGTACTAATAACCAATAAAAAATTCTTAGATAATCTCAATCTAAAAACTTGTCTTTTAGATTTTCTTATAAAAAAAATTGGAAAAATATTATACCAAAATCTCTTATGATATATTTTTTTTTCTCCAAATAAAATGCTAGTAATTCAAAAATGAACATTAAATTATTGAAAATAAGAAAAACGCTTGTATTCTTAAAAATCAGTGCAAAAATGAATGTATATTGAATTTAAACAACTTTAATTTAGTCCATGTGATTTGTTTCATTATGCTATGCTGTGTGATCATCTAATAAAATAATATTTGAACTATTTATACATTATAATATTTTTGATTTTTCGCTGTCTGGTAACTAACTTAATTCAATTATAAAATGGATACGGATTATTTAAGTGCCTAAGAGGTACCCTTACCTCCTGAGGTTAACTTCGGCATCTTAATAAATAGCAGATAATTAAAACTTAAATATTCGTCAGAATTTTTAAGTCCATATTTATTTAATTGGTCTTACTTCATAAATAAAACTCTAACCACCCCACCCCCTACCCTAAACCCTTTATTGATGTCAAGGTTAGGAATTAAATTAAATATACAATCCAATTTTGAAGTGAATGATCAAATACTGGATAAAAAAAAAATTTTTTTGCTTAAAGCGAAAGGAAGAAAATTATAATAATGAAATGATCTAATGCCACAATGAAAATAATATTTATTTTAAGTCCTAAAATTTCGTCAGACAGCTATTTAAATAAAATACTAATGTATTTAGTTAAGTGAGTTATGATTATTTAAAAATTTGGTTCTATTTTTTTTAAAAAATAATATGCTAATCCATTAAAATTGGTTCTAATTTTGAAAAGAGGGGAGGTACTTTAGCAACCAAAGCACCTAGCAAGTGAAGCCTAATTTCACTTTTCTAAAGACAAATTCAGTTGCGGCATAATAAATTTAGATCCTTTTTAAGGATTCACAGGACTTCACATAAACTCAGAAAATCTGAAATTTATTTTATTGATTTATAATGCAAAATACATTATTTAGCTTCGAAGTTGGTGATAATACAGTTTAGTTTGGAAAAATTATTCATTTCTTTTTACCATATCTATCATTTTATAACTTTTCCACTTTCTCAAATTTATTAATATTGTATCTATTTAAAATTCCCATCCCCTTTTTTAAAAAAAATAATTTAACAATTTTGTCTATGGAAAAAAAAACCTTATTTCAAAAGTTAGATAAATCAATTGGGTTTACCTGTGTTGCATTTAATATATATTTTTTTTAAATTTAATAATACTTGTTATTTTAATAAATTATTATAAAATAAGATATTTGATAAAAAATATTTTGTTATTAAATAAAAAGGGAAAGTTTATTTTTTTTTAAAAAACATTTTTAAAAGGGTAGCAATTAATTTATTAAATTTTGTTTTAATAAATTCATATAAAATAAGATATTTGGATAAAAATAAATTATCATAAAATAAGATATTTTGGATAAAAATAAATTATCATAAAATAAGATATTTTGGGGGAATTTTTTTTTTGTTATTTAACAAAAGAGGTGAAAGGGAGAGTTCATAAAAATATCTTTATAAAAGGAAAACAATTTATTTATACTGCTAATATATTTTTTAAATAATAATTATCAGAGACTTGCAGGCCCGCCCGTACATGTGCTGGGTTGTATTTTTTTTAAATATACCCCCGGGCCTTATATTTATTAAATACCCCAAGGCTGAAATTTTTTTACCTGAGCCAAGTCGTGTATGAAAATTAAAAATATGTAATATATTTAAAAAATTCGGGTCTCTGATAATTATTAACATTAGTTATTAGTATTATATTTACTTATGTATTCAATTTTTTGGAATTCAATCCTCAACCTCATTATATTTTATTGAAAATTAAGTTATCATACAAAAAAAAATTATATATTTTTTGAGCTTTTTTTAAATTCCCTATCATCTCAAATCTATTTCTATATTATTCATATAATTTATATTTTTGGTAAAGATTTTAGTTTTTTAAGATATAATATTATATTCTTATTTTGTCATAACATTTGACCCATATTACCTTTGATTTTTTATTATTATATTTTAAAAAAGGCTTAACAGAAAACCTTGAATTGGACAATAATTTCGTTTTGATTAATTACACACACAACCTTGTTTATATTGATAAACGGAGTTTAAGAAAAAAATAGCTGCAAAAAGGAAATTGACCAAATTTTGTCGTAACCGATTTTCCATTTTATATTTTATATCAAAACACTCCGTCTATTAATTTACGTCTTCTATTTGGCTTAAAAAATTCTCCAAATTTCTTTAAAAAATACTCTGCCGATTTTTTTTATATATTTTATTAAATAATTATAAATATAAATAGCTTAATCATGAACTTAGGCTACAATTTTTTCCTTTAATTCAATCATACATTTAAAACGGAATCTTGTTTTTATTTTTTTTGATCCACAAAACTTTCTAATTTAAAATATAAAAATAATATTTAATATCTTATAATTTTAGAACAAATAGTTATGATAAATCATATAAATACTTCTAATTTTGATGATGAAAATGATTCTTATGTGAATGTGATGTTAAGTATTTTATATAATTTTTAACAATAAATATATATAAAATGCTATATAGGTCGGAGAAAAAAAAGGATATAAGTTTAAATGCAACAATTTGAATAATATGCAATACAATAATTTAATATCAGCCAGGGAGGAGCCCATTATGTAAAATAACATTCAACAAGGCAAAAATATATATCCAATTTAAAAATGAGAAAACATCTAACAATATTCAACCATACTAATTTATGTCATAATACTTCAATCGCCTTAACAAAGAACAAAATCACAAATAGTATCAAAATACCCTAAGTCCTGAAACTAAGAAACAAATCTTAGAGGACTTGAAGAAAAATCATCCATTTCTCTATTAACTGATGCAGCAAATAATGGAAATACTAAAACATCACATCCTATAATGTCCGCTATTTTGTTAAAGAAAGGTGTTTCAAAAAATCATATATTTTACCTTTTCCCAAAATTCACATTTTAGTTATCGGCACAAAAGACTTTACATTTAATAGTGAAAGGATAGAATTTTCAAGGCTCTGCAAAAGCTTAGACTCACTATTCTTTGCTTTCTCCGTGTTCGATGAATTTTTAGAAGTTTATCCTTATTGGTTGCCTATGCCTTACAATTCACAATGCAGGAAGAAAAAGGGATGCTTCATTATCAATAAACATAGCAATAATTTCTATGAAATGTTATGTCCAATTTAGAAGATCCATAAATGTTTTAAATAAAATTATGAATTCTCAAAATACTGAATGGTCCAAACTTCTATATCATTAATACCGGCTTTCAAAAGACTATATAAAAATTATTTAGCTGTTAGATCTTATTTTTTATCCCAAAAAAATTCAAATTTAATATTAAAATTATTTTTTGAAAATGAGTTGGCCGAGGCTCATTTGGTATTGTACTTTATATTGAACGAGTAAAACCTTTATATCTTTCCAGCATAAAAAAAATGTGCTAAAGAATAAAATATTATATCTAATTAATATAGTTTCTAGTTATTATGAGTTTAAACAAATCCTAATTACATTTTTAATTTTATTATAAAAGGAATTGTAATTATGTAATTATAATTACTCTAAAAAATCACGATTACTTGTAACTGATAATTAGCGTTTAAGAAAAAGAATTAGCTTATTAATCAAATACAAAAATTTTGTATTGTGTAATTAAGAAATAATTACAATGTAATTATGTCCATCCCTGATTCTAACATATTTAGACATAGCAATCAGGTTTTGAGGTAAGCAGAGAGTGGCCCAATCCGACCTCTTACCCTTTTTCTGGCTTAGCCCAGAAAAATTAATAAAAGTTGCTCAGCCCATAAAGATTTTAAACCTCCATTGCTCAGGCCATGAAAACTTTTATCTTGGACACTCTGCACTACTCGACCGAGGTATATGTAGATATGTAGTTCCGAATAAGTAAAAGATTTTTCTAAATAAAACATAATTTACTAATGTAATCACGAGATATTAATTATTGATCAAATAAGACGCCGAACGTTTTTCTCATAATTTTATTTTTTTTATTCATTCTTTGAGAGATATATAAAAACGAAATGATTTATTTACATAATAAAATAGGGAACCTGTAGAAGGAAATATTTATAATCTATTTACAAATATAAAAATTTATGGATAAATCTGTAAAATCGACAATAATTTTTTTTTCATAAATATACCTCAGGAGGTAGCTGCATCAATAAAAAAAAATATATATTATTAAATATACATATATTATAATTTTTTATTCCTTGTCCTTTCTTATTCAAATTTTTTGTCAAATCTTATACTAGTCTGATCGATATAATTTAATTTGTCCAAAATGTACAAAAAAAGGGTAAAGCTGTGTCCCAGGTCGGCTTAATTTGAATACTTAATTGATTTTTTAGGCTAAAAAGTATTTGATCGAGAACATTCTATTTATGTTCATTTTAAGTATTTGGTGGCATTGGTATTTTTCGTGTTTTTTTCTTTTGCTTCGTGGCTATTTAGCCGATACTTAAAAGACGGCTAAATAGCCGGCTTAAGTATTAAGACGACCTAGGACATAGCCTAAATGCTTAAAATTGTCCACTTTCCGTAACAAGTTTTTTTTTCATTGGTATCAATTAAATTACAAATAGGCTGATATCGATATCGTAAGTGTATTAATATATTTCCTTACTGAAAAAATGATATGGTGATTTAATTATTATAGATGTATCCTTTTTTTTAATAATTCTATGTGAACTTTGAAAATTGCAAGATAAGTTATAATTAATAATCGGGAAAGGGTGTAACGATACAAATTTTTAGAGGTCGATCCAATTTTACCGATATATAAAGTTGACACCCGTCAATCACCGATATTAACCTGTCCAATTTATAATATTTAATTTATAAATTTCTTATAATCAAAATAATTCCTAAAAATCAATCTAAACTGATACAAGCCAGTACATTAATTATGGGCAATTTCTTCCAGTCATCTCCAGAAATACCTGGCTGTATGTTATTAAACTAGACTTAAAAATCAGGCATAATTAAAAATATAAATAACTTTTTGGCATGCGGCTATCTTTTTCGGGTGAATGAGGCCTTTTAAGAACGCCCCTATTTTGATCGTCATCTATATAAGTTTATTTGAAGAAAAAAAATTCAAAATAAAATACAAGTTTTGTTTTCTAAATATAGGTATATTTCATATTATTGATATAAATAGACATAATATTCTTCTTGTGGAGGTACTACAAGAAAATAAGTAAATTGGTGTGACAAAGATGGATATTTAAATCCCTCTATATAGTGCATGTTCAAAAATTATTTGAAGCATAAAATATCAATTTTAACCCTCGAGTGAGTGGCAAGGTGGATGAAGAGAGTGATTCGGATGTGGCACAGCTTATCCCCATTTTAAAAGTGGTACATCTCACTCAAATGTATATATATTAAGCTTCGATATTTTAAACAGTTATTAAATAAATTACAAATATAAAAATTTTGGAGTTTTAAAATATATTAAAAAAATATTAAGAGAAATGTGGAGTTACGAGCAATAATCAAAATTTCTATTTTAAAAAAATCTTAGGCGTAGTAATTCAATGGTAAAACATTCAAAAATTTGAGTTTTAAAGGTAAGTAATTATTTTATTTTAAGATTCTCAAAAATCTTGCGCTAATTATTATAAATAATCTTTAAATTAATATATACCTATATTGCATGGCATAGTAAGAAATTGTGGTAGTAGGTCTAACTCAAATTACAGGAAATAATATTCTTCGAAATTTGGTGACTTAAAAGTGATTTTATATAATTAAAAATACAGATAATTTTGGAGGTCAAACCAATATTCTCAAATCTGTCAGTTTCACCTCGTTTTTAAGTATTTTACGTGTGACCCTTATCTAAAAGAAAATTTTTTTGTACCCAATGACAAATTTGATAATCAACGTTAGAGGAGGCGCTACCATATTATGGGCAAAGGATACTTGTCATGACACTGATTAGAGGAAGTTATGTACACAAAGCTAAACACAAATAATAAATTAACCTTCATACTCCCTGTGTGTGGCCGAACTTAATTTATTATATAATTAATTAATAATGTTGCAGTAATAAAGTACGTTTTTTTTATTTTTCCAAATAACCAAATTGTTCAAAAATTATAAATATACAAAATATAGTTTTTATTAAAAAAACTTAGATTTTAAGTTTCTCAGTGGTACAAAATACCGAAAATGTTGATATTTTAATTATCGAGATTTCTAAGACCAGGAATTCTGGCATCTAAGCTAAGCAAGGAAAAAAATTAAATCGAGATTAAATGACAAATATAGCAGAGAAGAAGAAGCCAAGCAGGAACAAATATAGGAGGCAGGCCTCTCTTAAAATTTTAAGGATTCGAAACTAATTTTAGAATTGAGGGGAAATCGGAAAAATTGTAACTCATTTTAGAGTGTTTAATTATTGCTTATAAACAGATTTTAAAACTGGAACCAAATCAAATCTAATTACTAAACCTTTAAAAAAAAATTTTATAGCAATGTATGTATTCATTGATTGTTGCATTAAAATCGAAATCATTTTTCATAACTCAGATTTCCATTTATTTAAGAAGGGTAGTATTTATTTTTAAGAAAATTATTACAATTTCTCTTGGAAATTTTAAAGAAAATGAATCATAGAGAGCCCCGTTCACAAAAATATTATTCAGAAGAATATTTTTAGCAAAAAATATAGATTTATCCCTAACCTGTTACATTATACCACCGAAAAGATACTAAGAAACCAAATTGATAAATGTCAGAAAAAACTAACCTTATTAATAAAAATACAATGAACATTTTTTTTTTAAAATAGTTCAAAATATAGAAAAAAATATCAATACAATAAATTTTATAATTTTGTTCTTTCATTCCTTTATATTTTCTTTTCTTTTCTTTCTTATCTTATTTTTTTTGAAACCTGAATAGAGTGGTGAACGACCTTTGTTATCTTCCTCCAAAGGCAAACTATTACATTCTTTGGATAAAATACAATGATTTGCATCTTGAGCGGCGTTATCAAAGGTTTCTTTTATGGGTGTAACGCTTTTTTCATCGTGGGAGTCGATTCCTTCCTGTAAGAAAATATTTTTTGGGCCTGACAAATCGCTACAATCATTTAACATTTTTGGAGAAAGATTTTGGAGAGGGGTAGTTTCGAGATTAGGGAAATTATCAGGAATTTTATCGATTTCTATCGATTCAACCGGGTCTATTTTTGGCAGGAGATCTGAATTATTCTGATTTTTTAAATATAATTTAAATGTATTTGTTTTTTAACTTATAAAAAAAATCTTAAATATTAAAAAATAGTATTTATAATTCCCCTTTACCTCCACAAAGGAAAATCCACCGCCTCCCACGTCTAAATTATTTAAGCTGGGAATCGTGGATTCGGTGTCACCATTGGCAGTTTTTGTGATGAAGGGAGTCGAATTACTATCTTCTAGGATGACCGAGTTGTTCGGTGGTTGTTTGTTAATGTCCTACCAAGTTGACGTTATTAAGAAAAAAAAATATATCATATTTAAATCCTTCTAATTTTTGTCGTCTTTATTTGAACCACATAACCAAGTCCAGTTGGTTCCCAAAGTAGCATTAGACCATACTGGACCTGGAGTTCTAGTAGTCCTTTTTTAAAGGGAAGATTTTTGTGCTGTTACATTATACGAACCTTATCGATAGTACTAGAATATCTCGAATGGCTTTTGCCTTTGTTGATGATATCCGAAGGTATGTATTGAACTAGTTGTTTGCGTTTAAGGTATTTGGTTTCCAGGCTCATACCTTCTTTGTAAACGTTGTGGGTTACTGCTTGCCACATAACTGTGGCATAAAAAAAATTAAAATAAAATAAAAAAAATTTTTTAAATAAATATTTTCATTTATTTCTCCTTTTCTAATTAATATGTAGTTTTTATTAATAAGGTGAGGTTTTTCTTACATCTTGACATATTTTCAGTGGTAAATAAGAACAAAAGATAATCCAGGGTTGGAGAAAAACAATTTTTTTTTCGATTTAAATTAAGCATGATTGGTCAGTTAATATATTTTAAAAAATCCCTCCAAGTATAAAATGACTCTGTAATATAGTGTCTATGAGAAATGATGCAATTCATTTGAGCTGATTTTTAAAAATGGCTCACTCAATATTCTACAAGATAAATATTGGCTAAGCTTCGAGATTTCGCTAATCGAAGTCCAATCTTTCTGCTATGACCAAAATCTTTAGGCTTGCATAATATTTTTCCAGTTAAAGTATTAAGTTAGACGTTTTTAAAAATCGGAATCGAGCCGTTTAATAACATTATTGGTAATATATAATTATCCCGACCTTGAAAATTTTATTTTACAAACCTGTGTCAGTGAAGAACTGAATATTTTCGGTGATGTCGATGTTAACGTTTTCTACCTTGTGGAACAATAGGCCTATAAACCACATAGTTTGAACAAGGCTCCTAAGCAAAATTGAATCGCATTTAAAAAATAGTGAAGATAAGCATTTTTTCTAAAAATAATTTACTAATTTGACAAGATATCACGAAGATTAAAAAAATATTTGATGAACATTCAGTCTCATTAGAATAGTTGGATAATTACTTATTTAAAAAAATTTTAATCATGAAAAACTTTTAAACTCATTTTTATCGGTCTCTATGTCGTTATGGTCGTTATCTATTTCTCTTTTGTCTTGATAGTGATCGCTATTTTCTATGATACTCTCAGTGGCATAAGAGGGCGTCAATTCGTTTGGAGTTTCGTAATTGTTAGGGTTTATGTGAGCCAGTTTAAGGAGATGATTGCTTTCCAGAGCAGTTATCAGGGTTCGGATCTTGGATTCAATCAGACCAACCCTTGAGTCGAATACATATTTTATTAAAATAAAACGGGTCTATAATTAAGAGCATCAGGGTTCGATAATTTTAAAAAAAATAAAATGAAGGAAAATAAAATAAATAAAATAAAAGCAAAAAAATTAATATAAATTTTATTATTACCATTCCAGTTGCATTTCTTTGTTTGGTGATTTGGCGATCAAAATGATATAATGCCTATTTTCGAAATAGATGTATATGTGTATGAATGAATATTTATTATCATATATGATATATTTTTATGAATTATTCACTTGATTATTAAGTATAAAGTTTTTCATAAATTTTTAAATGGATAGAGTATTAAAAAAATTAATATGCCTTATAAAAAATAGAAGATTATTTAAAATCTTTAAAACGTATTCTTTTTAATATATTTTTTCTTGGAAAAATATAAGCTTAATTAAAACAATCTAAGGATTTATGAGAAAAAAAATTAAATCGTTTTTGGGTCAGTATTTAAATTTCTAATTTAATAGTTTTAAAAGTTGTGCATTTTATAAATGTTTTATTTTTTTATGCGCGTCATAGTTGTATTTGACTGGCAAAATTATCATCCACATTTTAAGGATTATAATAATTATATTATTATCAAGGGTATAAAATTATACAAATAATGGTATTATTTTAAAGGAAACGTCGAAAATAAATTTTAAATTAACCTTCATTAAACGTGTGTTTGCCATTCAAGTTTTTAAAAACATATAGTTTTAAAAGTTTTTCATGATGAAATTGAAAAGGATGGGTAATATTTTTTAAATCTATAATTACATTTAAAATTTAAAATTTTTGGTAATATTTTTTAGAAAATTTATGATAAAAACTTTACACTATTATTTATTTTGTAAATATGATAATATATAAAACTTATATTTCTGGAAAAAGTTTGGAGCTTCGAATAGATCAGCCCAAGTTTTAGTGCCTCTGACAATCTCTTCTACAATGGCTAAACCTTAAAACATTAAAAGGTGTATTTATAATTTATTCAACAAATCCTATTCTCCTTTATTCATTTTTTTAAATTCTATTCTTTCCCTTTCTAACAACTTTCGTTTTATTTTTTTTCCGAATTATTTCATTCATTTTACCAGATTTAAATTCTTCTTCAATGATTGTGCGAGTTGATAGGGAAACGTTAAAAGTAGAATTTTGGTAAGGATAGACGGGGGTTATGATTGGCATAAGGTGGTAACGGTCTCCAGCATTTATCTAGAGATATTTTAGGAAATTTGTAATATTTAAGGTAGCTTACAAAAAATGCAAATAGTGGGATCCGATCCAACATGATTTAACAGCTGAGCGATTTTAAAAATCTAAGTGAGATCAATTTTTCTTTAAAAACAATAATTCTTAATATCATGAATAGAATTAAAGATAAAATTAATATTTATAAAGAAAAATTGATCTCATAATCGATTTTAAAAATTTATCAGCTGTAACATTGTGATGGATCTGATCCCAATCTAAAAATCAAGCCTTAAAAAGAGCGTCGAGCCTAAAAGTAGGAGACAAAATAATCTCTAAATTTCCTAAAAGCCATTACCATGCCTGATGGAAACGTATTAATCCCATGCCTGGTAAAGTGTCTTTGGCAGGCATCCCATCCTTAAAAATAAAATATATGATGAAGAGGATGGTTTTCCTCAGCTTAGTGAACGCCCCTGGATGAATCCAAGGCATAATGATAATAATAAAATTTTGCAGGAACTGTGTATCAAAACGCCTACTATTCTTTAAAAGAAAAGCTTTTACTTTAGTCATTCTCTTTAATGAAATTTTCTCAGAGAAATCAGGTGTATGTCATAATAATATTTACGATAGCCAAGTAACAATATAATGAGACAAAAATCACTTTTATGTAAAAATATCTTATTTGATTATCGAAAAATTACAAATATCAATGACAAAACATTAAGAGGATATATATTGTCTGCTGCAGAGCAAATCCTTAATCTGAAATTTGTTTTAGCAAAATCGATTTGCCGTATATATACAAAAACTAGTATCATAATAAACAAAAAATTTGACAATAAGTAGATATATTTAGTATATTATTTACTAACCCTAGGGTCCCATATTGGAAAATTGAGGCCTGGACTTGCTTCTTTCATAGGCTGAAGCAAAACTGGTTTAGGCCATTCCCTATTTTTTTAAGTGTATAATATTTAATATAAGACATTTTGCAAATATGTGGAAAAATTAATATTCAAATTAGAGGTCAATGGTTTTGAAATGTTCAATTTGTATGCACTATTACTTAACAAAAATTGGTTATTAATTTTAGTAATGTAACTTGGACATCTACAGTTAATAAAATCAATTTTTCAGAAACTCAGCAAGATGATTGGTAGTTAATAATCGTATTGAATAGAAAAAAAATTAATATAATTTTACCAATTTGAGAATACAAGGAAAAATCTGTGAACCAAGGTGGAAGCAATAGCGTTAGGATACAACTGGCATATTCTGGCCACCAGCATAGCCCAAGATACTCCACCCAGGTAACCAAGAACATTAGAATATACACCATGATCTTAAATATATATGATGTATATGTATATAAAAAATAGATATCAGTCTGTACATTTGTAATTCCAGAATAATAAATATTGGTATATGATTTTAGGATGAATGAAACAAGTTAAATCTAAGTCTAGTAAGAGAAGGAAAAGAAATATTCAATTTCTTTATATTTTTTTTAAGTTAAATTATACAAACTTTTGGCCCATATTTTGATAGCCCGAAGGGCCAGCCTGAAATTTTCAATATTAGGAATGAGGTGCAATATTTCATCTGTCACACGAGATCCTATATATATATATATATATAATAAAGGAATAAGTAAATATATCAATCTTAGAATCCTGGTTAAAAATTTGGGCTAAGATCAAATTTATAAACATTTGTTTATGTTTTCATTATGTTTTAATTTTAAATGACCACAAAACCACCTAATTATTAAACTTAAAAAAAGGAAAAAATTATCTATATCTTACTTGTATTGTGCATTATTAAAAAATGTGTGGAACTTTAAATTAGTCCAAAAGTATTATATATATGGGGAATAAAATTACCATTGAGACTTCTGACACATTTTTGGTCAAGATTCTTGAGGAGGGTCTCATCCCTTATATTTTCATCCTTGTGGACAATTTTTAAGGCTAAACGGGCAAAGAGTAAGTCCAGCTAGTAAATAAATTAAGTTCAATAAATATAGATATCGAATATGTAAATTACATAAGGTAAGTAATCATTATGAAATCTAACAATTCAATCTTAACAAACATTTCAAATTTAACAATATTAAATTTATGTGTAATCAAAACAAATAATGTAATACCTCTATACCATCAAATTTCATCTTAATAACTGGAACATAGGCTTCTTCTATTGCCTATTTTTATGAAATAAATTTAGTATTCATTATAAGTTTTAATAATTTTAAAATAATTTGTTGAATAAATAGATTACTCTAATATCAGTTACTGAAGGATTTTTTTTCAATGTTTCAAAAAATGAGGTAAAAAATTCATTCCTTTCAATGTGTCTAGGTCCTATACATAAGGTATCTATATCAGCACCTATATGGGTATATAAGTAAGTAAATGTAATGAATGTTGTAGCTTTAGTAATATATGTAAATCAGATCTATTATACTAAAATATTAATTACAATAAATATAAATCTGTATTAATCAAATATTTTATCAAAAACATAATAGGTTAAATTCATTATATAAAAAAATCTTATAATGTAAATATTTAAATTATAAGTAATTTGAAATTAAAATTGATAAAAAATAAATTACCTTTGGTATGAACTCCTAATCTATATGAACCAAATGTACATATTTTTCCACCAACTTGTTCTGCAATTTCTATAGGCATATTCTAATAACAAATTTATTATTAGGTAATATGTAATAATATACTTTTTTGACACTAGTGTCTTTGATCCATTCAGTAAATATGGCATTTAATTTTCTTAAAACATCCATTCTAAGATTAAAACAAATAAGTATAAACTAATATAAATTATCTAGAGCACCTTAAATTAAGTTCTAATTCTGTTTCATATAAATTAAATGATTTTAACAATTCTTCCAGTTTATTAGTAAGATCAAAATCAACAGCTTTAGGTACTGCCATACTCAGTGCTGAGGTCATGCCTATAGTTTTACAACTATTTTGATTAGGCATATTATCAGATTCCCTAAATTTACATGGATATTTAAAGTTAAGAAATTAATTATACTTTGTCATTAATAAAAATTAAACTTTCCTCGGCACATAGAAATCCCAACGAATCAAAGTTATGGACACCAATACTACAACCTAACGCAAAATAGCGAAAATAGATTTAAACTTTGAAATTCTCATCATGAAATATATAAGACTATTTATTATTATAAATATTTTCAAAAGATATCTACATTTTGAGGGATTTCTTTATATTTTATTTATATGAAGCATAATTTTGAAAGATATCTTTATTATCTATCTAAATTATGCCGTGACTAACTTGGACAAGGGAGTAACACGAGACGTAAAAACATTAACAAATTTCTGTGACTAAATACAGCTACTTATCAATTATATAAATGATAAAACCAAGATATATTTTTAAATAGTAATCAGCGTCTAATCGTGGGGGAGGGGGTTATTATTATTTTTATTTTTTTAGAAATTTTATATATCAATCTTAATTAAATAAAAATTAATATAGTCATTTATTAATTAAACATAAAATAAATTCCATTTAATATTTTTTGTATATGAGCTGAGTATTAATTTTTTAAAAACCCTAATAATTAATGTTGTTAAACGGCTCGTTTTGAGCCGATTTCTAAAAACGGCTAACTCAATATTTCATCTAGAATAATATTGCTCAAGCCTGAAGATTTTATTTGTAGAAGAAACAAAGGTTTGGATCATCTATTAGCTAAATATCTAGGCTTAGGCAATATTTTCCTGGCTAACATATTAAGTTAGGCGTTTATAAAAATCGGCTCAAAACGAGCCGTTTAACAATAATACTAATAACTCTATTAACAAACTTACCACTTAATTGAAAATGCTTGCAAAAATAAAATTTAAAGAGTCAAAGTAGCATACTAAAATTTTTACTTCAACCACTTAATAATATAAAAAACCACAAAATGCTGATTTCAAAGAATAATTAAAATGTTTTATAAATTATACTTATATAGATTAAGGTAATGAAAGAATATATGTAGAATCGGGCAAAGAGGATGTGAGAGATTTAATAATCGAAGTAACAGAAGTTACGCATTATTTGTCACCTAAATCACCAAATCAAATGCTATAGAAATATTATATTACTTAGATTCATAAATAATGGAAGCAGGTTATTTTGCTGTCATGGGAACTGGCGTTGTAAGCTAATATAGACAATTTAGTGTATGTGTTAGATACGTTGATAAGTAAAAAAACACCAAACGAATCTTTAGAAAAATTAATGACCTGGACACAATATAACACAAATAAGTACTCTAAATAAGAATTATATCATTCCATTTGTTGTGATAGGGCAGGTGTTATAAAAGGTTGCTTGTAATTGGAAAATATATACCACGGTAATGTGGTGAAAGCATAGATGATTTTCTAAATTATTTGAATATTTATTTTTCAAAAATTATAATCAATGTGCTCAAATATTTCTAATTTCAAAAAATTTGACTCGGAAATATAATCAGCAATAGCTGTTTTTAAATTTTATATTATTTCTCTGTCAAAAAATGATTCATATTTTTCTCCTTTATATAAAAATCAAATAAAAGATCAACATTTTATTATATTTTGAATTACTATTCTAATGGATAACGTAATTTCAGCTAATTTCTGATGAAAATTTTTTTAAACTTACAATCAGTAACACGAAAATTATTTAAAATTTATAGGGCAAATAGTCAACGCATTCTGGAATATATTTCCGGTCAAATTAAGTTATATATAAAAAAAGCCCTTAATAAGTAATATAAAATTTGGAGGTTCCGAATCCCCATCGATTTCATGGTTTAGGGAAAAATTTATATTCTTTCTTAAATTAATTTCTGTCGTATATATGAATAATAAAACTACGTTTAGATAGAAATTCATTCCATCTATTTTTTGTAGCACATTAATTTTTTGTGATCAGTATAAGTATAACACCTGTAACCCCTTTTGTAAATGTTTAAAATTGGCATCAAAGCATAAAAGCAAAAATATTTTGTAGAATTTATGGATATTAAAAATGTGACGGTCGTATAAAAAAGTTTAACAGGCCATTAGATAATTTATGATTGAAAATATTTACTGCAGAACTGGCCATTTATACAAAAAATATCATCCAAGGCCTCGAAAAATACATATTAGTGATCTACATCTTGCCCAGCGTCTACATGAGCTGGAGGGGTAGGAACAGTTTGCATCTTATTTTCTGAGGGGGGGGTAGGGGTAGGCGGTTTTAATGGGGGTAGGATAAATTTTTTGGGTTTTTTGAGATAAAATAGGACGAAATTTATTGCTGTAAAAATTATTACTTTTATTATAGAACTATTATAATACAATTCATCGACCAAATCTATATATTGCAAACAATCATACACATTGTTTTCCAAATTAAACTTTCTCTAATTTAAAAGGTTTAGATATTTCAACAAGCTCATAAAGTTATTTTAATAAATTCATTGTAAATAATGAAGGATTTAATTGAATTTATTATCTAAAAAATAAATCCTTTATATTTACAAAATATCGGTAGATGGTAGTGGAGATAGATTAATTTAAGTTATCCTCTATAAATTCTCTGAAAAGAGTTTCATTATAATTAAAAAGGCGTTAATAAAAATGGGAAAAAATCGCCGCCGAAGGTGGTGGAAATTTTTAAGGGGGTATGCAAAGGTTTTTGAAGGGGGTTTGAATCCAGTGAAAATTCTGTCATGTAGACACTGACTGGCCTAATTTTTTAAGTTCAGTCGGGTCTAAAAAATTCTTATTTGTCCCGAAAAGCCCGACTCAAAATAAAAATTATTTGAAGGTTCTCCCTCACCTGAAATTATTTAAATATAAAAAATTTAATATTTCTTTAATTGCAAAAAAAATATTTTACAAATCAGAAATATAGGTGCCTTGTTTCTTGCAAGAATGTTAAAATATAAATCAGGTTATTTCACAAAATTCTATTTAATATTTGAAACATCCCACCCGGGCTGGGGTTATTTTTTAGAAAAATATTAGACTCACGGGCCGGACCGGGATATGCAGATCTCTAATATATAATAGATTTCAAATAAAAATTATAAATTTCCTTTTTGAATGAGCAATAATTAAGGGATGTACATAAGTAGAATTAAAGGATGATAGGGAATTTTAAAAAATACGAAATGAAAAATTCAAATATTGGAGGCTTTAGAAAAATATTAGGCTTCGACCCAAACGAACCAAATAAATTTATAAAATAGGCTCAGCTCGAAAGGACTCGGGCCGGGTATAGACTAGGCCGGAATTTACAGATCTCTAATATATTTTTTATTTAAAATAAAAACTATAAATGCACATTTTTAAATGTAATTAAGGGATGTGAATGAGTGATTAAAGGATGATGAGGAATTTTAAAAAAGACGAAATGGAAATTTAAAATATTGAGGGGTATGAAATTTGAAAAATAATATTAAATCAATATTTTAAAAAATTACACACCAATAACATCTCAAAAAACGCTTAAATAAGTAAATAAGAGGTCAAGGGAAAGGGGGTGGACATTTAAAAAATACAGGTATGAGTGGCCAGAGATTTTCCGGCTTAATATTATTTTAAAAATTAATTTCCTTTAAAGATGGAGACTGAGGAATAAACCGTAGCTGATTCGATATCTTTAATCCATTAATGATCCTTTGATATTCTAGAAATTAGCAAAAAAATAAATATTTAAAAGATAGAGCCTGGTGCTTTTCCTTATCGTAAGCCATATAGCGAGCGTCCAAAGTCAAAATTTTATTTTTAAAAAAATTTTATTTATTATTGAAATTTACGAAATCTAGTTTGAACTCATAAATATATCAATGTGAGATTCATTTTTTTTTTAAATATTTTGACTTTGAACACACTCTGAGTAGTATATTAAAAACAGAAATTATTTATAAACTATAACAGATAGTAAAACAGTAGATATCTAAGTCCTCGATATAGGTAGCCCTGTTAGTATAACTTAACTTCAAGTAGATTTTAAATAAAAAGGAGGGCGCCAATAGATTTCTTCTCACTTACTTCTTAATCTTTTGGTGTGGTGAGCAAACCAATGATTGTGAACATTTATCAATGATTGTGAACATTTATTATCATTTATAATTTTGGCGGATTCTGACTGTTTATCTATAAAATGATATAAAACCTTTGGGTAAATTCATTTCTTCATTTATAATTTTACTGTAATTTTTTGAACGTGCCCATATAATTAATAATATAAGATGTAGTCGGTTATATTTTTACAGTAAGAAGATAAATAAATCACTTCAACCTATGCCAGAGCATAATTCAGAAGCGTTGTGGATGAAAATGACCCTTGTACTACAAATCCTTCATAAAGATTTGTTCTAGAGTTTTAGTCTAAGAACTCGTTATGATCTCCTTATAACTTTTTTTTAAAATCCAGTATTATCAAAATAATCAATTCTGTAATATCATAATGATAATTGGCATCTAAAATCACCAGTGATCATAGAAAGGTTATATTTCTCTGCTAAAGTTTTGAATCGAACATAAATTTATCGGTTTTTAACGCAAGAATTTTATAAGAATAAGCTATAGTGTGTCCATTTAAATGTATTTCATTGTTGAACATAATAAAGAAGATAAGAAAAAAAATGAGAACTAAGAGGAACAAATAACTTACCTTTGTGAATAAAAAAACCTAATTTGAGAGGAAGAGATTTTATCGTGATAAAAATAACATAATTGAAGAAAGTACATATTATAACTATAAATATTATAGTTATTATTGAAAATTGCCCCCTTAAAAAAAAATAAACATGGTAAGAACAACTAAGTCAAGGTCATGTTATAAATTAATTTATGTTTATTGAGTATGAAAGAAATCTGATAGTTAAAACGTTAATAGTTAAAACAAAAATTTGAAGGATAAAAAAGTAAACACGCAGAAAGGAAACAAATTTTGTATAAAGAGAATGTTTAATCATATATAAATAAGATTAGAAAGCATGCTTTGTAAATTGGAGGGTGATATAATATTATCCATATAATTTAATATTTTTGATATATGGGTCTAAGATAATGTTTGGTAAAGACACCTATTATTTCAAACTAGATTTAAATATTTGTATTAAATAATATTAGAATTTTAATGTGAAACCTCTGGATTATAAGCATTTCAATGTTCAAATCAGAGATGAATATGCATGAGTTATTAGACAGTTAAAAAAAGGGAAATTATTTTAATAGGAGACTCTGAAATGTAAGTATATTTCTAGAAATAATTCAAAAAATGCTTACAACCGGAAACACAATTTTTTTTTAAATAAAATGATGCAAAAAATATAAAAGGCTAAAAGAAAATACTATGAAAACATGAAATATAAATAATGGGTATGTAATTAATATGCTACAGTTAAGGAATAAAATAATTTTTAAAATTTTTTTAGCATTAAAAATAATCTTAGTGAATGTTCATTAGGTTCAAGCTTTCCAATCTCTCTCCCGATAAGCTTCTTAGATCTCGCTAATATTTTAAATTACAAACTTATCCTCGGTCTTCTGGTTATGGGAATTATGCCAGCCTATCCGAATTAAACCGTATAACCATTTAGGTGTTCTTATTGCATTTATTTTTGCCGTTAACTATGAATGAAAACGAATTCATTTTTTTAAAAAAGAAATGTTTATAGCACTAATATTAACATATTGGTTTTGTACGCCATTCTTTTAGATAAAACCACTAGGACACTAAGGTGAAAATTAAACTAAAAACTTTTTATCTCGGAAAAAAGATTGTTCAAATTATAATGATAGACTGACTAGGGACTGATGATCTTTTCTATCTGCTTAAATGTATTAACATATCGATATTATAATAAATATTATGAAATATTATTCAACGATCCAAAGCATAATTCGTAGATAAAATTAAAAACTAGCAGATATATGATACCAAGGAAACAGCGATATTAAAACTATCATTGCCATTATATGTAATAGATACCATTTTACATGGTTTCATGTACAAAATAAATACATATAAATACATCACTATTTTAAAAAGGGTGCTTAAATAAATATTAAAAAAACTGCATTATGATAGTTTGAATAATATGCTGAAACGATTTATATTTTTTGCATTAAAATGTTATGGTTTAAATAAAAAAAAATTATAAATATTTGCCTCTGGCGTAATTATTTATTCTAAATTCCTCTAAATTAAATAATTCAATCGAATAGGTTGAAAATTCTTGCGTTTAAGTAATTATGCATTTTTCTCATATGATACAATTACATCTAAACATACAATCAATTATATTTATTACCTTGGAAGTGGGTCTGGCCCGAATTCTGATCCATCCTAATTTTAAAGTTCAGGTCACGATCGAGCTTAAATTTTTAAAAAATAAAAAAATGATGTTTTTTGATTTTGAAATAAAATAATATAGTGAAATTTCTTACCGGGATCGAACAAAGTAATTAATGATTTTATTCAAAATTTTTCAACTATAAATCTTGGGCCGGGTTTGGTTTGGGGCTAGCTTGGGCGTAAGAATAGGTGAAGATTCTGGTATCTGCGTATAAAATTGTATCAAAAATTTAGGGGTCGGTAAGAAAAAAATTGAATCCTATACGTGGCATAAAATAAATCTTCCTCACATAAGAAACTCACTTTTCATTTATTTTCTCTGTTTTTGTATCACGCAAGAATTATTTTTTGATCTATTAAGTAGTAGCAGAGGTAGCAAGCTAATGAAAAGATTAAAAATGGTGATTCAAATGGTATCTTAACACTCGAATCATCTTTTATTTACCTTGTTAGGCTACATTCGATCTTTAATATATATTGATCTGTAAACTCCCCCAAAAAAATCCATATAAAAGTTAATATTTTGTTTAAAATATTTTCTTAGGATGCTTAATAAATTTATTTACCCTAAAATCCCTTAACCCAATATAAAAAATATTAAAAATAAACCATTAAAGAAAATCAGGTGTTGCTTACTATCTTTTTCCTATAAAATTTGTCTTTATATTTTTACTATTTTTAAAAGATTCCTATTTATCCTAACTTTTTTTAAAAAAATTCTTAAAATTATGATGTAAGTTTCGGACAAAAAAATACTTATTTTTTCAGAAATATAGAACGAAAATCTAAATTTACTTTTAATACAAAAAATAATTATTTTATTTTTCATTATTTCTTGAATTTATATATTGAATTCAAAAATTTTTAGATCCAGGTCCATGACAAAACTAATATCTAGACCTAGAATTCTAAAAACATGGACTGAAGTTTGATATAAAAAGATATCAAAGCCGCAAATGCACCAAAATATATTAATTTCAAAACAACAATTTTATACAATCATTATGGATAAATTTAAGTAATTTCAAATATAGACATAGAGAAGAATTTTTATGCTCATAATTATAAATGGGATGAATTTAATATGACTATTCCAGCAATGTAAAGATATAATCTTATAAAAACAAAATTTCATTAATATAATATATATATATACTTCATCATAATTTTAATCCATCGTATGTTAAAATTTATGAATATAAAATTAAAATATGTAAAAAGGATTATTATATAAAAAAAAAAAATATGCAAAAAGATTATATGCACAAATACAAATTCAAATGATTTTAAATAAACAAAAGTCCTTCCTTAACACGTTTTCCCTGCCCGATGGTTATTTAAAAATTTTTTAATCTGTCCCTCTTTCCACCCATATTTAATTAATTTACCTGCCCACTCATCCTATTGTTTAAAAATTTTGCCAACCCCTCCCACCTATATTATATGATTGGTTAGAGAAAGAAAGAAAGAAAGAAAGAAAGAAAGAAAGAAAGAAAGAAAGAAAGAAAGAAAGAAAGAAAGAAAGAAAGAAAGAAAGAAAGAAAGAAAGAAAGAAAGAAAGAAAGAAAGAAAGAAAGAAAGAAAGAAAGAAAGAAAGAAAGAAAGAAGAGAGAAGAAAGAAAGAAAGAAAGAAAGAAAGAAAGAAAGAAAGAAAGAAAGAAAGAAAGAAAGAAAGAAAGAAAGAAAGAAAGAAAGAAAGAAAGAAAGAAAGAAAGAAAGAAAGAAAGAAAGAAAGAAAGAAAGAAAGAAAGAAAGAAAGAAAGAAAGAAAGAAAGAAAGAAAGAAAGACCCCCTCTTTTTAATTTTTTTTTAAATTAGGTTTAATGAGAGTTAAAAATAAAATCTTTCCCACTTATAAGGGAAACCTGCTGATAAAAGACTCTAGGGCATCTGTTACCTATGAATGAGTCAATTTTCAAAGTAACTGTAGCGCGTTTTTTTAAAAAATGGATCTTTTTCAGTGACGGTAGCGCGGAAGTTTTAACGCACTTTTATTTTAAAGTTGCATGCATCTTTCTTTTCAAAGGTTTTTAAAAATTTACCCGGAACATATGTCATTTTTTTAAAAAAAATATATAGCGGCAGTGGGCTACTTTTTTTAAAAAAAGGAGAAATACGCTCTTCTTTTTTTAAAAAATGGAACGTTTATTAGATAAATTATGTAATTATTTGAATTGAATTTTATTATTATCGTAAAATTATTATCGTAAAAGCTATTTAAAAAAATACATATATTTATAATGTGAGCCAAAATATTAATTTATATTAGATATTAGAGATATGCACCGGGTCGGGCCCATTTTTTTTAAAAATTCTGGCAGGGTCGGGTCGGGCTGTGGAAATTTTTTTTAATATATCGATATTTATCAATTTTATGTTGAATTTTTAATGTAAAATATAAATATTTTATTTCATTTATAGAAACTAGGCCCGATGCAGATCACTAGCAGACATTTACCTTTATTAGGAAAATAAGTATAACAAAAAAATATATTTAAAAAAACATAATTTATGAATTGACAGGTACTCAATTGAACACATTGAATCTTGTGAATGTTGATTACCCATTGTTCTGACAAAAATTTACATAAATGTGTTATTGGGTTTACAACACTCTTTGCATGTTTTTTTGTGGCCAAAATATTTTTGGGTGATAAAAGTATCATTTTATCCAGACTATTTATTTTAAGAAAGGAAAATTCTAATGTACCAACCTATAATAATACTAAGCTCATCAAGCTTAAACCTCAAGTGATAACTAAAATTCCCATTAAATCTCAAGATTCTTTTTTTAAGTATGACGTTCACACAATGAACTGCAAAATTCGACATTTCGATCCAAACGATAAAAGCATATCGAACTTTATTAACTATACGATGGAACCCCTAATATGTTCCAATATCACGGCCCTTACAACCATACGAAATGGTATTCTAACATTCAATTACGATGTCCTTAATCTATATTATAGTAAGGTAAATATGGAATTTTGCAATTATCAGGTTATATTAAGAAATTACAGCACGACTAACCCGGATGAAGATACCGAATTGTCAGACAAAATACTTTTTAAAAATGATACACTTATAAAAGATGATTTTATATTAGTTAAATGTTATAATGACAGTGGAAAACACGTCTTTTATAGCAATACACATAATAACGGAGCTATAGACGCAGAATCCTATCGCAAATATAGACACCAACATCCAACTAGGTTCGGTCCTAATAACTACAGTGTATTTTCCACCAATGCTACTAGCAACAAGACTAACCAAAGTAAAATTAATATGATCCCAATTGTTAATAATGAAACGGTTAAATCTTTCCAACATTTTCCCATTGATAATCGAATACTGAACCTTCTCATGATCGGTATAGATTCAACTTCGAAATTAAATTTTATTCGTGGACTATCCAATACGCGTCAGTATTTGTTATCGCAAAGAAACGAAAGCTACACATTTAATGGTTATATTAAAGTGGGAGACAACACCTTTCCCAATTTGGTGGCATTGTTGACTGGTAAATTTGTTAAAGAATATCCCAAAGACTTTGGTGAACATTACTTCGATAACTACAGCTTTGTGTGGAAGGCGTTTGAAAAGAGTAAAATCAATTATACAACCGCTTTTATAGAAGATTGTTTCGAAATGGCCACTTTCAATTATTTCAAAAAAGGATTTTACAATCCTCCTACCGATTTTTATTATCGTCCCTATTCGTTAGAATCAAACAATTTGCTTGAAAATAAGGATAAATGCATACGGGATAAACACGAAGTATTAGCCTTACTAGAATATTCCAGGGATTTGATGATTTCCTTTAAGTCATGGCCTTATTTTTGTCTCACTTATACTGCCAGGTTGACTCACGAGGAATTGAATGGTATTAAATATGTTGATGAGATGTTGGTTAACTACTTCAAAGATTTATTCAAGGCTAACGCTCTTGAAAACACTCTTATCATTATCTTCGGAGATCATGGTATGAGATTCGGCAAATTTCGAGAGACCTTTATGGGTACATTATAACGATAAATAAATTAAAGGAAGGGTTTATGTTAATTAAATGACTTTTAATAGAAATTACGATTTATGGCGTGTCGAGCCTACTCAAATAATTTTAAAATCCATTTTTTATAGGAAAAAATGTTCACTTTAGGCCAACTTGTATATTTTGGTCCATAACATCGGACGAGTGGCCACTAAAATGGCGGGGTACGAAGCTGCTCTTAAAGTTTGAAAGGGAATAATTTTTTTGAAAATTTTCATTTTTATAAAAAAAAAAATGGGATTAAAATTTAAATTATATTCTAATCTATTATCGTATAATAATATAAATATTCTTCATTATCCTTGAAACCAGGAAAATTATGGTTATAAACAAAATTCAAAAAGAAATTAAATCTAATAGATGCATTTCAATTATAGTTGATGGTATATATGATATTTCGTAATCAGAAGCAATAGATTTGTTAGTAAGATTTATTAAAAATTAATGAAATGCCTAAACCGGAATAATGCAAACACGTCTCTTGATATTATAAAAAATATAGTTTGCAAACTTCCTTGAGTCACCTCCTCGAATTCTTAGTTCAACAAAGCTATCATAGTGCTTCACACATGAGTGAACGGATCGCTTTGATTGAAGCTGTGGCCCCAAAAGGATATTTTATTTAATGTGATTGTTATCGGTTATAATTAATCATTGTTCAATTATACCAATTGATAAGAGAAAATGTTTTAAGTGATCTGAGACGAAATTCACATGTATTTCAATGGTGATAAAGGATATGCAGTACTTAAAGCACTGCAGAGTAATGAATTGACGAGCTCATAACGATTTGTACGCACAAAGAATACCACTCGGTAATATAATCCTACTTGTTTAGATAAAAATGTTTATTTAATATATTTATAGAAGCTGGCTATCACTATATGGCTATTGTAAATATTTCACTACTTTATGATGTGAAGGCAGCTTTAGACAAATTAAGGTTTCTGAAGATCTTGTCATTTCTGCCATGACTGGTGCTCTAGTTAGAATATAAAAATTTAATTTTATTAGTTTGTGTTTTGGATAAATTGTTAATTGATAACAAGTTTGCGAAAAATTGTAAATTATGTCGAAGGATATTTTTTAAATTTTTTATATAAAAATGTTAATTCTAAGTAAATAAATGAAAAAATGAATGCAAAGACACCTATGAAAAAAATAAAGCCAATAATAAGTAGTGCTCCAATATTACAACATTTTGATCCAAAATTACCAATTATACTAACAGTAGATGCATGATCCTTGGAAATCGCGGCGCTAATCTCGTATATAGAAGGGAGAAAGGAGAAACCAATCGCATTCGCCTAAGAATGCTAAATACAGCAGAGAAAATTTTTAGCCAAATAGAAAAAGAAGCTCTTGCCATCATATTTGGGGTTATAAAATTCAAAGAATTTATATATGGAAATGTTTGCATTACAAACGGATCACAACCCATTAATGAGTTTATTTCATCCAAGTAGAGATATATCAACAACATCCACTTCCAGAATACAAAGTTGGGCTTATTATTATCAGGTTATCAATATGAAATAGAATTCATGAGTAGCCAGAATATAGCCAATGCTGACATGCTATTTCGATTACCAATTAGAACACAATATCAAAAGGAGAAAATCAGGATCAAATACAGGTGGGAGAACAAACATCTTGAATGCCTACGAAATTGAAAGAAAAACAATGAAAGACAATACGTGTGGTGGCCTAATATAAACGAAGATATTTTAAGAAGGGTTTAGAAAAATGGCCAGAAACAACACTATATGCTGCAAAAGACATCTATTTAAAATTGGCAAAGACCACCAAGAGCAGGACACCGAGTATTATTTCTATTGGTTATCTATTTTTCGGAACCAATTATAAGCGTAACTACAATAATCATAGACTAAAGTATGAATCTTGTTATAAGAAATTGCAACCAGTTTTATATTAATCGACTTAATTATTTATTTATAAATTAATATTTTTTGAGGGCAAAGCCCCCAACCGTTTTTGTATAGGTTTCGAATTAAAACATTGGATACATCACTGTATTGTAACTTATAAGATTACGTTATCAAGAAAAAGTATTATTTTCTAAAAAAAAAATTCAATGAATCGTCGAGGTTCCACAAATTTGTTATATACAATGATCTCTGAAATCTGACCATGTTTTATAATTAAGAGAGTTAAAAATTTAAAGAAAGTTAATCGTTCACTCAATTTTTATAGAAAGTATTCTATCTTGAAATGATCTTACAAATTTAAATTGTTATCTTAAAAAAAAAGACAATGTTGCTAATATGAAATTTCAAGCATCTTAAATAATATTTTAAGTAGTGTTGTTAAAAAGCCCGATTTGAGTAGATTTATAGAAAAGGCTTAATATTATAACCAAAATAATATTGTGTAAGCTTAGTGATTTTGCTCATAGATGGCAGAAAGGTTTGGGCTTTTACTTGACAAATCTTGAGGCTTACACAATATTATTTTGGCTAAAATCATAATCGGGCTTTTTAACAGCACTAATTTTAAGACCTACCTTCTCCTTAAATACAAATTAGTTGATTTATTTTTAGCATATTTATGATGTGTATATTATTATATTACTTATATATATATATACCCATACAAATAAATATTAATAATTATTAAAGGTATGATGGAAGATAGCTTGCCACTACTCTTTGTGTCGCCTCCGGCTTGGTTTCTGTCCAAATACCCTTCAATTCATTCCAACATGAATATTAATACTGGCCGTATTTTGACACCTTTTGACGTTCACAAAACAATTTTACATCTGATTAAATTAAACGAACATGGTGCATATACCGATTCAAATTTAAATAACAAAGTTCGTGGTCTTAGTTTTTTCGAAGAAATTCCCCTTAACAGAAGCTGTGAATCGGCAGAAATTTCGCTTCATTATTGCCCTTGCAATTTAATAGGAGGTGGTTTCCCAGATTTAAAACAAAGGGAAGAGTTAAAAACTGCAGGTCGGGTCATCGTGGCCACAATCAATGACTTAATAAAACCATTTAGTAACCTTTGCGTGAAGTTAAAATTAAACAATATAATAGTTTTTAGGATATTTAACATAGACGGCCAAGATTATAACTCTAATTATACCCTCGATTTCTATAATAATAATAATTATAATGATACTCTCTCTCAAAAAGTTCGTTTGTTACTAACTGTAGAAGTTAAGCCAAGTAAGGCGTTGTTTGAGGCCTCTCTGATGTTTAATTCTATAACGCAGATGTATGACAGGATCATAGGAGACGTTTCACGTATAAACAAGTATGGCAATCAATCATCATGCATAAATGATCCGATTTTGAAAAAATTTTGTTATTGTAAATTTAATTCAACCGTTGACACCTTGACCCAAATTAAGGTTATTCACGAATAAATAGATATCTGAAATTGTAAATATTATTGGGAAAAATATTAAAATTGTTATAAAGAGGTTGCGAAATAGGATTTGGCTCTGGTTTTTTTTTTTAATTTTTCATATCTTCTTCATTTATTTCCTAAAGATTAATAAGATACAAAAAAAATTTAAGTAGTCATTTAACCAATCCGGACTTATATTCTATTCAGTTCTTCCAGTCTGATGAGGAAACTTAAGAGGCATGGATTGTGTGAACCCTGGTAATCACATATTGAACGAACAATTAAAATATCCTATCAACCTGAGAATTACGTGAAACATAATTTGCTGGTATCAAAGAGTAGACATGGCTACATAAATCATCTAAGCCATATTCCCAGAAGAGGATTTAAGACCTGGCACCACCGTCTACATGAGCGGTGCGATAAATACTTCCAAAGGTGGGGTAATAATAAGCAGAATAATTCTTAAAGGAATTCAATTTTTTAAAAATTGTTTAATAATTTATCATCGATAAAAAAATGTATCTGTATGAAAATACTAATAATTATGCAAGATAAAAGTTGTTATTTCTTATGAAAACATTGTTGGACAAGGTTTGTGTATTTTTATTCCCTGTGTTTGACAAATAATTTTAGGTATAATTCTGTTTATTATATTTTGTCTCTTGGGGTATCAAAAAATAATAATAGATGCCATATATTTTATCTAATATAAATAAATAAAAAAATTTAATCAAAATAGATAAAATAACACTTAAGAAATTTAATAACGGTAAAGAACATGAATCAGATATTGCCAAGTTCAGGGAATGAAAATATTAAAATTAAATCGATATTAATTCATAGAATAAATAAGTAGCGTTTTATTTCATCTGCTTGTGTGTGTTATTAATAAATGTAAATTGAAATATATGCTGTAAGAGGTAGGAATGAATATTAAAAAATAACGGTAATATTTTTGAAAAATATTTTACGCCGCTGCGTAAGTGTCTGAGCTCAAATTTTTATAATATATATAATTTTCTATTCAAATATTTATGATTATTTTCTTTCCAATGATCAGTTATTTCTTTATTAACTAAATCTTCGTTTAAATTTATTTGGTTATAATAAAATTTTATTCAAAATTAAAGTTACTTTTAGAATATTGTAACTACTCTATATTTTAACAAAAGTAACTCTTAACAAAGCATAAAAAAATACTATTAATTTTATTTAAAGAATTTTTAATAAATATTACAATGGAATCAATAACTTCATTGTGTGCCCATCCTTTCTCACTGCTATATTCTACAATAAAAATTGAATTCACTGGTTAATATGGATATTAAATACTAAATACATTTCAAAACTATAGTATTTAAAAAGTCCATAAACGTGATATCCGACCTCGAATTGTTAGTAAATATATGAGTGTTGTTTATCTATATTTTATATGTTATTTTATTAACATTTTTCTAGATGATTTTTTAGTGTAGTTAATCGTTAATTTTGAAAAGTAAATATTTACCTTTCTAGTGTAACTAATTATTAGTCACAATTAAAACCAGAGTTCTGGACCCGAATTCGAGTTCAGAAATTTAAAATTGTTTGGATAGGAATTTTGAGACCATAGAACAAACGGAGACCTATTTATGGGCAACCCATTAATCTCGGGGTAATATGGACTCGGGGCTGGTTTGACTTTTTTCGAAAATCGGTTTTCGATTAATATAAATTTAGGCTAAATTTAAAATTCCTTTACAGAACCCTGGTTAAACCTCAAAAGTAACTAATTATAATGCAAGTTACTTTATAAATAATTTATTTAACCCGTATAATTTTTTTTTTTATAAATTTTTTTCACAAAAGAATTTAATCTAATAATAATTTAAAATGTAGAAATATTTATCATTAAAAATATTTACCATATAATTATTTGCAGTGGAAAAAAATTATCATTATATAGTATTTACATCGGAAAAATATATAAATAACATAAATTATATTTATTTTTCATAAAAATTTAGCAATAAATTATTTTCAAAATTTGTGTCTAAAGGTGTGTGGTAAATGTAATTAGTTATTTTTGTCGCTACATTCCAAAAATATAGAAATTTATAGTTTTTCAAAAGTAATTAGGAGTTTTATAAAGTAGCTACAATTATTTATCTAGTTACCAGTTATTTTAATAATAATATTTATTTTTATATTGTAAAGATAATTAATTTATCTGAATGCCAGCCTGTCTGGTAGGCAATATAAACTCACATTATATTTTATTTTGAAATAAATCAGAGTTTGAAATGCTCCTCAAAATAAAAAAAATCTTAAAAGAATTTTTGATTTCTAAGGATTTTTTTGAGAATTCTCAAACAGTGCTTTTAATCAAATGTTATCTAAAATTCTCATAATTATTTTTGTAAAAATTAATCTTATGTAATTTTATGCTTACTAAAAAATAAATAAAAAAATTAAAAACATAATTTTCAATTTTATAATCTTCCAAAAAAATTTTTGCTCAATTTTAATTCAACTTGATATTTTATTTATATATTAAATAAATATTATAGTTAGCTTTTAATAAAACATTCTAAAAGATTTTTCTATTCCATGAACACTTTAGCCACACTAATATGAGGTGCACTGGAAAGTACTGATGTTTTTATTTCTTACTTATGTTAGTATAATCTTTAAATGTCGTCACCTGTGGATTAGATTATTATTTTGCAGGAGCGTAATTTTTAAAATCAAGTTCTTTATTTTCAATATGATGTTATAACCTTATATTGGCTATTATTTAATTTATTTTATAAATATTTTTTATGTAAATAAAAATAATATAATTGAAAAAAAGATTTATATAAAAAAAAGATATTTTTGACAAAAAGGGGATATAGAATAACCTAATACTCAGGTAACGATATAGTAAATCCTGCTATTCATTTTAAAAAATTATTCAAAATTTATTGTCAATTTTTTTTTCTCTATAAGGGGGTAGTGAACGAAAAAATGTTTAGATTTTTTAAAGGGAAAGGGGGGGGGGGGGTATATTTATTATTTGGAAATATTTAAGTTGAACTATTAATCATTCATGTTTGAAATAATAATTACAGCGCCCACCTAATAGCTTTATGAATATTTTCCGAAGAAACTTTGCTAATATTTGACAAATCAAAAGGAAAAACAAATTCATAAAATATTCTTCTAAATTTTTTTATAATTATACATTTTTTTCTTTATTTGAATAATAGCTAATATAATATATATCATGAAATGGTAATGGCATATATCTATATTTTCTAAAGCAAAATTAATAAAGGCGATTAATTTAAATGCAGATTTTAAGAAAAAAGATAAGGAATTTAAAAAGTAGATGTCTAAAAATGAAAAGAGTAAAGAGACATTAGAAAGGTGAAGGAAATGAAGGTATAAGGAGGCGTGGAAAGATATAAAATTAAGATAGTTAGAGCGAATAATCGCGGTAGCTCCTAATAAAAGGGAAATTGAGCTTTGCTGCAGAAGATGGAATGGAGCAAGCGATTGGTATAAATGAGTAAAAAGGATCTATGGAGCTGTTTACTAATGGTTTTCCTTGTTTCCGCAATGGCGAGAGCATCGATATTGTAGTTGGATTGTGCATTTGGATAAATGTAGGGTAGGTGGAACATATTTTAATGAAAACTTTTTTTAAAATTTATATTCACTATTCCCATTTCTTCCTTTTTTAATTTATAAATAATTGGATTTTTGATTTCACCCATATAACTATTATCTCAGCTATTAAGCATTATGTATAATAAGGAAGAGTTAAATCTCCCAATTTGCAACTAACTCATATTATTGAACATTATAAACATAAAAGAAGCTTAAAGCTTTCGCATTTATAAGATAATTCTAACTTAATTGGATTGCATTTATACGATAATATTTAACATCTTTCAAGCGATATTTTCAAAATGTTGCATTTTTTGTGTTTAGGAATATTACATTTAATCGATTTTAAACCATTTTAACGTATAAAAAAATTAAAAAATTAAGTTTTATTTATTCTCTAATCTCTTAATGTCTTCAAACCAAAATCATTTTGAATTAGAGTTTGAACAAAAATTTCAAAGATTTTTTGAAGATTTTTTTGCCTAAAATTTTAAGCAAAAAATTTTTGAAGATTTTTTTAAAGAAGAACAAAAAAAATTTAAAAAAAAGATTTGTTATTTTATTGTAAAAGATTTTTTTTATGAATGGTAATCAAAGAGGGGAGTGTAAGGGGGGCTTTAAAATGCTGTTTCTGAAGTCCTATAAAACGTCGGGTCGGAATTAATGATAATAACATTACCCTAATTGTGAATCATATAAAAATTTATGATAAATATTTATAAAACAATAAATAATTGCTAATTTAAATAAAATTTTGGTGTCATCCAGATATTTACTAGATATACTACAAATAGAATTAAATGGTTTTATCATAAAAACTATAAAAAGAGTAGTAAAATTTTATCGAATAATAGAATAGATACATTTAAAAATGCATAATAATAATACATTTAAATATGTACCTGGATTCACATTTTTTAGAACAGTGTATCTAAATAATATAAATATACAATATTTAGGTGTATGTATATCTTAATGACTCTGATAGGAGGTAATAAAATATTATCCTTGAGTTTTAATAGCTGGTCCTAAAGAATTTGTTTTTTGCTTGAAAATTAAAATAAAATTAAGTACTTTACATTACCTTGTCAAAGAATGCCTTCATTCATATATTTTAAATGCTTAAATAAATTTAAAAAATATTCGTGATATGACGCTAGAAGATAAAAACATGGATTCAAATAGAGAACCATTATTTGAAAATAAAAAAAGCGTGCAAATTAAATTATATAAGCGTAGATTTTTGATATTGGCTATATTCACCTTATATTCCATGATTAATGCATTCCAATGGATAGAGTATTCAATTATAACAAACATTATATCTAAATTTTATGGCAAATCTGCTCGTCAAGTAGATTGGCTATCAATGATATACATGGCAGTTTACATACCATTTATAATTCCAGCATCCTGGCTACTTAATGCAAGGGGTCTAAAAGAAACTGCAATTTTAGGAGGGTTTCTTAATGCATTAGGAGCCTGGATCAAGTGTGCCAGTATTAGGAGTGATTTATTTTGGGTTACAATGTTGGGACAGATTCTATGTGCTATCGCTCAGTTATTTATTCTTAACATACCATCAAAACTCGCTTCCACTTGGTTTGGACCCAAAGAATTGGCAACTGCTTGTTCTATTGGAGTATTTGGGAACCAAGTATTTAGATTTTTTTTATCGAATAGTTTCAAACTATCAATATATAAATTATATATATATGATTTTAGGGTCAATATGTCTAGCCTGGAAAAAATTTAAACCAGGACTGACTTAGATTTTTTTTAAAAAATTAGCCTAACATGTCATTTTGTACTTTGATTTTTTAAATAAAAATTGAAAATATAAGCAGTAAATAAATCTTAAATGATCCCCTGACCTGAATTTTAAGCTTGGTATTATTTTATGATCAGGTCTGGATTAATGGACTAGGTTTTGTAAACATAAACATTTTTTTAATTTGTTTATCATCGCTAGTACAAATATTTGTTTTTACAGATATTTTTATTTAAAATTTTTATACTTCCTTCTATATAATTTTTTAAAAAGCTTTTATTAATTTCAGTCTTTTTTGGACATATATTGATGCTAAATAAAATTGAAACTTTTTGTAATTAATAATAATCAACTAAACTACTATAATTAAATCTATCATTGGCCCATAAACATATTGTTTTTCTAGACTTATTATGAACAAATTTAGACAGTTCAGTTTATGGTGGTTCCCTTGCAAATTTAACCTCCTCGAACCAATTTATAATGTTATTATAAGAATCACTATATTTTGGCAAAAATTTTGGGATCAAGCAAAAAATAATTTGATAAAATATTATATTTTTTTCAAATTTTGAAAGTGACAAGATATCAAAAGTTATATTAAATATTTTTATAGATTACTTTTTGTACATCACAAATTTTTATTTTAACATATTTTACTATATTAGATAATCAAAATTTTAAAAAAATATGGATTAATAAGAGAGATGGACTCTATTAAAATATATATAAAGTGGCATATTTACTTACAAATAAAGAATAATGTCTTGCCTATTATATCAAAGTGAGACTCATTTCATCAATACCCCCATATATTAAATGTGATGTGTCCATCCATTTTTTTTATATTATAATTTTCTATAAAATATTTATATTGATAATAAATCTGTTTTTATTTAATTATAAAACCTATTATATAATATAAATAATGGCCATTTTTGTCGATTACAATGCCATAAACTACTGAATTTGAATCTTTTCTAATGATCTGTTATAATTTTGTGAACATTAATAGTTGAAATAAAATCTAAAAGGGAATAGAGTCCACCCATCACTGAACTAGGGTATAACAGGTTTTTATATTTAAAATGAAAATAAATATTATTATGAGTATATTATTTAATTTGATAAATTTCTTATATTCATGTTTTGCTTATTTTCTTTAAATTATTTTGTTTAGTTTTTATTTAATTTATGTTTATTGGATTATTATAGATCAATTAAATATATATTGTGATTAATTTAAAAAATCCAAAACTAAACCAAAGCAAACCAAAAAAAGTTGTTATGAATTTCTAAACCTTAACAAACATTGTTGTTGTTAAACTACTCGATTTGAGTTGATTATTAGAAACAGCTAACTTAGTTTTTCTCCAGAAAAATATTGGCTAGACCTCGAGATTTCACTAATAGTCCAACCAAAATTTAAAGCTTATACGATATTTCTGGATAAAATATTGAGTGTTGGCCGTTTTTATAATTGGCGCAAAGCGAACATATAAAGTTTAAAAATAATAGAACTGAATCGTTATATATAACAATTCGGTATCCTGCTTAGAAAGAAAGAGAAAAGGGATCAATGGAAAAACAGAATTTGTCGATAATTAAATATAATATTAATTTTTTAAAACAACTTGACTCCCCTCTTTATTACAATACAATTGTATTATTTTTATCCCCCTCGAAAATATTTTTAATCAATAATCAACCTTGACTGTTTCTTGCTAAATTTATATATATATTTATTTTTTTTAAATTCCAATAAAAAAAACCACTTAATTCATTATAATATACTAAAGACTAATAACTCCTTTTTTAAAAAAATTAGATAAATATTTTTTAATTCATTACACGCATTTTGGCTTCTCTCTTTTTAACACTTATAAAGACCTAAGAAAGATAGGAGTTAATTAGTATAATGGATATTTTTTTATACATTTTTAATCAAAATATGGTTGACCATGAGATTATAATTAAAATAAATCTTATAATTGATTTATAATTAGAATATATTTTTTTAAATTTTTTCTCCCTTTTTCAAAAAAATAAAATTTTATTTATTAAAAAAAATTAAAAAGGGAATGAAAGAAATATTTATGAAAAATATAATCGTAATTTTTGAACGCGGACCAGAAAAACTTCCCCTTCCGGTTTAGAATATTTTTTTTAAAAAAATAATGAATTCCGGTTCCAACAAAATAATTTTAAAAGAGGTCCGGCTCTTGGATTTGACTCATCATAATCTTAAGATGATGATTTCAAATTTTGTATTACTATAATAAGAAAATCATGAAAAATCCTAATCATTATTTCTTATTTTTCTATATCTGGATTATAAAAAGGCAGACATATCGCAAGTTATGTTAAACATATTCTCCTTAATTTGAATTAATTGTTTTGGTTTTAATTAATTTTTTTTTTGTCAAATGAAATCAAAGTCCCTTTAAATAATGACCACTTTTCCTATTTATCTTGATTCTTAACCTCTTAAGCCGAGTAGTGTGCTTTATATTATCCAAAATATAATCTCCAACTTCATTAAGTGGCCACTTATGGTGGTAGGGTTGGAGGAAAAATACCCCAAAGCCAAAAGCAATAAAATATATATAAGATTTTTTTAAAAATAAAATTCACGAATTTTGCACACTTTTATTAACACCTGGTTTTTGAGTTCTTAAATCTTTAAGACAAGATATGGTATTGCACAAGTACTCTGACTAAAAGAGAGTTATGCAAGTGTATGTTAGTTCAGGCTGTAAAGTTTAAGTAGTTTAGCTCAGGCTGTAAATATATTGATTCATTCATTATAACGCTAGATATAAAAAATAATCAAATCGATTACTTTTAAAGATTATTTCAGCAACATTACACCTCTGTTCCCATTTCAATATGGTTACTGGTTCTTAGGTTTGTCCCAATTCTTTGTAATATATATTTATTTTTTTTAAAAAATTAATGCTCTTGAACGATTCACATAATTTTTATATATGCCTATTTCGTTCCTTGATTATTGGATGGTCCTATCTCGATTGCCGGAATCTATATTAAATTTAATATCTCAGAGGGTATATTTGGAGTTCAAAACTAGGAAATACTTGTTGCGATCACATATTTATCTGATTTCTTATTGGGCATTATTTTACTAAAATATAATTATTCTCTTCCAATAAAAAAATTTCCTATTCATGAGCTTATTTTTTTTTAAATTTAGTTTACTAATTTGAAATATTATTTTTTTTTAAAAAACTAAAATTATCACTATAAATTGAAAATTGCACATCCGGTCCTGTTAGACCAGTCATCATAATTACATACCCGGGGAGTTAGATCAAATATAACATTCACAGGCGATATTTATATTTAAAAAAAAATTATTCAAAACAAGATTTGATAGTTAAATTTAAAAATCTGATAATGTATTCCACCATGTTTGGAAAATTTCCGACAATTTTGCCATGAGCTTTTGAACTTAATATAATCTATATTAATTTTTTCCGTAGATTTTTTTTATATAAATTATAAATAACTCAAAGGGTAAGGCCAAAATTGTCTATAATTCTATAGATAGGTATTCTGAACGTGCTGAAATACATTTCCAGTAAAATCAGACTCTTAAATTTTTAAAAAATTATTTAAAATTGCAAAAAAAAAACACATAACCGCTAACATATATACAAAATTTGATAACTAAATTGGCGGCATTTTACAATTAAATTAAAGAAATCTTGCATAATTATATAATATTTACAAAATATTTGCATATTTTTTTAAAACATCAAATTTATCCATTTTTTTTTAAATGTCAAAACTTTATATTTATTAAATGCTAAATAATTATGATATGTATATTAATATTTTTACATTTATATCATATGATGACCAATAAATTGTTTTTTGATTTTATATTACAATTTAAGATGATAAATGACAACTTAATTTTTTTTTAAACGAAAACATAATATCCTGGAGCAAAAATACAACTAATGCTTGGTACCAGGGATACAAACCGAACCTTTAAACTAGTATCAACCGATATTTTTTATCTGAACCTTTAATTTTTTTGTCCGAACCACTAAAAAGTCTTCTAACCGTTTCTAACCTCATGGCTTTTAAAATGATATGAAAGTTATTACTAGTATTATTGCTAAAATTCAAATTTATAGCCTAATTGGTTTATAGATTATTATCAATCAGTTTAACTTCCTTATTATAAATTTGAAAAACGCTATCAATGCCTAGCAATAAATTAAATCCAATATCTATATATACATTATTTGCATAAATGATACTATTACTAAATGTTGAAGATTGTGATACTAATAAAGGTATAACATGGAATTAAATTGTTATAATGGAAGATTCTATGGTCAAAACGATCAACATCAACCAATGGATCTACACCTGAAGATGAATTCATCTTTTCTAAAAAAATGGATGACATAAACAAAATCTATTAGGACGATCAAGGAATATTAGAAATTCTCTCTGTTAATTAATGGATATCTTAGACTATCGGCAAAATCAAAATAATTGATTTCCCGAACGTTATACAGTATTTGGTTACTCAAATTAGAGTGAAGAGATGCAACAATAATGTTTATACTTAGATGTAATTTGTCTGCTGAATTTAGGAAAATAATTTAATTGTACAGCCCAATTAGAGATCGCGGTTTTAAAAATAATTTTTAAACATGAGGCGGACGGCGGGTTAAACAAATTTTTTAGATAAATGTAAAATTTTTTTAAAGAAAAACTATGGGCCGCTCAGTTATTTTTATACAATGGTGGGTTAGGCAATCGAAACCCGCCCATTGGAGACTTCTAAATAGTATTATATTTAACATTTTTTGTTGTTTAGATCGCCACTACCACAAATGGTTATAATATATATATTCTTGAAAAAATCTTGAGTGACATCTTTGACCTAATCGGGTGAACGCATATATCACTTACAGCATAGATCAAATCGTTGTTTTTAATGCAAACTATGTGGGGTCGTATGATACGGGATATAATAGATAGTTGATCGAAAGTGACCTCATAATTCCATCTGTTAATATAAATTAAAATGGGGTCACTGCAATTTTTTTTAAAACTTGGTCGTTGTTTAGCAAACTGTTATACGTTGATTTGGTACTGTTAAACATTAACCTGTTATAATTATGCTAATATAATTATTATGTGATAAAAATATTAAAACTATTTTTTAAAAATGAAAGTCTCATTCATGGGAGCCTATTTTGCTATTTTTTTTAAAGTGTATCTTCTTTATTCTTCATATTTATTATAACATTAAGAACGTGATTCTGGGATTAATAAGTGATACGCTTATAATTCTAACGCCCAACATTATTAATATATAGATATACTATAAAACCTGTCTATTTTGGGCACCCTTGACTAAGATTTTTTGCCCATTTAATCAAGACAATAGGAATTTGATTGGGACTTATAGGTTAGATTATGTATTTGCCCGAATTATCAAGAGCCCAAATTTGCATTTATACCAGACCCAATTACTGTCCGCTTCATTTTATGCTTTTTTAGAAAAATAATTTTAAGAAAAGAAGATCTGTCCTTACATTTAATTTTTAGCCTTCATTTTTTTTTATCTTCTTTAAACCTAATCTTTAAAAAAAAATTGATTAATTAATCTTTTTATCGAATAAATAATCAACTTCCAAACTGCCAATCTTATTTTTCGGGTTATGGGATTGTTGCCGATAAATAAAGCTTACTCAACCCCGCCCTTTATTATTGAATAATATATTATACAAAGAAGAAGTGGTGAGGGGAATTTGTTTTTTTTTTAAAAAAACGTCAAGTACAGTTTGACAATAAATCCCAACAGAGAAAATTATATAATCTTTTCCTCCTTTAAATATAAAAATCAATCAATATAAATAACCCCAATAAAAAAAAACATTTTGTAAAGAATGAATCAATTTTCATTTATTTTTGTATAAAAAAAATGAATGAATAGCTAATAATTATATATTTTTTTTAAATTAACCAATCAAAACCAATAGTCGCGCACTTTTAACCAATTTTTATAGGAGATGGAGAATGATTTGATTGGGCCGGTTGAAATTTAAAAATAATTAATATTATATCAATTTAATTGGAAAATGTTTAAGAAAAATGTAAAATTGAACTTTTAATAATATTTAAAGAGGGATTTTGACATTTTTAAGGTATTTGATCAAATATCTTATCTTTAGTATTGTTAAGCGGCTCGATTTGAACCGATTTTTAAAAAGGGCTAACTCAATATTTTAGCCAGAAAAATATTTCCTAAACCTCGAGATTATTCTGATAGATGTCCAAGCCTTTCTGCCATCTATGACCAAAATCTTTAGGCTTTAAATTTGACATTAAAATTTTAAAACAAAAATCAGCTTCGGCCTTGGCTTGAAAATAAAAGAATTTTTTCTAAGATTAATGATTTTTCATTATTATCAATGTCGGAATTAATCATCTAAACTGGGACCCCTTTTAAAAAGATAATATAATTGGATATTATAATGAATAAAGGCGTTATATTTAACCGATAAAAAAGAGTTATGCAATACATTTAAATGCGGCTCGAACCTTATATTTACGAATAGACTGGGGAGACGCTTATATAGATATTTTAATATGGCTCGGATGTTATATTCATAAATAGCACGGTTATAACGGTAGTTTAATGCTTACAGATTGATTAGAAGCATTTAGCGTTATTTTCTATAAAACGTTTTGAACGAATTTTTCCTTAAATCGTGGTTTATAAATTAATAAAAGGCAATTTTTTAACGCATAATTAAACACTTTATCAATATAGACGATAATAACATTCCAAATGCAATATTTGAAGTCTACCGCCAAACGAAAACGCTAACATTTCTAAAAACTATTTTATTCAAGATTCCTATTATGACTCCATTTTACCCCTCTTTTTTCATTTATATATAATTTTAATAAAGTTCAAAATTGACATGTTTATCATGATTCAACTCAAGGAAATTTTTAATCACATGACCTGTCAGTTTTGATAGGTTATTATAAAACTTAATTAAATCTAACCCATATCTTTCTAACCTTATAATTAACCCTAACCCTGCATTCACAGTTAGCGCAAATTTGCGACGAAGTTTATATAAAAAAACATAAACAGCATATTTTATATATTTCGCCACGAATTCGTGCTAACTCTGAATGCATGGTAACCTCTCATTCACAGTTGCGGGAATTCGTGACGGAGAATACAAAAATACAGCATATTTTGTATAATTCCCCCTAGATTCGCGCTAACTATGAATGAGGGTTGATCCATATCTCTAACCTTTAATCTACATACTCTTTTTAGCTTTAAATATATTTCATCTAATTAAAAAATGTCCCTGATATGCTCAGTCCTTGAGTAGATTTACTATCTATTTTTTTTTAAATATTTACTATCCTTTTTTTGTACAAAATTTTTTCAACATTACTTTTTCTTTCGCGCCAAAAAAAAATAGGTCGGAGTGGCGTTAGGTTTTTTACTGCCCCCAATCTTAGTTCCGAACACGACCATTCCCGAGATTGCCGAGGGGCTCAAAAAGGTTTTCTATTCTGTCGCGATAGTATCTACCATCATATTAGCACTCATTATATTCGGTATTTTTATTTATATCATTATGGATTGAATGGATGGATGAATCAAATTTGAGTGTATATAACGTGGATCATGGTAAAATAAAAGTAGGGTGAAAATAATGTAGAACATAAGAACGAATGTTATCAAATTAAATATGTCAACCCCCCCCCCTCGTCCCACCTCTTTTTTTAATGATCCAAGCATGTATTACTTGTCTAAACTAACTCTACAGAAATAGAAAATTCTATCAAAAATGGCGAATTTTTACTATGTCAGGGTTCACAATGATGTTGTTATAATAATACTATTTATCCTTTCCCTAAAATAATTTACATTGCTATTTTTAATTTAATTATTCATAAGTATAGTTTCCCGATTTTCGGCGATGAGCTGGCTCTTTTAATGTAAGTATTTCAATTTCTTTTAAAATATGATGGATATAACACTCGAGGAAATTGCCCGTTACAACAGATGATTTATTTAAATTTCTATTCGTTTATTTATAATTACATAACCTGTCAGATCCATTTTTTTTTTAAATATATCGTAACCATAACCTATATCCTCAAACTTTTTAGTATCCCTCTAATCTTTAATCCTAACTCTTTACCTTTGAATACTCGTTTAATTTTAAATATATTTTATCCAACTAAAAAATTTCTTTGATTGAACATTCCTTGAGTGGGGCTATTATCCATATATCACCATTGAGCTGGGTCCTGGTTCGACTTAATTCTGATATTTAATTGCTGTTTCAGACTAAATAGCCTTTGAGTTAGGATAAACTATTTTGGTTTGTTTTTTAAATATTTAATGGCATTGTTAATTTTCCTATTTATTTTCTCGTTTTTCTGTTTTTTTGTGATTTTAATATTGTTTTGTTCGTTTTTAAAAAGTATTTATTTAGCTTTTTAGGCTGTTTAGCTCATAAGGATTAAAATGGCCATAATCATATTTTATGAATTATGCTTTGATTCATTTATTAGACACAAAATTGAGATATAGCATGTAACTTGTAAACTTCAATTTGTTTCGTATAGTTTACCAAAAAAATCCAAAACACCCGCCTTCCCCATCCGAAATGGTTTTGGGTACCCACGACGACTACAAGGATATCAGCTTTAAGAGTTCGCTATATTCGATGTTCAAAAGCCGAAATTTTATATTGTTGTTCTTTACTTACGGTTTATAGCATAATTATTTTATTTTTTGAAATAAATCTAAGAATTTGAATAATGCTTTAAAAAATATTTACACGGAAGAATGAGATGAATGAAATGAAGAGTAGTTCAGAATGTTTAAAAAAAGAAAGGAGATAGAAAGAAAGAAAGAAAGAAAGAAAGAAAGAAAGAAAGAAAGAAAGAAAAGAAAAGAAAGAAAGAAAGAAAATAATTTTAATAATAATTAGAAATTATTTTTTAAAAATGGTTAAGCGATAAATAACCCCTCACCTTTAAAATGAATCGCCCAACATTTTTAACAAAATATGGATATATAAATTATTTGCACTTTTGTTAGAACCGGTTTCTTGGAATTTTAAAATGGTTTCCGGTTTCAAGCCCTGAATATTATTCTATACTAATATTACTAAAGTTTTAATGTAACCTTATGCACGCACAATACAGGTATTATCACTGGCAATTATTACGCCATATCTACTCTCCTAAATCAAATCGTGCTTCACTACTTTCCGGTACATTATTATTTCGCATTGATATAATTTTATATGTAAATATATATATATATGGTATAAATTTATTTCCTCTTTAGGAGGGAAGGAAGGAAATAAAGAAAGAGAGAACAAAAAAATATTTGTTTAATTTATTATTTAAAAAATTAAAAAGGCAGAGAAGAATGCCTAAAATCACGGTAATCTATAAATTAAAATGTTTTTAATTTTGAATTTAAATCGATAAATGTAATATAACCAAAACCCTATCATATCACGAATATCATCTATATTATAAAAAAAAAATTAAACAATATATTAATTAATTTTATTTAGCATTTTTACCTTTAAAATTAATAACTGGCCATTCAATATCAGGCCAAAGGCTACGTAGTATAGGGATCATATTTATTCTTACAGGCTTAGGAAATTATAGTGTTTTGCTGAGAGTGTGATGAATATGGGGAAATTTCGCAAAATAATTTAATTTATTGATTTTTATTTATGATTATATTATTCAATTTTAATTAATTAATTGTAAGATTAAAAACACCCTTTTTTCGGGAGTTTTTTGAATTTTTTTTTATTATTACTTCAATATGGAAAATATAATCTACCAATATTTTGTTGGAAAATTTTCATTATCAATATCACTCACAATCATCATAACTCACTCATTTTCTTAAATGTGGTTTATTAAAAAAAAATTAACAATTTTATAAGGCTGTGTTAAAATATCAAAAAATTTGATGTGCAAACTTTCCAAACTTTATCGAAAGAGAAGAAATAAGCTTTTTTAAATTTAAAAGTAAAAACATGTCCAAAAAATTTAACATACGATTTTAATTAAAATTTAAAAAATTTCTTGAAAGTATTAAAATTTTTTCCAATTTTTTAAAAAGATTTTGCTTATAGTTGTTTTTTTTGGCTGTTTTTTTTACTTGTATTTACATTTGAAAAAAAAACATATTTTATGTTTTATTGATTTTTTCGTATTCCTAGATTTAGAGTATTGTTACATACATGCGAATCGCATACACCTATCGAAATTTAAAATGCAAGCTCATTTTTGATCGATGCAATTAAAAAGAATTTTTTTTAAATAAGTTATTATTAATAATCATTTTTTTATAAATGGACTAAAATTTACAATTAAATTATATAAAATAAAAACCAAAAAAAAAACATTCTTATAATAAAAATAAAAAAATACAATCAACAAATTTGAGCACATAATTATAATCTATATTAAAATGAGACAAAAGAAGTACAAAAAATTTAAAAAATGACAATAATATTTGTTTGCTTATTCTATTTTATATTTTTAAACGTTGTACAAAGAATAAATAAAGTTTTAAATAAAATATGTATGATAAAACTAAATTTATAATAGAATTTTACAAGGTTAAATCAATTAGTTTAAAACATCCAGCTGATTTTTAAATATGTGGAAGAAATAAATATATATATATAAATATGATAGATATTGTAAATATTAATCTATAGGATTCTGCAGGATTAAATCAAAGGCAAAAAATTCGCGAGATTAAATCAATTAAGATAAATATCAAGCTGGAACATGTTGTTCCAAATTTCTTTAGGCACAAGATTAGTGTTATTAAGATTTTCTCCAAAATAATATTTTAGTCTCAAGATTTGACAGATAGAGGTGCAAAGCTTTCTGTCATTTATGAGCAAAATCTTCAGGCTTACATAATATTATTTCAACCCTAATCTTAATCGGTCCGTTTTTAAAAGGCCGTATAACACTACATAAGATAAGGTCTTATATATTTAACAAATATATTTATTTTATTATAATGGTGGAATCGAAATAGGATTTTATTGTATATTTATATTTAAAACAGAAGATAAATAATGTTAGTGAGGTGTGAAACCTAATCAAATTGATGACACACAAAATAGTAATATTAAGGTAAAAGTAATAAAAATTAAAAAAAAATAATAATTCTATTATCTTGAAATTTAATTCCACCTAAATCATGTAAGTCCTGATGCAGTCAAAATCAATATTTATATATACACAGGAAAAGGGTTGTCATATATAAAATTAAATATTTTATTTTTTTGATATAATCATTTTAATAACATAAAATCTGAGACTGTAATGAAAGTTTATGTAATCACTTTCCCTAAATTTTGAACTATACTCTGACACAAGATGTAATATAGTAAAAATTGACTTTATTCAGAAAAACCCTGAAACAGCCATAAAAAAAAAGATGTTCTTTAAAAAAAAATTTATAAGTGGACATGACTGCTTAATATTTTGCGTAAAATCAGACTGGGACGAGCTCTGATTTAATGTTATCGTTTAAAAAATTGGAGGTTATTTTAAAACCCACCTAGGTCTAGCTATCTTATTTTACAAAGAAAATAATTTCAAACAAATTAACTACTTTATTTAGCTAATTATTTATAATATATAAAAACCAATATGAAATTTTTATTACAATATACATTTTAATTAGTTAATAGCCTATATAAAATTATCTATGGAATTGGAATAGAATTTTTTTTTTCTCATTGTGTTTTTGGAATTTGTTTTGCTATTAAAAATCTTTTTTTGAAATCCTTTTCCAAACCTAAAACATTGCTGACAGATAATAAAATTAATCCCTAGATTTTATTTCTCACATAATTGTTAAAATCAAATGCTTGTATTGATTTGTTCATATGGTTAGTCGCTAACCGTTTAGTAATGTCTCCTAAAGTATGGCAAGAAGTTTTGACATGTGCAATTGTAGAGAAATGGCATTCAGCCTTAATTTCAAGATCATTCTCATGGTTATAGAGGTTTATAAAAAAAAAAATTTTACTTTTATAGTGATCATTGGTTCCATCGGAAAATTAAAATAAATTTAAAACCTAATCAAATCTTTCTTTCAAGCAGAATTAATTTCGTTTGAAATACCACCTAATATTTTTGATAGTCTTTCGCGGTAATAAATCTGAATGGATGAAATGTCTATGATTATTAGATTTAGAACTACTAAAGCATAGTTCTCTGCAAAGTCCGATATTATGGAAAATTTCCCATCATTCAAATTCGATTTTAATGAGTTAACAAATATAGATTTTTTGCAAAGAAATAAATATGATAAGTTATTTAATTTTTCAATTAAATATCCTACAGTCGCTGACAGACTTTGTTAGGGTTTGAGAGTAGGACGATCTACAACTAATCATTGTTTAGGTGTTATATGACCTATAGTATATTGTTGTCAAACTATGAATTACGTCTTTCTTACATTTCATTAAATAACAACTAGGCTGAACTGGATTATAAAGACAATAAAATGTTTATACTCCTTTATAGGAGGTTATGAAGTATTATTATGACTCGTTCTGTTAATTTATTTAATTCTTCACCATTTGTAATAAATTTTTAATTTCGGTGACATATATATACACGCATGGTATGTGCCAGGCCCACTTACTAAGATACCATTTTTAAGCCTTGAGAAAGCAAGCTTGTTAAAACCTATCTTCATAATAATATAGGTTTGTTTAAAATGAGTAAATAATTATTTAACATTACATAAATCTAATCTTTTTTTGTTAATTTCACACAATTTTTAAAAAATTACTACCTACTTTAAATGTCCCAATTTTTGAAGTATGATAACTCTTGTACCAATTGTGGTCCAGTCAAGGATTACGTACAAAACAAAATTTAAAAGAAAAAATGGCAGTTATGGCCATTTCCGGTTTTGGGTATTAAACTCTTTTCTATATTAAATTTTATGTTAAAGGGCTATTATAGAGCTATATTATAAAATCTAGATCATAGTTTTAGCTTAATTATTATTTTTTGAGATATTTGAAATTAAATAAAGAAAAGCCTATTGAAATAAAAAATTTATAATAAAAAAAATAAAAATAAAAAAACTCAAAATTTTTTTAAAAAGTAAATATAATAAAACATGAAACAAAAAATAATATCTTAAATAAAATGGAGATAACATTTTCTGATAAGGTAATTATTTGTTGATAAATATAAAGTGGACATTATATCTCTGATATTATCATGTTATTAAAAAACCAAAATAATAGTATATAAGCCTCAATTAGCAAATAGAAGACGTTCAAACCTTTCAACTATCTACAAGCAAAAATCTCCTGACTTCATAATTATTTTGGCTAAAATCTTAATTGACCCCAAATCGGGGCTTTTTAACAGACACTACTGATTATGATAATTGATTTAAAAAATAATATATTTTTTGTAAAATAATAGTTTAATTTTATCTTAAATGACTACCGGTCTTTTTATAGAACCGTGGCTCATTACGATCTTTGTGTATTGGTTCGGACCGAAGACCGGATCGTGATTCACTAATTAATATATTAATTTAAAAATTCAGGCTTTATAATAACAAAAAATTTTAAGTTCGCATTGTTTTGTACCTCACTTAGGTTTCAAGATATTTTTCCCAATTCGTTAACAAATCATAATCTAAAAACATTTAAGACTCCTAAAGAAAACACTGGAATTTTTTATTTTACATATTTCTCACTTATTTTAACGTTTTTAGGCCTTGTCTCGGTCGACTTATCTACTAAATACCCGGATATTTAACGGCCATAAAAATTAAAAAACGTGAATAAAACAAAAAAAATCGAGAATAAAATACGAAAAATAACAATGCCACTAAATATTTAAAATAAAACCAAAATAGGGTGTCCTAGATTAAAAGCTTTTTTATAGCCAAGACTAAAAAGAAATTATGTCGATCCAAGACACGGCCGTAATCTAATTCAAATTTATCAACAAATAGTCACCTTAGATGTTTTCTCCACTTTATTCAAAAGATAGCCCCTCCCCTCCGTTTTTATTTTTATGTTTTTTTACTTAGTCGGGTATGGGCCTTTTTCTATCTTCTTATTTCCGGCAAACGTTTAAACTAAAAAGTTCGCCTTGTTGCCGTCTGCCCAAAGAAACGCTGATCCTCCTCATAATTTTTTCCAAAGTTTGATGTGATTTTTTGTACGTTGTTGTATTTACAGTTGATAGCGCTAGGCGCTTAATATCATGTAAATATTTATTTTTTTTATTTTTAAATTCATCCTCCTTAAAACGTGGAATTTCTAAAAAATGCATAATCCCATATACCTAAAATTTAAAGGTTAAATTTTCTTTTTTTAGAACCAAGAATTGAACGTCGGCAGGATAGGTTTGACAATGATAATAACGGGGCTGATTGGCGCAGTCGTAGCTGGGGTATGGTTGGACCGGACGAAAGCTTTTAAGTATAAAACTCGTTGATTGATTTTAAATGGATGTATATATAGCATTCTAACATACAAAGCAGAGTTGTTATTTCTTTGAAAAACAGCGGTTGCAATGGCACTACTTTTTCGAGGCTATTTTTTTGAGAGTAGGGAAAGAAAACTTAATATAATAAATATTATATATAAATAAGTTAATTAATTTAATAATTTGCGATCGAAATTTTAATAATTTTTAAATATAAGTTTGTATTGTTTATAAACATTTTTTGTTTTATTATTTCCCTTATTGAATTTCATATATAAGTTTTATTTAAAAAAAAATCCTTTGTATCATTCAATAAACCTGGAAAAAAAAGGGAAAAATATTTATTAACATATTTAAAAGTAGCTAGAGAACTATTTTTAGATTTTTATCTTAAAATTTGTTTTAATCGAATATAATCTAGATATTGATCTTAAATATTTATAGAGATGAACGAACCCGATGATATTAATCAAAGTTACGCTGGAATAGACTGAGTTATTAATAATAATATTAGGAATATAATGGATCTTTATCCGTTTAATTAAAATATAAGGTTCAACTCATGTGATTGATTATAATGGCTTTTTTAAATTTTGATATTATTGCTTTATGTCCATGATATTTTAAAGTATAAAACACTCTACCTTAATTTTACTATTTAAAAGGTATAAAAGTAAGTTTTCTACGAATATATTTAAATTCTATGATAAATAAATTTTACGTCTATTCCCCGTTAAAAATATGACAATAATTTAAAAATGCTTTTCCTTTTCCTGTATTATCGGAGAGAAAAAAAATGGATATGTCAATACAATGTGAAGTTAATTTTAAAAAATGGTAGATATTAACTTGTCTTTCTTTGACAAGTAGCGGTAGCGACTCTACCTTCAAGAGTAACGTTTAACAACTCTGATATGCGACATATAAAGGTACGCTAAACTAAGTTAAATGGTTATTTACAAAATGCGGATTCGCATCCCATTCAATCTAATTTTTCTTTTCTCCATAATAAAAGCAAATTATTATAGAAAAACATCTGATTATTATTAATAAGATTTATTAATCCCCCCCCCCTTCTTTTATCGCTTTTTAGTGATCAGAAATTTTGGAATGTCTGATGATCTAATATTCATTGTTTTGCCCTTCACGTGACTGGAAAATAAGCAGAAAAACTTGATCCCTTTTTAGTTATTAGGTTTATACGTAAGAATTGTTATTGGACTAGATGTTATTTTTGGAATAAAGGATTAGTTAGGGTATTTTTGATTAAACTTATAATGAACATCTGACGCATCTTGGTTTATATTTATACATATTTTATCAATTCTTTCGTTATTTATTTTACAATGAATATTCACTACAGTTTCTTTCGTTTTAGAAGGAAGGCTGGATAGAAGCAGTTCTGTAATCCTAAAATTTGTGGTGGGAACATGCGATTTCTCAAAAAAAAATAGTATAGGGCAACGCTGAAATGAGCTTGTTTTTCCAGGAATTTGAGGCAAATTTTTTTGAAAATTAAAAAGGTGGAAAAAAAACAACATTATTCGCCATAGAAAATCTTTTTTTTAATATTTTTCATAATATTAACCGCATTATTTGATTATCGTTTACAGAATGCATACTGTGACTTGTCAACCACTTATTAATATATAACGTTAATCATGAATACACTGGAAATATGTTTTATCATAAGACATGCAGGCAAATTCGGCGTAATGACATTCGTAAGCTGAAAGCCGCGCTCACAATTCTGCAGTACTTACGTGAAGTCATTTGATCGTAAATTCGTCCACTTTTCTAATTGGTCCATTTAATAGTTTTTAATTAAGATTATATCTTAATTATTAAAATATTGGAATTATATTAAATAAATGCATAAATAGAATAATTACCTGTATAAAAATTCGTATTAATAATTGGATCAAAATCTTATATCAGAGGAGGTCTTCCCAATAGATTCCCTCATTTTTAATTAATATTATAATCGGGAATTAGCATCCATTAACCTATTTGCATATTATCTATTTGATTTTCTTTGATACCAGTGTCTTCTGTTCTTTCTTCAATATTACTAATCCAAATTTATTTAGTTACCTAGCTTCTTGAGCTATTTCTCTAGAAATTATAAAAGAGATTTAGAACCTACTAGGCATATCCTTAAACGATTTTAGAACACGAATCGGTCGCTTTATTGATTTTTTCCGCTATAAGTAAACTGGTGTCTGAAGCCTTAAAGATAGATTGGATAATTTAAATGGAACATCTTACATCAAAGCGAGATCTGATCACTTTATAACCGGATAGGCAACCCGTTAAATTTTGCACTATTGCTGAATTTTTGAAATGCTATAGGGTCTCATAGTTATTCAAAACTTACTCAACAGTGTGAAAACTGCTTGACACCCATTGTATATCAAGTACCCTTCCAATCTTCGGCAACTGATTGCCCAATTTAGAAGATCCAACACCTTTTGATTTTTGTTGATATGCAATTACGTTAATATAATATCATTTTGTTTATAAAATATTTTATGTTTATTTTATGGTAAGAAAAATATTGATAATATGCTAAAATGCCATTATAAAAAAATCAAATATTTTAGAAGAGGCATGCCGTTCCCCTTACTTTTTTGAAATTTTCTGGCGGGACACGCTGAAAATTTTTAAAATCGGCGGGGGCATTACATGCTCCCCCAACCCTCTACACCCATGCATTGATGATAGGAGATTTAACAGTTGATGATCGAAGAATTTATAAAATCATTGTTAAAAAAAGAATAAATTTGTTAATTGCTTCCACTATGAATGCACCAACACTTAGAGATATTACAGATTTAACAGAATTCCTGTAAAATATTAAAAAAATAAGATGATTGATGCTAGTCACTCCAATATTTTTATTAGAACGTTATTATAAATTTATTTAATATTTGTTGTATATCATTATTAGGTCCACAACGTTACTTATATACGCCTGCACGCTGGTTTTCACCGTCATTTTTACCTTCACTCTTAAGCTCAAGCATCTATGGATAGTCTTTTTGAACATCGGATTTCTAGGGTTTTTTATAAAGAAATATTTATTTCTTCATTTTTTTATATTGATTTTATTTAAATATAACTTAAATACTTTTAAAAAGGAAGGAAGGAAGAAAAAAGAAAGAAAGAAAGTTAATATAATATTTTATCGTTTTTTATTATTAAAGCTTTAACTTTATCCCATATGACATAAACGCTTTCTTATTTTATTATACGTTTTAATTCAAATATACGTATTAATAAATTTTATTAATAAGTACAATAAAGATTTAAAAAAATTTTCAATTATTGGTAAAATAAAAAATATGTATGACTTTTATTATGTTATCAACACTATTAATATCGGCATTGTCGTTTCACTAATAAATATCTTTCTAATATTATATTAAATAGTATCTTAATATGTGGGGAACAATTTATGAATAGAAAATATTTGGTTCTAACTTCTAAGCTGAAGCTGGAATCTCTTAAATTCTGGACCTCTAACTCTGAACCCGAAACATTATTCACTTAAACCTGACATAAACCCTTTTTTTAGAACGGGGGTTCACAGCCCTGCTTTTATCATAGATAGGTAATTATAATTATAAATAGGCACGCAAACTTTTGAAGCGATGAATTTATATTAATGGGCAAAATGGAATGACTGGCCATAATTTTGATTTTTTCTGAAAGGGATTACTAACTTGGCTTTCAAACAAATTTAATATCAATGTGTAGCCCAATCCTTAATCTTTGAGATAAAATTTGAATCAAAGCTCTATAATAGTTTGTGAGCTAGATGAGGTTATGTGACAGTTATTTAACTTACCATATGCTCTGTTATAACTGGCCATATATATTATTTAAGAACATTATTGAAAACATAATATTACTATATAAAATACTTGTAAGTGAACCTATGTTTATATTTCTTCATTTTTTAAGTATTTAAAAACCTAATTATACACTTAATTAATTAATATTAACCTCTTAATTTATCATCAGAATCATTTATTTAATGATAATATTAAAATTATTATCTTAATCATCTGTATGTAAGGCATACTTAATAAAATTAGACATCCATCTATTTAATGATTTTATAAATTATTTCTTAATGATCTACAACATTAAAATGCTTATTTCAATAATTTAACCATTCATCATAAAATTTTATGATGTATAGTAACCTAATTAGACATAATTATTATATTATGATTATACATTAACAATAACTTTTATTAATTTATAAATAAGAAAATTATAAAATATTTACATAAATAACAAGCAAATAAATCATTAATACTGGTACATTTAGCATGAGCCCATTCTTCGCAATGCATACTTAATCCACTCCCCCCCCTTTCTTTCTCTTTTAATACTCCTTCTTGCATATAATACACACTCACCTGCTCATAGCCAAGGGAGGGGGTTAGCCCCCCTCAAAGAAAAATTTCGCCCTCCGACGATACAAAATTTGTCCCCTAAATATGGTCCCCAAAAAATTTTCTGGCCCCCAAATTTTAAATATTTTTCGACAAAAAAAACACTAATATAATCTTGATGAATTCTTCAGCTTCCATGATGATTTATCTCAACCTTATCTTGAATATGGTAAATCTGTCAATATTATCGAGATTAATTAATTAAACAATTGGGATAAATTGTAGATATTACAAAATACTTTCTGCTTATCACGTGATGTTACTTTAAATGCCAACTATTAATAAAATATTTTAAAAAATTGAAATAGAACGAATATTCTTTCATGAAGAAAACGAATACCTTATCAAAATACCGATTTTTCTAGTGTGGTTTACAATATTAAACATGGCAAACTACTTCTTACCTAACACGATTTATCATACTTAAACTTTAATTGTAGATCAATACATATGAAATATTAAAATAATATATTTATAATTTAAAGATGACGAATTTTCTTTTAAAATATCCGATTTCCTAGTGGATTATAAATGAGCCACTCAGGCACCGTGAGGTGCTCAGACAAACACCTCATATTATATATTACCTATTTCCACCATTAATATTTGAGTATAACTTAAGTTATTCAATATTTTCATTTTTGACATTTTACTTCCAATTGTTTGTGAGTCAATGAAAGATAGACGTAAAAAAAATTTAGTTTTAATGGCATATGAAAAAAAAACCCCAAAATGTATCTTATGTTAAAATTTAAAAATAAAAATTATATTTTAGTTTGTACATTTTTATTATTTTTACAAATTTTCAATAAAAATTCCAAAAATTTCCTGAGTGCCTAACTATTTTTTTATTTCAAAAAATATTGGCCCTCCCAAATAAACAGTTCCCCCCCCCCACCAACTTGAAATTGGCTACGAGCCTGGCCACTCATCATTACTCTTCTTCAGATTTAGGAAACTTTAACTCATATTTTTTTGTTAAATCAGGCACAAATATTATAATTTATATAATTAAATCTATGATAACTAATAGCAGGTAATTCTATTATATAATCAATATCATTAAAAAAATGTTCTCACATATTTATAAATTAATAAACCTATAAAAAACTTATTAGCTAGCGGATAACCTAATATGTAATTAATATGATTAAAATTTCTTTTAACATTTATAGTATTTAACTATTTTATACCAAAGTCCATGAATGATCTGCCACTGTATTATATAATCTTTTAAAATTTCTCCCTAAGGTTTAATGAATATTAATCTATTTATATTCCAACTCATGGTCTTCTTAAAGTTTTTTGTAGTAATATTATATTTAATTGATACTGATATTATGAATTTTTTAGCCAATTGAAGCTGTTCATCATTTGCATTTTTACCAAATGTTTTTTTACTCAAGCTTTTCATTTCAATATTATGAATTTGACTAGATACTCACCTGTTAATTATCATTAAATGCTTATTAAATAAAACTTGTAAACTCTATTTTTTTTGTTTGAATAATGTTAAATGCCTAAGGATAATATTCATATAAAATATCAGTAATTTAAACGAGTGATTTTTTCGCCAAACCAAGAAAAAATGTATAACGTGATTTTTCTATATTAAAAAAAATTTTTTTTTTAATATTTTTATTAATTGGATTTCTCTATTCAATAAACGATCTTAGGTAAGATACATATCATAAATATGCACATTTTTTTTTAATAGAAATTGGTACAATAGATAAAAATTTAAAGGGTGGTAGCCAGTTTTTAAACATGGCCATTTATGCCACTTTCTCTCCATATTATTTTTATTATAATATATAATTGCTCTTGTCCCAGATGCTAATGAGGAGCATTATATCTATGATGAAAAAAATATATTCTTATTATCACCGCCAGAGGCCTGCAGTGGTAAAATTTTTAGGCCTAATGGGAGTTTAGTTTATGCCCAGTCCGGCCTATCTTCAATTTTTTACTAATATTGCTGGGCCCTGCCTGGTTTTAAATTGAATACAAGGCCTAAACCAAAATATATCTTGTTGATTGACCACCAGATGGTTTATCACTTCTTTGAAATATCAAATACTGGGTTTACCGTTGTTTTCGAACAGAAACTCTTAATATGAAAGTACAAAATACGTAAACAACTTGTTCTCATTCAATTCGAGCATCATAAAAAAAATTCTTTTTTAAAACGCGCATTTATTAAAAAATATAATTTTCAATAAATCAGCTGAATATCTATAAAATTATTTTAAAAATTTTAATTAAAATTATTTGCTTTATGATTTTGTGCATTAGTATTGTATCGAAATAATTTTGAAAAAAAAAATTAATTTATAACTAAATATTTAATATTGTTTTAATAATTAATGGACGTCTTGGCTAAGCAAGGATTTATATATTCCTTCAAGTTAATGGTTAATTTTGGGTTTTGACTAAACTGCAAATGTTTGGGTAAAATGTTTTTCATATATTCTATTAATTGAGTTGAGATTCATTATTTTTTGCTATAAGTATAAAATTAAATTACTAGATATATTCAATAATAAATATAAATTAATAATTATATTTCATTTAATCTATATTTATATTTAGAAAAAAATACAATAAAATATATAATTCAAATAATATTCTATCCGCATGTTGGCGTTTATTGTTTAAATATATAAAATTATTTTTATCATTTTAAAATCTACACGATTAAATATAAAGTAATATCTGCATATAAAGGTTATATTTAAATAAGTTCATTTGCCGATAAATTAAATATTTAAAAGTGCAATATTATCTTGTAATTTCATACATTTTAATTACTTTTTTATTATTATTTTATTCTAATTTATCTAAAAGTACTATAATAAATTCTTTTTACAATATAATATATCGTATAAATATTAGACAATTAAAAAAACATTTATTCATTTTACCTTTTACCTTTTATTTACTGCTAATGATATATATCGTTGAACTTGATTAATTTTTTTTAATCTATTTTATTAAAATCTTAAATTGACCGAGACCGACTTTATTTAAAAAATATAATTTTATTTTAATTTAGGTTTTTATATTTAAATATATATAAGTAATAAAATTTAACCATTTACAATTTAAATCGTTATTTGTTTCAATCAATTTTTTTTAGATAATAAATGGACTAAAGTTTATTTTTAATATATAATTTTTAAAAATATATATAAAACAATAATTTAAAATTATTTAATAAATGCCAACTTGCGGAGTGTATATTATTGAATTACATTTTAATTTTTTTTAAACATAATTATATTAAAAGATTTAGATCGTCTATTAATATATTGGATGAAATGAAATATAATTATTAATTTATATTACTTTATTATTGAATTGTTAAGTTCAAATTTATATATAAAACACCGTTAGGTTCAAATCTAATAACATTTATATAAATAATTGTTGTGAATTTTAGAATTAATTTGCATAAAGATTTCTTTTGGATTTTGTTGTACTTTATATGTAATTTGCATAAGGAATTTTTGTGGATTTATTGTTATAACGCTTGATAAAAAGATTATATTTGAATAGTTATGATTAGTTATAAGAAGATTGAAAAGAGTATAAAAAGGCAAATTTTTATGATATAAAAAATCTTTGTTTTTTTAAAATTATTAACTTTTTTAATTTAATTTTATTTTATTTTTTTATGATTTTTACTATTATAATTTTGAATAAAGAATTAAAGTGGATTTTATGATTTCGTAATTCCTAATTATTATTAATTTCCTTTTATATATATATATTTGTTTTCTATTTTTATATTTAGGTTTTGATGCACAATGACAAACTTGTCGTTGTGACAATTACTAATAAATTAAATTTATTTTACTTAAAAGTAACAATCTATCATCAGCAACAATTTGCTTGTTACAATTTGTAATTTTTGGATTAATATATGAAAAGGTTGATCTTTTCATTCTTGTATAATTATAAAATTGGAAATGTGTGTAATCGCAATTTATATTGATATATTCAGAAAAAGATTTCTTTTAACATATATTTGAGATGTCTTGCACCTTTTCCTTCCTTAATTTTTTTTAAGTAAATACAAGGCAAGCAATTTTTTTGTTTTAAAATTAGACATTTCATATTGAAAAAATAAAACTTAACGCTTCAATTTAAACATGGTTGCGTTTACGTTTTTACATGCATTTTGAAACGCTGCGTTTACGTTTTTACATGCATTTTGAAACGCTGCGTTGAAACGTTCTTGTGCGCACTATAAGTCTCAACCTTTCTAATTTAAATTTCTAAGTTTCAACTTACTTTCAATTTCTTATAATTTTTAATTAATTTAAACACTTTTTATAAATTCATTTTCTTTATTTGTATTATCAAATTCAATACAATAATTTTCAACAGTATATTATAAAAATCCATATAATATAAAAGTTTTTTTTTATCAAAAAAAATGAAATATCCAAAAGTATTTTTTATTAATATTTTTTTACAATAATAGTATTTAAGAATCGCCCAATCAACAATGAGCATTATTATTGATTGGCTTATTTATATAGTTACAACAAAAAAAAATATTATAACTTTTATAAACTACATAAAAACTAGGACAATAACTTTTATTTTGTAAGATCGAAAGATAAAAAAAAAGAACTATAATATCAAACCATGTTACAGATACGTTTTTTTATAATTCCATAAAAACACGAGCGCGAGATAATTATTTTTGAGATTTAATAAACTACTTTATAAAATCAATAAAAAAAACATAATTATAGACGTGAATTTATCTAGCAATTTAATTTTTATAACATGTTTATATGCTAAGTGAATCTTATAAAATTACCTAAGAATTTGCAGTTTACCTTGGCATTTATAGTTTACCCAGATTTCCAATTTCGTCAACCTGTCAATTTTCTTTTTTCATCATTCATTTTAAAAAATATATAAATAATATATGTTCCTTCCAAGTTCCAACTAATTAATAACATGCGATTTCACAGTGTTGTTAAATGGCTCGATTTTAGCCGATTTTTAAAAACAGTTAACTCAAGATTTTAGCCAGAATAACATTGCCAAAGCTTTGAGAGTTCTCTGATAGATGTCCAAACCTTTGTGCCATCTATGAGCAGAATCTTCAGGCTTAGGTTATTTTTTTGGCTAAAATATTGAGTTAGCCGTTTTTAAAAGTCGTCTCAAATCGAGCCGTATAATAACACTACGATTACATTTATTAAACGAACAAATTTCTCTTTAGTGTTTTCAAAATGATACAACGATGGTCCTTTTAGAAAATAAAATTACTTGATGTCATCCTTTCAAACCTCCTTCATTAAAAGAATTTGATTCTATATTACTTTCCAAATCTTATATGGCAAAATTATCCTCTTAAAGAATAAGGATATCTGAGTTTTTTTTCTCTGTGCAAAAATCACAACGTTCTTTTTATTAAAAATATAAGCTTACCGTTATTTTTTTATTAAAAAAATATAACTTATTTCGATTATTTTAATCATATATTTTTATGCATATATTTTTATGCAATACCATTGATGCACAAATTTATTTTAAGCAAATTAATTTATTTAAATATTTTTATAATTTTATAGATATTCAGCTTATTTTTATTGAATAAATTTGATAAGATTAGTGTAAAACACTATTTTTTAATAAATATTTGATATAAAATGTTGTTTACATATTTTGTGCTCTCATAATAAGAGTTTCTGTTCGAAAACAACGGCAAACCCTATATATATATATAATTATTCTGGCTCGGCCCGACCCAAAAAAATTTTTTTAGACATATGGGACAAGTAACGGGCCGGGCAATGCAGATCCCCGATCACAGTATCAAACTTATCAAAGTATGCCGCCCTTAAATTTTCAGAATTTTGTTATTTCAAATAATTTTGGGTGTATTTTATAATTTGTTTCAAAGTAAATTTTAAAAAATTTAAATATTAGCAGTAAAGGAATTAAATGATTCCATGATTTTCCAACCAACTGATATATAATGTTAAATTGGTCTGGTTTGGCAAAGTCCTGTCAAATTAAAGCCATCTATAAATTGTTTAGAATTTATTTTTAGATACTTTTTATAAAAAAAAACTATACTTTTTTTAAAAAAAACTATATTTTTTTTGTATTTACGATTTGTAAATTATTATTTATTTATGTTTAAAAAGATTTTTTATGAACGGTTATTTGCCTGTTGGATTCGAATTTGCAGCCGAAATCACTTATCCACATTCAGCCGGCATATCTTCGGGTCTTTTAAACGCGTCAGCCCAAGTTTGTCCTTAATTTATTTTATTTGACATAAATTTAATCATAACAAAAGATAAAGCTCTCATAGTCACAATTTTCTTTGAAAAGAGAAGTATCTTCCTTCCTTTTTTTCTTTAAGAAACTAACTGAGACCAGTTCCATTAATTCTTAAAATTACTTAAAAACTCTTATTATTATAAATCTTATAACTGAATGGAATTTAAAGTTGTGAAGTTTTTTGAATAAAAAGAATTTTTTATTTTATGATTTGAATATTAAAATGTGAGACGAATATTAAAATTATTGTTAACGAACTTGAATGTACTGAGAATATTATTGTTAATTTTAATTTTGAATATAAAATTATTTTTGAATAATTTTTTTTTGTGAATATTTAATCTGTTAACATATATAAACCCCGAATTTGTGAATCGATCATTATTCATTTTTTTTTATTTAATAAATTTGGAACTACATAGTTTGGATTACTAAAGTATTAATTTATATTTAAGACATTAATATTTATATTTCTATTCATACCAAAAACATCGAAATTTAACAGAATGTAAAGGTTTTAGAAATAAGTGAATTCAGTGATTTTAACTTTTAAATAGGTTACTTAACATTTTTAGAACTGTCAACTCATTATGCTAAAATACTATAACTAGACAGTTTTTACAAAAATATTTTCTTTTTGCATATCTTATCAAGATTTTCGGTATAATATTCACATTGGGAATGGGTGAATTGAGTGACTCTATATCGGTTTATGCCGCCAATATATTACTTTGCGTTTCGCTGCTTTTCGGAGCTTTGTTAACTAGTAAAACCAATCAAACTATTTTATAGTTACAATATAATCAAATTTTTTTTTAATATTCCAATTTAAATTTTTTTATATAATATTTTTTCCCCCTTATTATTACAGTTGGGATACGTTCTGAATTAAAACGGGAGCATATAAATATATCTCACAACCAAGCGGTAATTTTCTATTATATACATTATTTTGCTTGATTTGAAATAAGAGGACCAATCATAACTTCTAAATATTAGAAAAAATTTGTTAAATAAATGAATTCGACTACCCTTGTGGGAAATATAATCTACCAATTTATTCAAAATTTTTCATTATCCCAATCACGTTAAATATAGTTTACCAATAGTTTGTGCAAATTTTTCATTATCACAATCACCTTAAATATAGTTTACCAATAGTTTGTTGCAAATTTTTCATTATCACAAATTTTATTGTGTTTATTTTTTTTAAAAAAAGAAATTTTTGATTTTATCTTGAAAAATATTTTAATGGTAATAGATTTTGCCATATTATTTTAAAAAATCTCTGTTCTTTATTTATTTATTTTTCAAACTGCAATATTTTTTAAAAAAATAATATTTAGCTTGTTTTCTTTTTCGCTTTTTCCTCCGTTTGAATAAAACTTCAGTATTTTATTTTTATATCCCTGACTAAAACCAATATTTTTCACATTTTTTGCAAAAAGCGTATTGTCTTTCTAAAGACCCACTTATAATCAGGCGCTTAGTTTAAATCTAATCATTATATTGGAACCCACTTTTATAATTTGCTGAAGAGCTACCGTTGCGAAGACCATAATAAGTCTTTGTGCATTTTCCTCTAAAATAATCGAATCTCAGCATTCCTGATTATAATTCAAATCCAAAACACGTTGAAATTATTTCGAGAGAAAATTTGCTAATTAAGATTAGAGCCAAAGGGAATTCATTTTAAAAAAAAAAATTAAATTTAAGATGATAAAAACTAAAAAAGGAAATTTTTTATACGTTATAAATTTCGATTACACATCTAATTAGCAAAACGGGAATGTCGATTTCATAGATATGAAGAGCAACGTAAATAATAATATTAATGATCATAAGAATTCACCTAAAAGTAACGAAGTCAATTTAAATATGATGCCCAAGCAAAACGGCAGCACGGATCCCGAATTAGATAAGGGTGCTGAACCATCATCCCCTTTCCTGAATGGTGAATCGAAAGATAAATGATTACGATATTTTAAATTATATAAAATGTTTTATTTTTTTAAATCAATATTAACAAAGATGCAAATAAAAACAAATTTTCCAATTTACTTGACGATCTTATTTTTATACGTTTAAATATTGTGCATAGTGAATATTTATAATAACAGCCAAATTGTTTATTAAAAAATTTTTTGTCGTTTATTATATATGATTTAACATGTATAAACATTTATATCTTGTAAAAATTACCTATATTTACCATTAAATCATTTTCCAATTTTTTTTATCTAAATTTTATTTTACAATTTTATTGTTATTTGTATTTGTATAAAGTTATAGTTTTATACTAAATCATCAATCTCAACTGACCTTCCAAATTTTTTTCCAAATAGAAAATTTAGTTTTTATTTTTAAATGTTTTTTTTTTTAAAAAAAAATAGTATTATTATTTTAGATTAGTATTTTCGAAATAAAATTTTTTTTATTCTGATGAAAACATTTTTAGCTTTATTATTTTGATGAAGAGAATAAATGTTTTATATATGTTATATATTAAGAAATTAAATTAAAGATTTTTTTAAAAATTAGGTCCTTATTTATAATTTTTATTCAATATCAGCCATACCAATAAATGACATTAGAACATGAATTATATAATTGATAATCAAGATATATACAAAACTATTTTATATTGTATTTAATTTATTATTTTAAATATTTTACGAATTCCACGATTAATGCAAATAAAATATTTAGTTAGTAACTACGAAATTAATTTTTTAAGCGCTACTCTAATAATAATATTATTGTTATAATGCTGTCTTTTTTTTACAAAATTATATTATTTTATCATTTAAAAAAAATCTGAATATATTAAAAATAAATTATGTTGATTAAATATTGTATGTCGTCTCCCTTTCTTTAATATTCATGCCTAAAAGACAATTATAAATCGATCTTAGACACTCATAAGCCAATGGTTCTAAAGCCCTCCTGATGACTAAAATGTAAAATAATACTATATAATAGATGCTAACTTTATGTTGACTGAGAAGTTATCCCCCACCGTTCTAGAGCGCCATTTTAGGTCATTAACTTACCCCTTGGGAAATGTTGGTTTTTATGTTTTTCCATAAAATAGTCTAAACAAGTTGCTATATTTTATAATAAAGGACACCCATTTTTTTGAAATGTAAATCAACCATATTCCCTTGCCTAGGTTACATTCTTGAGGAAGTGGATTTCAGTTTAAAGAAAATTATTCCAAGCTAGGCTCTAACCAGCGACAAAATATATATACACCTCCATTTAGTTTCAGACCACAACCAGCGTCTACATGAGTGGGGGGGGGGGGATTACGAATTAAATTTCCGGGTTGGAGCAAAACATATATTTATTGTGTTTTTGTTATAGTATCTAATATACATACAAAGATTGATAATCGACGAAATCTATATATGTATACAATACAATCAGTCATTTAAGTTATTTTATAAAAAAAATTTATTTTGAATAATTTCTGCTATATTTTTAAATGATACCATTTAAAAGTGGGTAAACATTCTATCCGCAAACTAACTTTCATGCCAAACTATATATTCATGAATGCGAGGGTTTTTAATTCATATTCTAGGAAATAATTTCTTCACATTCACAATTTTATATAGTAGAGTATTGATATAAGTTATTATTGGTAAAATATGTGAAAGGATTTATAATTTTGATGGGAAATCGAAGGTAGAAAAAGATTTTCTAAGGGGGTAGGTATAAATTTTTGAGGGGGATATGCCTCCAATAAATTTTGCATCGTTTAAAAGCTTGTCATAACTGCCATTCAAAAAATAATGACATTAATCTATAATAAAATAATAATTAACTGATTTTATTAGATTTAATGAAAAATATATAAAACTTAAGGGCTATCTAACTCGGATGAAGTGTGACGTAGTTTTTAGTATCTTAAGGGAATAGAGGGTGAGATTGTGATAATTTACAGGCGAATAAAAATACTTTTTTTATTAAAAATTAAATTTTAAATATAAATCCACAATTTATTTATTGAAATATTAAATTTGTGATGTGAGTTAGCGAAAAAATTAATATCTTATCCTTTTATTAATACCATTTTATTTTTGAGATTTATTTATAAAGCCCAGTAACATTTGTTGAAAAAAATCTACTCATAGTTTTTTGTCATAGTAAAAAAGTTTATCTTTATCTATATAAATAATATATAATAATTACTTTGACTCTGAGAATTAATTTCCAATTTTTATATTAATACATAATGTATAATAATTATTTTTATATCATTTATAAATTAATATATATATAACATTTGATTTTCGATTATTTTAAATTTAGCTTATAAAATATAATAATTTGAAATGTTTATCGATGATAAATAAAAATTATTACATGTCGAATTTTATGTAGTTTTAATAAATATAAAAATAAATTGCTAAATATTTTATAAAGAAAAAGTAGAAAAAACCCCAGCCCTTTAGAAAAATGGACCCCCTCACCCCCCCCCCTCCCAAAAAAAATCCTAGCTATGTCACTGATTTTTCAATAGATATAAAAATATGTTAATTAAAATACTATATAATGAAATTTTTTAAGAAATAGGATAATTATGCTTGCATATATATATATTGGTTTATTGCTTGATTAAATAAAGGTTTACAATTGCTTCCATACTTTTAAAGGAAAAAACAGGTCTCCTTTCATTTCTAAAAATGTAGTTTATATGTTAAAATATAAAAAATTATTTTCTATGCCTGAAGATTACCAATTGTTTTTAATATATCTGATAATTGTTAAATATTTAGTCAACATGTAAATACACTTCATTTTTTGAAAATAATTGTAAATAATATAGGATGGGGGGGGGGCGTTAATATCTAAATATCTGCTCGTTTTATTATCCGTAAAATACTATTGATTTGTTATCAGCAGCGTCATTAGAAGTGGGGTGGAGGGGTCTCATTGGCTGGAGTCCCTTGAACATTTTGAATTTTTTAATACCATGTTATCTAAAAAAAAATAAAAGTCATTTTGAAAATGTTAGGTAAAAAGAGGTCATTTAATATTTTTTAAAAAAATTTTGTGGCCCCTAAGATTATAAAGGCTAATGACGCCCCTGATCGTTATGTCATATAAGCAAGAAAAGTTAGCATCTTTTTCTTATTAATAGGCATATTGCACACAACTATCATCTCCTAATGTAACATCATAGTAAGTGCATTGTCCTTTTGTCATATATAACATCAGAGCTAGACTTGGAATCTCTCATTTTCATCTTATTGAGTTATGAAATTGGAAGTAATCTATGTGTAGCTTGACCACTATTTTTGTGCAGACTGCAGTTATCTATGCGCGCAAGAGAAAAAGAGCCTTACTTAAATGCTCATGGGAAGTAAGAAGATGTAGAAAAGCTCGTGGTAGATTAAATAAAAGTTTTGAATATGGGGGTTTTGGGCTAGGTAAATTTTACTTTTTATTTTGCACTGTGACGTAGAAGGGAGAACCTGGAACAAAATCAGGAATAGACAATACAATACTAATACAAAAACGATCACTTATCTATTTAACTAATGTTTAGGTCCACTTTTTGTAGATTCTATAAATATAAAATAAAAGCAACTTAGGTAAACAGGTTTGAACAAGTTTTACCTTGTTCCAAAGTTGAAAGTATCTGGAAAAAATACATATTAAATAATATCCATAGGAAAGGATTTAAAATACTTTCAATTCATATTTTGAAGATTCAAAATAAAACACAGAATCCCGAGAAAAAATTAGAAGTTAACGATTATTGATATTGAATGAGAAAATTAAATTCCGGCTAAAGTAATATTTTTAAAAAATTAACGACAAGAAAACGACATAGATGATTTATAAAATATTATCCATTCATATATACTATAATCTCATTTGGATATGTATCGGCAATATTAAATTTATAATTATTCTTAAATTCTAAAAAAGTGCAACATCAGCAGCGTCTACATGGCAGAAAATTTGATGGAGATAAACCCACCTACAAAATCTACCCCTACCCCGCCCCCTAAAAAATTCCGAGTCTTTCGGCAGCGATATTGGCCCCACGATATTTAATAAGCTACCATTTATTATCTCACAACAAATTTTATTTACATACTTTCAGGTCTGTTTAGGCTAGAAAAATAATTAAATCTCTAATTCTTGCTAATAATCAATCGGCAATTGAAAAGCTGTTTGTGCCACTCCATTGAAATTGATCGTTGAATGAGAAGAAAATATAATCTGGGAATCTTCAATAACTTTGGATGTTTGATAATTATTAAATAAAGAATATAGTTAAAATCTGTTTACCTTTCGGAAATCTTATTTCTAATTATAATATATAAAGTATTTTGATAAAATTTTAAATGATTTATTAAATTTTTACAGTAAATTAATTATTAAAATTAATCAGAGTTGTACAAAAGATCTTCTTTGAAGATTTTTGAGCTAGATCTAGCTCAAAAATTTGAGCAAGATCTTTGAAGAACGTAAAATTTGTAGATCTTTTTTTTTTAAATTTTGTGTAACGATCTTCAAAGATCTTTATGATTTATTTTTTTACCCCTTTATTAAAAGCCCAGATGTTTTTCAATTTTCATCAAGGCAGGAGGAGAGGTATAAAACATAAAAGAAATATTATATTAATAAAATTGAAAAACATCTGAGCTTTTAATAAAGGGGTAAAAAAATAAATATCATGAAGATCTTTGAAGATCGTTACACAAAATTTTTAAAAAATAAAAGATCTTCAAATTTTACGATCTTCAAAGATCTTGAGCAAATGTACAACTCTGATTAATCATATATGTTAACCAAAATTAACAAATAAGAATAATATTAATATTTTACTTGAGAAATTGCAAATTATGGTAAAAAATTAATAAAAAGGCTTAAAAGAAAAAATTTATAGTTTTTTATTATTTTTTAATAGACAGATCAATCGTAACAATTATTGAATTTAAAAAGAATATAATTTAAGTCAACTATCCCCAAAAAATCAATACCTACACCCTCAAAAAAAATCTACCCTCAAAAATCTATACCTACTTCCCAAAATGTCAATTGGAAACATTTGTCTCCTACCCACTCCGGCCAGGTAGACCCTGAACATCAGTGCTCTGCCTCCAAATTTTTTATATGTATTATATATTTAATGTGTTTTATATAGTATTCACTAAAAATTATATAAAATTACATATACACGTATTAAAAATAAATTTATTTATTCCATCTTTTCATAAAATATTATTTATCTATTTTAAGAAAGTAAAAAATTTATTTAAATATTTTTTTTCTTTAACATCTCGTTTAATATGCTATTTTATCTCATGATTTAATATTAAAGATCTTGAAAGAAACACTTTATATCCATAATATAGAATTGCAAATAATATCTTCAATAAATTTGAAATAACAAAATACAAGTTTAACTTGGTTATATATTTGAATAGATAAAAAAATTGAAATATCGATAGACTGCGCTCTATACAAGAGATAAGAAATTTATTTATATATTTTAAAAAATGATTGACATAAGATAATCGCATTCTCCTAAAATTTACAGCTGATTTGTTTATGATTTTGGGGAAATTGGTAAATTTTTAAATAGATCTATAATTCCTTTATTATAGGTAGAATGGATTAGTTGCCTATTATTGTACATCTGTTCTGTTTTTGTAACTCATTTCTTATGTGTTATATTTGGTGCTCCTATTAGCAGGTTAATTTCCACAGAGATTTTAAAATATTTATATTTTTCAGTGATATCCTAAAAACATTTTATTTCAGTATTTATTTAACCAGTTTAACTTTGTTGCCTTCCATAATAAAATACAAATTAAACCCAAATCTATGGATAAATGTTTACTTATATCATGAGTATTAAAAAATTATTGGCATTTTGTTTATAAAAGATATTAGTTACTCAGATAGGTTTTCAAAAATTATATGTGACTTAAGCATTTACACATTAATAGGAGCTTGGTTGGGAGCATTTGTTATTCCTCTTGATTGGGATAAACCATGGCAGGTTTTTTATAATTTTCATTGTTTGAAAATTGGAGTGCTCTTTGGCATCAATTTGAAAAAAAATATTCAGTGTTAAAATTTGAGTTGTTTTAATTGAGAAAGCTAATGAGTGAAAATATTTTTTATTAGATTATCACTATTTGTTCAAAGAAAATAGTTTTTATTATGAAATCACAGAAACATGACTATTTAATATAAAAATAATTTATTTTGGTATATGAGAAAAATAACGAAGAGTTAATAACTTTCAAGCAAGATTTAGTGATAGAGGGTGTATGATTATTGATATAATATTTTTTATATAAATAAAAGAAATTGGTTTTGCTGATAAAGTAAAAAGCAATCATTTTAAAATTATGTTTTTAAATAAATTTTAAACCAAAATTCGTAAATTCAGGATAAGTTCTCCAATCTTCAAGCTATGGCTGCATTTAAGTCATCTAACTTTAACAAATTATTAATATATAAATAGGTGTGGCCTATTCCTTGTTATATAGGAAGTTTATTAGCTATGACAATGACTATTAGCTTTGCTTTGATAAAATATATCATGTCCTATTATAATAATCAATGGTTACAAGCAAGATACAAAAATAATGACAAACATTTCAATCAAAAGCTAAATACACGTAACACAAAAAAAATTGTATAATGATCTAAATTAAATATTATATAAATAAAATTTTATATTAATATTATGCACTATTTAAAAAATAAGATATTTTAAATTATCACAATTTTTTTTTAAATAAATATAAATATGTATATAATATTTGTTTTATATAAATTTCATAATAATAAAATTATGCAAATTAGGCTTATGCAGAATAATTTTACTTAGGCGTATAAATTTAACAATTGTGTATACAGTTTCAAATAATATATAATTTTAAGTAGTTTTTTTTTTATTTCGCGTGACAAATCAATGTTTTATTCACCATTTGTAAAAAAAAATATATTAAATATAATTATCATTTTTTCCCTCATTATTTGTTTTTATACTCATATATCCTCGAGCTATTTTATGTGTGGACCTCATTTTTAAATTGAGCTGTTCAATTATTTAATATTATCGCACAGCTTAGCAATATTATGTTAAATCACATAACAAACAGGTTATGAATCAATCGTTTTGTCAAAATTCATATTAAGTTGTATGCAATCATTTTTTTTATATATAAACCTAGATTTATGATATTCAAATATTTATCTTATTTCTTTGGCATATGCTCAAAAACTTTAAATCATGAACAATAGTTTTAACAGAAATAATTGAAAAAAGAGATATTTGAAAATTCAAATTTTAAACCCATCTCATATATTTTTATTTTGTATTTTCTAATTGAGGCCGCAATTGTCAAAATTAATAAAAAGAACAAAAAAGGTGTCCTAGAGGATTAAAAAGAGAAATTAAGATGAGCCACACCGCAGTAAGACATTTGATAGTTATTTTTTAATACATTAATTGATCTTCTAACTTCCATTTAATCTTAAATTAAAAACTTAAAAATCGAACAACAAAAAAATTTTAATTTCAAAATGATACCTTTTAAAATTAAAGTATTCTCTTAGTCTCTCTTAAATTTTCTAATTCACAATTTTCGAAGGTATCCGTAGTTTCATCATATAAATTTAAATCAAGCAGATCCAAGTGCGAAAAAGAACGTCTCAAACGATCGACCGAGGAAAAATCGTTTGAAAGTTTGAGGCCTTTAGTCCTAAATTCGTTAAGCGCTTTGCTGTCGAATTCTTCTTTTTTGTTGTCGAATTTGGGTTGGTTCATCGATAAATTTTCGATCTGAGAAACGATCGAATGTTTCGGGGAGTTTAAAATAGCCTTTTTGTGTTTTTCCTGAAAATCTAGGTAAATCTTCTGAAGGTATTGGTCCAGGGATTTGTAAGGACGGGTTTTGAAATCCTTTGGCGCCTTAGTTCTGGATTGAAGTATAGAGTCAAATTTTTTGAAGTTTTCGGTGTCATCGTAGGGTAAGGATTTGCGAGGTATTTCTATTTGTATATTTGACAAAACAAATAAACATGGATGCCTGATAATGATAATTAATGTGTCTATATATCGCCTCTTATCCGTAATAAAAATTTCTTTTTAAGAATATTCAAAGGAAAAAATGATTTTTTTAGAAACGATTTAGTTAAACGTTGATAAATAAAAAACGCTACACAATGAAACCTGTCTAATTTAGGCACTGTTGTGTGTGACCAAGATTTGATCAACTTATCAAGGCATTTTCTAATACGTGATAATTAATAGGAATTTGATTGAGAGCTCAAAATTTTGGTCAAATTAGGGAGTCACCCAAATTAGACATGTTTTAATCTATAGCTTTTTAGTCGTATTACATATAGTGTTTTTTGCTTTAAACTTTTTTTTTACCTGATAACTAAATTGAAAAAAGACACCATATGATAAAAAAAAATTATTGATAAAAAAAATGGAACTAATTTCTAAATAAGCTTCGTTTTATCATTCCTAACTGGCTATACTTATCTTGTTTGTTTTTACTAAATCATGATCCTTGTTTAGAAAATGTTTTAAGTCAAAGCAAGTAGACCCAATAAACTTTTTGCAAGGTTCAATATAGGTCCATTTCGTAATTTTTAAAATAAAAAAAAGGATGAAATGCAGTTCTGATAATGTTTTCAAGAAGCAAGTAATAAGTATAGTTGGGTATGGCTAAATGTCGGAAAAAATCCGTTAACTATCTTTTTTAACAAAAACCCCAAAATGATAGGTTTCGGCTAAAAACTTAGTTTTGCTGGCTAAAAATTTGCTTAAACGACTAAAAATATAGTAATTGTCCAATTATAGTAATAAAACACAAATTTCCAATTGCTATTTTATTTTGTTTCATTAAATCTAAAAAAAAAAATTAAAAAACGGTAATGAAGTTAGGACAGTAGTATCTTAAATGTATTAGGAGTAAAAAAAAAGTTTGCAACCTAACCTATATTTGAATCAATCATCAAATGACTAAAATCGGGTGGTCTCATTGACTTTATGTTAGGGTTCTGATTAGAGAAAATATAGTGAATCAGAAACCTAAATTTAATCAAAATAACCAATTTAGGATGTTTTTCAGGGGATATGCCTTCTTTATTTTAATTCAATATTTTAACGAATGTAAAAATAAAATAAGAATATACCTTTGTCTTCGCTGAAGGTAACCTGAGGGTGGTGAGCTAATTTGGGCGAATCACCGCTTTTTGGATTTTTCATGATAAATTTATCGTATTTTGTGGAGAAGGATTTCGATGTAGAAATAGTCGGTGGACTCACATGACGATTAAATCGATACCATGACAAAAATAGTATTGAGCTTAAGAGTAACACGTTGATCAAAATTCCGTAAAATGCGGCTGATAGGGGCCAATTGTAGATTAGATATCTATTTTATTAGAATATATATTTAATGTAGATATATATATATATCAGAGACTTGCGGGCCCAACCCGTATTATAATCTTTTAAAATATACACAGACCAGGACCAAAAAAATATCCGGGCTGGGCCGAATATATTTTAAATCGTCATTATATGTTAACTATAAAAATTGAAAAAATAAATATATTTTAAAAGAATTCTGATCGGGCCTGAAAATATAAAACCCGGGTCGCGCCGAAAAATTTGGAGCCGTAAATTTTACCTCTGCAGGGCTTTGATATATTATATTTTTTTAAATTGGGTTTTGGATATGTTATTAACGATTTTAAGACAATTGATCGAACAGGGTTAATTTCTGGATATTCAAGATATCTAGCAGAGTTGTTAAAGTAGCACGCTACTTAGTGCGCTATCTTTTTTGGTAGCTATAGCTAATAGCCGCTACTTTTTTAATTATTTAATTTTTTAGCGCGCTACTTTTTTTAAAAGTAGCTAAGTAGCGCGCTACTTCGCTACTTTTAAAAAATATAATGAATGTAAGTATAAACATGAAAATTTAAATATAATATCATAATTAATTATAATTTTTATAATTTATTATTTAATTTTGAAATTTAAATATATTTTCAATTTTTAATTTATATTTTCAATCTGTGTTAATAATCTAAAATGGCATCGCCCATGGATATCCAAATCCTTGAAAGTGATTCGGACATGGAAGATTCAATGGAAGAAAATGTACTTAATAACTCTAATAACGATTTCCCATTCCCTAGATTTGAAAAATTTTTTAAAATAAATATTAAAACAAAATCTGGATTCAAATTCCTGTGCTTAAAATGTAAAAAAAATATATCATCAAATCAATTGAGTAGCTATAACCTGAAGAAACACCTAAAGGTAAATTGTTATTTTTACATTATAATATTATTTATTTTATTAGACTGTTCACGCCAATTGCTATAAGGAAATAGAGAAACATATAAAAAAATTTGGTATGGGAGAATCTTCATTCAAAAAGACAAATACTATCCAAACCAAATTAACTGATAATAAACATACCAATATTTCACAAAAATTGGCTGATAAAGTAATTGTTGATTTTATTATTGACACAGTTCAGCCATTGTCCTTGGTTGATAATCCATCATTTACTATGATGATTAAAACTTTATTTCCTGGCACAACAGTTTTATGTCGCCAGACACTTATGAATAAAATAGCCGACAACTTCAAAGTGATGAAAGATGCTCTAATAGTAGAGTTATCAGATATATCTTATGTATGTACCACGGCAGATAGTTGGACACATAACAGAAGGTAAAAACTTATTTATATTTATAAATTGATCTGATTAAATATTTTTAGAGCTTATTTGGGAATCACAGGCCATTGGTTAGACCCTAGGACTTTAAAAAGAAGATCTGTAGCCTTAGCCCTTAAAATGATTATAGGATGCCAGACATATGACGTACTTGCAAATAAAATTATTGACATCCACAAGTCTTTTAGGATTCATAATAAAGTTAGCAAGATGGTTACTAATAATGGGTCTAACTACCTGAAGGCATTTAGGTTATATCACAAATTTATTTATAATATTTATTTTAAGCTATGATTTTTTGGGCAGTACATTAATCAGATGGAATGGTTATTATTTAATCTATAAAATATTTAGTATTTTAATATTTCACATTATTTATAGAATTTTTATTAACTAAATACACACATATTTTAGTAATATTATGATTATCATAATTTATATCAAATTATAAATAAAATTAGTGAAATTAACTAATAAAATATAAAACAGAGGTGGATTATTTCATTAATTTTTATTGTACAGTGTCATTGAGCTAATCTAACATTTAATAAGATATTGTTATTGAATATTTCATGGATGATTAGATTTTTACTATATTTATTTCTTATGATTAATTGCCATCAATTTATATACAGTACAGGGAATTCATTCAATGTATTCATTTGATAAAATATTTTTGCTTAGTTACATTATAATTCCTGAGGTTCAAAATTTAGAATACTAAGAAATGATTTTTCCACACCATTTTTGATAAATATTACTAAACATTTCTATTAAAACTGGATGAATAATTTAATTTGTCCTATTTAATATGAATATAGAATATTTGGTGAGGATAATGCTGAAGATGAGATACAGAATGATAGTCAACATGTATTGGAAGAGGAGGAAATAGGTGTTGATGCCAATGATATTAATGAGATCTTAGAAGAAGGTTTAAATTATTTTATAATACATGTTAATCTAATCAATATTCTATAGGATCTTCAACTAACTCCACAATGTTACCCAGCCATCAGAGATGCTCCTGTCATAATTTAAATTTGATAGCAACAGTAGATGCTGAAGGAGCTTTAAATGATGAAGATTTTAAAAGGGTGTCAAGATCGACATTTTATAAATGTCAAACTTTATGGAATAAGCAGAACAAATCTCCTAAAAGTTCTGACATGTTTAAAAAAAAATTAGGGAGGTATTTATTAACCCCTAATCGTACAAGATGGAATTCTGTATACCAAGCAATAAAACTAATCGCTTATTTTCTGGAGGAAAGAAGATTAGAGATTAATTATCTCTGTGATCTTGTTGAAATTGAATATATTAACGATGAAGAGCATACTTTTATAAAAGAGTATACAGAAGTAATTCTAATTAATAATGATTCATTTCCATATCAAATATTTATTTATATTGCTTATTTTTTTATAATCTAAACTAACTATATTTTTATATTTATAAATGTTGATTTTTATATATTATTTATTATACATTTACATTATAGAGCAAAAAAAAAAAATTTGTTTCATTTGTTTCTAAATTTTTTTTTATAAAAAGTAGGACAAATAGCGAAAGCGGTAGCGCGCTACTTTTTTGACAAATAGCTATAGCGGTAGCGCGCTACTTTTAAAAATAGCGTTTAACAACTCTGATATCTAGATATAATTGCGTAAATTTAATTATATAGTCATTTATATGAGTTATAATAAACCAGATACCTTCAAGTATGTATCTACATCCAGCGGCTTTTACCATGTGGAAGTGGAATTCTCAGTGGGAGGGGGGGGGGGGTATAAATTAAGATGAAAAATCTTTTAAGGGGGGGGGGGGGTTAACTTTCTTTAAGGTATTGAACCATTTTCGCTCTTGAGGAGGTAACTTGATATTTATTATTTTATAACTATTAATTTATTCACATTGAAGAAAATTTATATTATATTACTACATTTGCAATTAATCTACTTGGTCTCAATTATATGTTACAATATAATTTGTTTTTGCAATATATCTTAAAGTAGATATAATGCTATGCTATCTTGTATGAGTAATAGTAATAAATATTTGGGGTTTCAGTGATACTGTCTATTTAAGTTAGTAAAAATATTTAGGGAAGGGGGGGGGGGGGATAAATCGTGAGAACTGCTGCCTACATCTACTTAGAATAAACTTATGTCAAAATTTTTATAAATCATCCCTTTCGAAAAATAGTTTCTTCAATTATTGAGACATGAATTCCCCTTTATACCCTCCTTAGTCCTTATTTTAAAAAAATATTATTTTCATATCTCTTTTTATTCAACCCCTTTCCTTCTCTGTTAAAAATATGGTGGGCTACGCATAAAAAATGGCTGCTTAAGTGAGAAACATGTGAAAGATATTTGAAGGAAGGAAAACAGGGGATATTTATAATGGGAAAGAAAAAAAGAAACCATAGTTTTTCCAATTGCGCAAATATAAATTAGAATAGATAAAAGAAATAATACCTTAATCCACTATAATGAGCATGTATCTTCAAAGTGGATGAATATATTTGGATTTTGTTGTTTTCGATTTCGATCCATGCCCTAGAAGCTGGAACGTTCTAAACATTACATTTTTATTTCAAATAAATAAAATAATTTATTTTCTATCCCACCATCTTTCAACTTTATTCGAGGTTGGCAAAAACTCTAAAGTGGTCTGTAAATAGTGTCCTACTGGAAATTTTTTTTTATATCAACCCATAGATAGTGTAGGTGAAATCAAGCAAGATGTGTTAAATGAACGAATTTGAAGTTTGTAAAATTTTGGGCTATAGTTTTTAAAAACTTTGATTTCTCCAAAACACTGATATAGACTAGGGTTAGGTTATAAATTTTGTGTAAATTTTCCTTTGTATTCTAACCAAATATATTTTTTTAGTATGAACCTATTTACCAACCCCGTGGCATGTAGATCACGAGTCAGACACGTGATATTCGTCTAAATTTGTTTAATTATCAGAGAAAATTAGGTGTCATAAACACATTTGATTAAGTTCCAGGGGAATCATTGGCCGTCTTAAATTGATCTAGAAGGCCCCATTAAATAAATAAATATAAAAAAAAGTTGAAGTGAGAGGATTGGTTATAAATAAAAGTTAGTGACGAGAAGATTCCAGAAAAAAAATAACTTTTATATGATCAGAAAAGGAACAAGGCCATATTCGTCACTTGGGCCTGCACCGATTAGGACCCGAATCTTCTCTATTTTAATCCGGGTGACTCTTTAAAAATTTTAGGATGTTGACCAGTTTTTTTTTAATACATATTAATGCCTCCATTTTAGTTTTTCATATATGTATCTTAAATTAATAAACAAAGTGGTTAAAACTAAAAAAAAACCATTCTATCATTTTATTCTATTTATTGAAGATAAACAAATTTTTTATCGAATTAAATTTATAATCTACGTATTCGTACCCGGAGTAATCAATTTTTTAGTATTCGAAACAGGTTAAAAAATTAGATCCAGTGTATCCCTAAATATAAATATATATACCTTATTATCGGTAAAGGTTTCGATGAGTGTTACGACGAGGGTTTGTTTTTCCTCCTTGAGGGAAAGGAGAAAGAGCGGAGCGAGCACTAGCGTTCTGATAAGCCTCATGAGTTTTGAGCGGTAATGTGGCGTGGCCTATAAAGGGGGTAATTAAACTTTATCGAGTTTATTCCTCCTTAGTGTTGTTAAACGGCTCATTTTGAGCCGATTTTTTAAAACGGCTAACCCAATATTTTAACCAGAAAAACTATGGCTAAGCCTCGAGATTTCGTTAATATATGTCAAGACCTTTGTTCCTTCTATGAGCAAAATCTTCAGGCCTGCGTAATATTTTTCTGAATGGAATATTGAGTTAACCATTTTTAAAAATCGACTCAAAACGAGCCGTTTAAAATCGACTCAAAACGAGCCGTTTAAAATCGACTCAAAACGAGCCGTTTAACACTCCTCTACCTTAATTCTTTTTTTTCTCTCTCGTTAAATTATAAGCCAATTTCCTTTTCTTCCTCCCTTTCTTTTCTTTTCTGGCCATATATATTAAATTTATCGAAATTTAGATTATATTATAGGATTTGGGTTTTTTATACGAATCGGTTAGAGCTTCGGATAATTTGATCATATTGGGAAAGCATTCGAATATTGCACATAAACATTCCTATACGATATATAAAAAAATGAAGGTGAGGCGATTATAAATATATATTTATAATTTTTTGAGTCATTTAAAATAATACTTTCTTTACGTCATCGAATAATTGGGGGAGGGGGACTAAGGCACACTTTTTATCAAAATTGTTTAGGTGAACTAATAATTTTTATCCTAAATACACTCATAGATATTTATTATATATATTATGATTGAGTTAAGCGTCCAAACTCAAAAATTGAAATGAAAGGTTTCCATTATTTGGCTTAACCTGTCAAGTGGACAGAAAATTTTGAAATGTGTAAACCTTTATTTTTGATTTTTTTTAAAGTTTACACATATCTTATATTTTAAGGCTAAACGCTTATAAATTTTTTCGCTTCCCAAAAACTCTCCAAAATTAAAATCACTTCCATTCGGACCCAATGGATGATGTTAAAATTTAAAAAAGCAATATTTTCGAAATAATTATTTTTTCCTAAATCGAACCCAAATTGAGATTAATGTCGGAGTCAGGCAATTCCAATTCCAAATCTATCTTGTATTCATGGTCGGGTGTCATGATTTGCTTATATAAGTTTTATTTTTTTTATAAAAAAATATAGAATTATAAGTTTTAAAGTTATAAAATGTTTAATAATAATAAAAAAAATATGCCCAGAATCAGGAAATTAGATACCCCTGAGAAATTATAATCAGGTTTGGGTTATGAATATTGAAGGGATAGTATAAATTTAAAATGAATGTTATTGCATTTTAATAAATATATCATATCATTTAAGCTATAAAAATGTTAAAATTTGATAATTTTTAAAAAAATATCTCTAGTCCAATAAAAAAAAATCATCCCTAATTTTGTGACCATCAAAAAAAAGGTAAAATATTTACTCAAAGCTTGAGATCTCAGAGGATTCACTTATTCTTGTTAATCCCAACCATTTTCCCCTAATCTCTAGGACTGTACCGATTAGCGTTTTTTAAAATATCGGATAGGGCTGTTACCTTTAAATACCAATCCGATCTATTCACGGTTTTTTTTATCATTTTATGATTGTATATTTTATAATGTTTATTTTACATTATTTTAATATTTCAATTTCAAAACATTTTTTATAATTCGGCCATTTTATTATTTATACTTTAAGAGAGGTTCTTTCATTTTATAGTATGAATTTTTTTTAAGATGGCATCTAGATATGGATTTTTTTTTAAAGTTAAAATAATTTTCAGGAGATATAGATATGGTCTATATCGTAGAATTGTATTGCCCAAAAATCCAGAAGCCCTTATTATTATCTTAAAAAAATTAAAATCGTATGGGGATTCGGAAGCCGTGGGAATTCAGAATCCGTGGGTCGGAATCTTTCAATTTTAAATCATTTGCTAAGGGCGATTTTTGGATTTTAAAAATTTGATTCTACAGGAATTGTATTTCAGCATGTACAGAGTACCCAAACTGTAAATTTCAAACAATATTGTCATGAACTTTAGAACTACTTCTAATTTATATTAATTTATATATTTTTTATATAAATTAAAAAATACTAAAATGTCTATGGCTGAAATTTATAGGGTAAATACTCTACACATGCTAGAAAACATTTCCGGTTAAATCAGATTTGAAATTTTTTTAAATTGCCCTCGGTTAAGGATTAAAAATCAAGAGATTCCGAATCCCTACGGATTCCGAATCCCCAGTACATATATATATTGTTCTCAAAATAAAATGCACACATTATTACATAAATTTTTTTGATATTTATTATAATATAATTTTTATTTTAAATTTAAATTTTAGAAATAAAAATTAAATGATTCAATTTTTTACACAGAAAATATGAATTTTTTTTATTACATTTTGTTCAAAAAGTGGATGTAAATGTTGTTAAAAAGCCAGATTGGGTCGATTTTTAAAACCGACTCAATTAAGATTTTCGCCAAATTATATTATGTAGGCTCGTATATTTCGCTCATAGATGGCAGAAAGGTGTTAGACCTCTGCCAAAATCTCAGGCCTATATAATATTATTTTGATGACGAATATAGGATCGTTTAAAAATATGTGGATCGGCACAGCCTTATTTATTAATGTTTAATTAGAGATGTAAAAAAAGGAAGAAAATATTAAAAAAGCAACATGTAAAAAAAATGGGGGAAAGCTGTGATTAAAAACTATAATACCTTTAACAAAATTTTGAAAAAACTCGATATATTTTTTTTTAAATTATAATTCGATTTTTAAAAAGTTAATTTTTTTTTAAATTAACCCAAATTTAACAAAATATGAGCGAGTTATAAATGATTATAATATTGAAACATAAAAATGATTTTTCTTCTTTTTTGAAAACTTACTAATTTTTATTATCTTTTGAAATTGAGATTGCCTTCATATTTGACATTTTATCATATTTTTTTTGATGAATTTTTCTACTATCCTTGACATTTTGCAAAAAAAATATACATTTATTAACGGTCGAGAGATTTAAATCTTATCTTAGAGTTGCACGTTTGGAAAAAAAAAATTAAGCTTTTTGCCGGTTTAATTTTTTTTCAAAGATCTGAATCTGATAAAAAAATATACTAGACTGAAAAAAAAGGTATATAGTGGTCCGGTCTGAATAAAATTTTATATTAAGGTCCGGTTAGATCGAGTTCAAATTCGCTATTCTGATATCCGATTTTGGTAGATTCTGAAATGATTCTATCTATTAAGGTCGGTGCGGCGAGGCCTAACCCTGCCCATCATAATTTTTACCCGGCTCAATTCGGCCCGTAAAATGATTTTAAACAATGTGACCAGACCGCTCTGTTATTATTTTTTACGAAGGATTTAAAAACATTTTCAAATTTGACCAGTTTATTCTGATCTGGGCAGTAAATCATTTTTAGCGACTGCGGTCTAGGTTTCAGGCCGCGCTGATCTTTAATATCTATATATTTTTTTATGCAAAAAAAATTTTTTCCCTTTCCAAAATTTTTATTTTCTGATTTTAAAAAAAATCGTTATAAATTTTTTTTTAAAATTGCGTTTCGATTGACCATTTTATATAATAATTAAGTAGAAATAGTTATTATTGGAAAAGACCACTGTAAAAAAAATCGAAATTTCTATTAATAAATTTAAATATAACCAAATCCATATTTTTTTATATCTAAAAAAAATTATTATTAACATATTGTATATTATATTTTGAATCTAATAAATTATATATATATTTAAATTACCAAGGTTTTCTCGCATAAAATAATATTTTAAGTTAAATAACAACAAAGTGCATAATAATAATAATAATAATAATTACTATTATACCTTTTTAAGAATAATTTTGAATATTTAAAAATTATTAAAAATTAAAATCTTTGTCGTTCAAAATTTATCTAAAATTTTACTAAAATGGTTCTCTGGGGTAAAGTGATTATCATATGATATCAAATTGAATCTAATATTATATATAACACCCAACCCTCGTGTATCTCTTTCAATTGTTCACCTTTTTCCACATTTTATTACCCATAAAAAATTAAAATACTAAATTTAATTTTTACTTTATTCCAAGCAGCGTAAGGCTTGTTAAGCGATATGTTTGCACTTGGGAAAGATAACAATTTGCCATTCAGTCCATATCTTTTTAAAAAAAATCCACATATTTATAAGATACTTTTTATGCTAATCATTATTTGATTATTGAAACAAACTGGTTGCATTTATTGTTGTTTAAACAGCTCAATTAAGATATTTAAAACTCAAGATTTTGGCAAAAATATAAATTCCTCGTGAAGATTTTCTGGTAATAATATTTTGGCTAAAATCTTGAATTATACATTTTTAAATCTGCTAAATTAAACTATTTAACAATACTAGTTATATTTTGGTCAAAATAAAATTTTCAAACCCCCTAAGTTTTTATTTTAAATTTTGTCCGCAATTCCACCTTTGATTATCATAATAAGAAATCTACCAGGCCATCTAAGCCTGGCTTAAGTCATTTCAGGATAAAATTTAAACAGTTTTTATTAACTCAAGCTGAGTGGATCTAAATTTAATATAAAATTGAATAGATTTATTAAGGTAAATTAAAAAATATTTAAAGTTTAAATTTATCTCTTTAATGTGAAGTTAGAACAGTTTAATAACCAATAGAATATTTAATTTAAATAGACTGTTTTTTAAATAGGGAAAATTATGTCTAATAATATTTTTATATTGATTTTTAATAAGTTACGTGTGTATATACTATAAAATTAGATATAACATATTATATACTTTGAAGATTGTTAATTTAGTATTTCCTGAATAAGTTAATTTTTATCTTTATACAAACTTTTTTGGCTTACATATTACTACAATATAAATACAAGTTAAGCACTTTAGTGAACATTTTCAATTGGGCAATAATTAACATAGATTTGGGCCAAAAAAAAGTCATAGCCAAAATTAGGCATTTTTAAAAAAAGGATTGTTTAAAAATTATTATCATATTTTTTCTAAAGAAAAAAGATTATTACTAATAAAAAAAATTCAGCCTCCTGGGAGGATTGAACTCCCGACCCCTGGTTTACAAGACCAGTGCTCTGCCACTGAGCTAAAGAGGCGTTGTTCAAACGGCCAACTTTTTAAATATTTATTTTCCAAACTGAATATGTTAGATTACAATTTTTTGTGAAATTTATAGAAGAAAGATTTTATATCATATTATAATTATACTTAAATTTCCAGAATATTGGATAAGAAAATCCATTATTAGGCATGTAGAAAAAATAAAACATCCAATATATCCATATAGAGGTCCATAATATTAGTGATATAATAGAAACCACTATGCAAGAATATGTAAATATATGTTTTATTACATATAAACTTTGATTTATCATGTAATTGATGGATGATGACATATTTTAATTACATAGGAATGGTGTGAATGTGTCCTTATAAGCTTAGAGGCTATATTTATTTATGTGTACTCGTTTGAACATATCGCCATAGCTTTAAATAATTATTTTAATTATGTAAAATATTTTCAATTATATATCATATGTTTATAATTTTAATCCACTTAAAAGTATGGTTCGGATTAATATGCCAATTTGCAGCATTATTATTTGACAACTCCTGTCATTTGATTTATATAGACAAAAATATATGTGAAGGAATAACCACAAAATTAAATTGGGATTTTTCTCAAAGCCATGCGAAATGTATATTAGATGCCGTTATAAAAGGAGAGTCGATTTTTATGTCCTTCATTTTTGGTATATCTATCTAGCGTATAATCTTCATTTCATAAGATTAATTAAGATAAAAGATCAAATGAAAAAATAATATCCTATTAACGCCCATATAAATGTAGTTGGGGAGGGGGGGGGGCAGGATTCTTACAAATTTTGCCTGTTCTTGTAATTATTATTTTAAGCTAAAAAGATCCACCCCTTCCCCCTTTTCCACTCTCTCTTACAAAACAATATAACGTCACAAATAAACCTTAGGATGCCATCTTTCCTTGAAAAGAACTGGCTAAGTGTATGCATGTTCATAATACTGTTACGATGGAGAACGTCGCAAAATAAGCGATATAAAATTATAAACGTGTGTATTTTTGTATGTACAATAACAATCTTTATATCTGTTGATTTGTTTGCAAGCTATTAATTTCTGCTCTAGTTGATATGGTGATGAATCTATTTATATGAATTATATTATATGAATATATGAATAATATCATAATATGTAAATAAATTGCTTATCAATAGATAAGAATAAAAAGGTTATACCAATAGAAACAACAAAAAATATCTACTATCATACCATAAATACTTTCCTATGATTTAGAAGAGATTTTTTGTAATCAATTAAATAGAATTCAAGAATAACATATGTTAGACATATTTTTTAAAATTTTACTAAATTAAATATATTCGATATTTATAATAATTTAAAAATATTTATAATATATATATGTAAGAATTGAATAGAATCTTCCATTAAGTAATAATATCATGATGTATATATTTTATTTATTTATAAATTACATTTTTATTTTATATTCACTCTTTTACCAAAAACAATTTTTCTTTATATATCGTTTTTTTTAACAATAAAAAAAAATAACTAATTGTGTGAAATACAAATTGATATTAAAAAAAATGTAACTTTAAAATGATATAAAAAAAATGTTAATATAAAATTTTGACCGAAAGGTATAATCACTATTATTTTCCACCCTCCAAAGAAATTCTTACGATTTCCTTGAATAAGTTGAGTGGAACGCCATTAACACTCATGATTGCCACGCAATAAGCCACCCATGTTCATGATGCAGTCTTATTTTCAAACCGAACGATGGCTTGATAAAGTAAAGGCAACCTTTAGCTAACTTTGCGATCAGATCATTTGTGCATGGCATCGGGTATATAGATTCCTCTCGAGCAAGGTTCATGTTGTCCTTCAGCCAACCATCCAATTCACGAGTCATTGCATCAATGCTGACATATGGAACTCTCCTCAGATATATGATCTTAGGCACCGCATCGAGATTCATGTAAACTTTCTCTTGTCTGATCATGTTGGGTTTGTAGAAGTAAGTTGATTCAAGATCTTTTTTTGTTGTCAAGATTATCTTCTCGAGATCATTCTCTACGTTACCCATTAAGAACGTTTTTAATATGTTGTTGAAGGCGTGGAGCCACATAAACCCTAGCAGGGAGATCTTATCACAATCCACCACTATGGCCTCCAGTGTTTGTGAATTACCTTCATACTTAACGTTCACATTGGCAAGACCTAATATCTTGATGGCGCTGCCATCATAACCAGTGAGTTTCATATCCGTCTTACGTATCGTGGTTATGCCTACAATCTTAGCTGTCAGCTTCGAAAGTATAGTGTACCTCGTACCGGTGTCAACTTGCATCAACGTGGGTACGTTGTTGATGCTCACCGTTACGTTGTACGCGTCATATCTGGTATCGTTGACCCCCAGATTGCACACTTCCAAATTCTGCAGACTATATTCTTTAAGATCTGTGTTTAGGCTATCGTCATCATCGATTACTTCGTTGTTTATAGCATGGTTCGTATTCAATTGACAATCACGATCTTTTATAATCATAAGATCTGTTGTATTATTGTCATTTTTGTACTGGTTGGGCCTCGACGAATATTTCAGAAAACCATTAATATTTTGAGGGTTGTATCTGTGCTGACCACGACGGGAATAGTTGGTTTGGTTATCACCTCTATAAGATTTATATTGCCGATCAGGTTTTTGATGATGGTCATGATGATACTCGTGTGATTGCCATGGACGTTGTACCCACTATTGTAGTATCGATTGTCGTAGTAGTTATCATTGCGATTATCGAAAGCGATTATAATGATAATTATCGTAGCTTTGATCAAAACGATTGTCGTGGATGTTTCTGTGCCGTCCATCGAATCGTTTGTCGCGGCAATAGTCACAGCGTACATAATAACGTTCATCAAAGTGCTGTTCGAGACGATTGTCATTAATGAACTGGGGTTGCTTAAGAGATTTACCATGTGCGTGAGAGTCCTGAATGGGTTTTGTTATTACGTAACTATTTTTGACTCTGCCCATGTGAATCCAAATGAAACAATTTCATCACGCCCTTGATATCACTTGGCTCAGTAGTGTCTTCCTCTAAACCTAGATTGTAAATATCTTCCATAGTCATAGAGCTCCTGACCGCTTTCCTGACATCTTTGGACTTCAAAGCAACTCTCACTTTCTCAATAATGCGCTGAATGCCATTGAATTTGCATTCTTTATTGAGTCGTGCTACGCGTGTGACCCAGGCCGAGAACGTCTCCTCCTTGCCTTGAGTGGCAGCATAAAATAATGACAGTTTGACGTTCTCAGTCTTTGATGGATGTTGTAGCTTGAATTTTCCAAGCAGAGCGTTTGGGTCCTGGAAGTCTGCTTCTGGCAAATTGCTTCATTGTTATTGAATTCGTCATCTGGAAGACTTCGGAGAAACAACGCGGCCTTTTCTCCGTTGGAAATCTTCTTGGTGTCGAAGAAATTCTGAAATTTCCTTATGTAGGCACTGTCATTGCTACTGAATTTAGGGAAATCCAGCTTGACGAATTCAGTAATATATGTTGAATTGTTCAAAGCATCCATCGCGAAGTTCGGACGTTATTTGGCCTCTATGTAAGAATTGATTAGAATATTCCATTAAATTATAATATAATAATGTATATATTTTTTAATTTTATATAAATTACAATTTTATTATTTATTCATCCTTTCACTAAAAACAATTTTTCTCTATATATCTTTTTTTTAACAATAAGAAAAATAACTAATTGTGTGAAATACAAATCGATATTTAAAAAAATATAACGTTAAAATGATATTAAAAAAATGTTAATATAAAATTTTCACCGATTAAATTTAAATACAAAGTGAATAAAAAAATGTCACATTAAAATTATATATAAAAAAATGTTAATATAAAATTTTGACCGAAAGGTATAATCACTATTATTTAACAATATATTACCCCTCTTCCTTCTACTGCTCCTGTTGAGCACTTCTTTAATATTGCTAAACAGGCTTTAGTGAATAGACGTGGTTGTTAATCAGAAAATTTTTAAAAATTTGCAATTATTACAAATAAAAGATGATAATTCATTTCATTTTAAGGCACAATTTTCTTTGAATTAAATATATTGATTTAAAAGAATGTGGTTTATTTTGTGAACTTTATATTATATAAAATTAGAAGAACGGCAGCATTCCATTTTTGTTCTGAAGCAGTGCTTCAGCTAGCTTTTTTTTAAATGGTAAGAGCGGGAGCTAGATCTTTTTAAGTGTTAAAATGATTTTTGATTTAATATAATTCATTTTACGTTTTTTTATATACTAAATACTAATTAAATTTTAATTAAGTCCAAGTATTATTTCCTTTTATTTAATTTCAAAAACAAGCAAGTCTCACTCAATGGATGAAGGCAACGCGGTAAATTTTTAATTATATTTTACATTTATATTAATTTTAAAATAATTTAGATGATAAATATATTAGTAATGTTGAAGAAACATCTGGGATTTTATGTATTGAATTTTTTTGCCCAATTTATAAACCTATTTTAAAAATTTCTCAAAATAAAGCCAATAAATCTATGATAATAAAATGTGTGCCATATATTCCAAAAAAATACCTATATTTTATTTAGCATTTTATCAGCATGCAACATTTTAAACATTTATAGGGGAAAGTACGCTCGGAAATAATAAATTCTTATTCTTAATTTATTAATGCCTAACTGGCACCGGGGTGGGAGGAATAATTTTAATTTTAACTTTGGATTACATATAAATTCAATTCATTAAATTTTTTTTAAGTTATATTAATATAATAATGTCACTAAGAAAAATATTTTATTATATATAAAAATTAAATTACTAAAATGGAATATAGAAAAGAAAAAATATATATAATGCGAGAAAAAAAATGATGCATAGTCAAAATAATTATAATTTATTTTTTTTTATTCCATAGACCTTTTTTTAAAAATTTAAATATCAATTTATTTTATTTTCGAAGCATCCAAAGGAAAGGATAATAATTTGTTGAATTAATTTTTTTTTCTATTGTCATCATAAGGTATAATCATGCAAGATATTATATAGTCCTTTAGGATTTTGGGTCCGAATTGAAGTTCAGAAATTTAAAATTGATTGGGAATTTTCATAGACCAAACAGAGACTGATTTATGGATAATTCATTAAATCCGAAGTACTATGCACCGCAGACTTCTTTTAAAAAATAGGTTTTCGATTAAGTTAATCTTGCTAAAATTTCCGTTTTATTGGCTTAAATTTCCTGAACCCGAATTCGGGTCCAAAACCTTAATTTGCCAATCTAGTAGATTTTTTCTCTTAATATTGTATAAAATTTAGAAATAAAATGTCAAGATCTATACCTGGCCATTTAGAGTCATGCGATGCTCAAAAAAATTTTTTACGAACAAATATATGAGTAACTATATTTATATTTACCCCCACCCCCAGCATATACACCCTATAAAGATAAGGTGTATATGATACCATTTTGGTCAAGAAAAAACAACTTAAAATATATTGGTCTGAACCCCTGATCTGTGCTCGAGTTCGTGCTTATAGGTAATTTAGTTGATTAGATATAAGCCCCGGATCTAGGTTTTACACAACCAACCGAATTACAACACTTGTTTTATAAAATTTAAGTTAACCTAAGTTCTCGATTCAAGTTTAGAACTCGAGTCTTAAGAATGAGTCAACTAATCGGCTCAAAACTTGACTTGCGTTTTAAGTTGAGTTATTGCAACTTAGACTAGAAGTTTAAGGTCTGCATTGGGCGGGTTTTCGGCCCGCCCACGCCCACCAATCTAAGTGGGAGGGCAGATGGACGAGTGAAAAATTTTCCAAAAATGGGCAGGCAGGCGGGCTGGTTAAAAAAATTTTAAAACTATGGGAGGGCGTATGGGTGGGCTGGCGGGAGGGGCGGATTAAGAAATTTAAACAATGAGTGGCATGTTAAAGAAATTTAAAACGTTTGTTCAAGAACAAACTAAAAAAATAATTGTTTAAATGATTTATAACAATATTCCTTTTTTATTGTACCAATCGTTTTTTTTTTAAAAGAAGAACACTTACCTTTTTACCTAACTATATTATGTCACACAATAATAGAACTTTTTTCTTAGAATAAATAAACTTTTTTATCTATTAAAAATTAAAATTTTCTTTTATGGGAATGTAATAAAACTTTTTTCTTAAAATTTCCTTTTTTGGGTCTGCAATCTGCATTGTATTATTTTATTTTAGTAATAATTGATTATCTTTATAATTGTCCTTTTCATTTTTATTTTATAATGTATGAATTTTATTTTTTATAACATAATTTTTAATAAAAACATATTTTAATTTAATTTTTATATTATATTATGAATAAAGAAAATATATCTAAATAATATAAAATATTTTACAAGTTAAAAGATAATGAATCAGACAATAAACTCAAATCTTCAATGTGGAAACAATTTAAAATCATTTTCGATGAAAATGACAAAAAGTTTTATTGGATTCGCTGCATGCAATAATTATCTATAAATATAATAACATAAGTTGAACATCCTTCTTCCTGATATGTTCGCGGCCACGACCGCGGGCTGTTCTACCGGGGGATAGGGAGAGGGATCGGCAGAATTGGAGGGACCGGGATTTTCTGGTAGGTTGACGTTGAGATTTAACTTAGTCATCATCGGGTAATTTTAGTAATTTAATTTATTGTTAAAATATCACAATTTACCAAAGAATAAAACTGTAAGAATTTTATTTAACACAAAAAATATTCAGTAAAATAATTTAAAAAAAAGAATTCCCCAAATAAAGGTATTTTTGCAACCTTTTATAATTTATCAAACAAAGAAAAAAAAATAACAAGTTGTTATATAATATCGCGATACAATCATTCTTGAAACTGGTCAGACCCAGTTTCAAATACAATATAAAAATAAGGTCTAATATCAATATAAAAAAAAAGGACGATGGGAAAAACAAAAGAAACAAGTGGAGAAAAACTTAAAGAAATAAGTTATACGGGACAAGAGGGGGGAGAGGTAGAACATAACAGATTCGCTGCATGCAATAATTATCTATAAATATAATAACATAAGTTGAACATCCTTCTTCCTTCGGCATCAATGTTTATCTACAAATTATGAAAATTTGATAGATAATAAAAAAAATAACTGGAAATTTTTAAAAAAAAACTCAATTAAACAAATCAATAAAATCGGGTCTAATCGCCTTAGAATATTGCGCTAGAGATATTTTTAATTTTTTTTAAATTATTCTTTTAACTTTTTAGGTCATTTCATGCCATTCAAGGACCAGGATTTATAAATATTTTACAAAGATTTGTCGACAGCCACATATGGAAAATTGGAAGCCAAAAAAATAATTTCCGAGGCACATAGATAGAGTTACAGAGGATCTTAAGGAAATATTATTTCCTAAAATTAGAGAAATGATAAAAAAATTTATTTGCTCATGTACTACTGATATGTGGTGCGAGGATTTTACAAAAACTGATTATATATCTTTATCATTTAATTATATACAAAATTGGAAATTAGAAAAAAAAATTATTTTTATTTCACAATTTCTAGAGAAAAAAAGACGGAATAAAAAAATATTCTTAAAGAATTATTTAAAAAAATTTAAAACTTGATGTTCCCCGAGAATATTTTTCTAAGCTCATCTTTGCTACCGACCTAGTAACAAATATTAAAAAAACGCTGGAAGGGTAAATTTTTTCCAAATTTTATAAAATTTATCTAATTGGTAGTTACTTTAATAATTTATGAGAGATTCTGTTTTGTATATACCTAAATAAAAACTTTCATATTTAGAAAACTATATTTTCCTTTAATTTTTTCAGATATTAGACTAAATAGACTAAACTGTTTAACACATATGTTGGACACAATTCTTCGCAATGCATTCCAGTCAATTTTTATTTTGGAAAATGGTCCTGAGATCAATAACATTTTGATCACTGCAAAATCGTTAGCCACTTATCAAACAAAGTGGCAACATAAAATATTCAAAATATTGAAATAAGATGGGATACAAAGCATTAGATTCTACAAAGCATTTTTATAATGTATGATGAGATTTTTTTGTTCCTACAATCTCGTGATATGAGTGAAAAAAATTGATGGGAAAGGAAGGTTTAAAAACACTGATAGATTTTGGAGCCATATAAAGATACAACTAATGTTCTTGAGATCTGCTGGCCTAACTACAGAACGTTCCTATATGGTATGAAAATTAATATTTTGGGATTTATGTATATTATTTCTTAAAAAAAGGTATAATCTTCTTTTACATGAGCAATCAAATAAATATGGGTATAATGGGAAACACAAATTGTCGAAAGGATTTAATAAGAAAAGAGCTAAAAATATTATAATTGAAAATTTTGAAATCTATATGCTTCATAAAATTTCAACATTTTTAATACAAAAGTTCCCACAAATGAGGATTTTGACATTGGAGGAAATTAATGAAATAAAAAGACATATTGAAAACATGTTGCATTATATAACAACGTGGATAAAAATTTGATTTTACCCTTTTCCCCAAAAGCAAAGAGAATCCAATTAAAGGGTATTAATAAATTATAAAATCGCTAGGCTATATTAATTGCAATGTTTGAAATAGATAGCATCCGCATCAAAATTAAACCCAAAGATGGGAGGATGAGGGTGTTACAGAGGAGAGTATTGTAACTTGACATAACAAAATATTTAACTTAGAGTAACCAGTTTTGATATGGATAATTTAGCAATTTTAATATGCATATTATAATTAATTTAAATTACTTTATTTAATTTATTATTCTTGGTTTCACTTTTATTTAAAGGGTGAAAACGACAAGAAAGAGATTAGCCAAAGCTATCAAGATTAGCAAGAAAAATATTGGCAATTCCTGCAACTAGTGCTTCTTCTGAACTAGGATTTAGCATTGCTGGAAGGTTTTTAGAACAAAGAAGAACGTGTTTGAATCCAAAAAATGTCGATTTATTATTATTTTTGCATTATAATTACATTATCAATTTTATATTTATATTTTTTTCATAAATATTTTATTTGATCAAATAAATTGTCCATAATTTAAATTGATTATTTTTTTATGCTTATATTAATTTCCTAAATTATAAATATTTTGTAGAGGTGTAATGCTGAAATATTTTTATAAGATGCTTAAAAAAATGAAAGAATGGCCATAATTAAATATTATAAGTGGCTTAGACTAAAAAATTTTTATAAATAATGGGCGGGCGGGTAAAAATTTTTAGACTAATAGGCCGGCGGGCGAGCGGGTAAGGAATTTTAGACCATTTGTTATTTGGATATAAGATAGATCTAACCTTAAGCTTGATAAAATGTCAAAATATTTTTATTTCTTAAACCTAGATTAAAGATGATTAGGATAATTATAATTTGTGCCGGCGGATGTAGGTGGGTTAAATTTTTTTTAACCAAAAACCCACCCAATGCAGATCTCTACACGGAGTCGGTGTCAGGAGAATTCGTTTATAGTATCTGTCTACTAGTGTAGTTAAACGGATCGTTTTGAGCCAATTTTTAAAAACGGCTAACTCAATATTTAATCCAGAATAATAATACGCAAGCCTGAAGATTTTGCTTGTAGAAGGAACAAAGGTTTGGACATCTATCAGCTAAATCTCGTGACTTAGGCAATATTTTTCTGGCTAAAATATTGAGTTAGCCATTTTTAAAAATCAGCTCAAAACGAGTTTAACATGCTACTGTCTACATCTAGAATCTATTAATCAAAATTTCATATTTTAAAAATATACTGATATTTTGATTTTGCGTACTACTTTTTTCAATAGTGGAAGCCTTAACGCGTAATATTTTATTAAATAAAATGCTTAAATTAAAAAAAAATTAATATAGAAACGAGTTTATCTTATTGAGATGAGATAAATGTTATTTAAAATTTTAAAAAAACTGGAAAAATAGTTAAATATCAAAAAAAATAGGGGATGCGTATTTTAATCATCTAAAAAGTGTTTTTTTAATATATTACCAATTTCCCAATTTTTTAAAATTGAAAATAACATTTTCTATATCATCTTAATAAATAAGCACGATTCTATATTTATTTTTTATTTAAGTTCTTTTAATAATTTTTGATAATTAAATTTTTTTAAAAAAATATTAATCTACCATTTTCTAAATTTCCTCAAAGAGCTAAACATTATTTCATATTAAATAGAGCATAATTATTGAGGATAAAAAATTTCCAAATCTATATTTGATTGTTAGGGGGCTCAAGCCCTTGTGACTGCCTCCTAGTGACCCGTTGTGTATTATAGTATTTAATCCTTAAATACTGTAAAAAAATGACTAAAATGTTTTATAAGGGTCTAATATACCACAATATAATTGAATATATTTCCATTTATATTCAATATTTTGCTTTAAAATATAATTTAAGATAGAACTAATCTTACTTTCTTTAGATAGAAACATGTAGTCAAAACCTATTTTTTATATACTAGAAAAAACCATTTTAGTTTTTTTTTGCTCTCTAACCTTTTTTAAATATTAAACATTGGTATATAAATTAAATAAACTTAAATAATTATTTCTGATTGCATAAGATATTTTTTACAGTTCTAAAAATAATTATTATTATCAAGGAGATAAATATAATTTATCTTTATAAATTCTATTCCCACTGAAAGGGGGCAGGGCAAGTATTATATTCAAGTGAACAAAATCTACTTTTTTATTAATAAATGCTATTTACCCACTCGCAAATATTATCATCAAGGATTCAAATATACTTTTTTCTTTATATACACATCTAGATGGTAACTATTATACTATTAACAATGGGGTAGATATCCTCTAAGTTTTTAATGGTTAATTAATAATTCTAGATTGGAATGAATCCGTCAACTCCAATTCATTTTATGTCATTGCACCAGTCTTTATAAAATACTAAATTCTTATGCATAATTTGCGCACCGAATTGAAACCAAATATAATCGTTTTTGATTTAGGTTGCTTTTATTCATATTAAATCATAGATTTTATTAGAGATTGTAATGTTTTGTTATAGATGACACATTATGGCCTTTTCACGTTGATTGGACTGTTCAAGGCCCTTTTCACAAAAAGTAACATTTAAAATTAAACATTCACACTTTATTTTTAAAATATACAATATTTTACATATTAGCACTGAAATTAATGATAATTAATCTAAAAAATTTTATAGAAAGAATTATATTGTTTAATTTAAGCTTGATTCAAATACTCTTTAATGTTCACTTTTACTTTGTTTTTGAAAAATTTATATTTACATACACGATCTGGATTTCATAAATATTGTTAAAATAATATACTCATGAGATAATGGCTATGTTTCCCTTGGATCCCAATCTATATATGTTATGTCTTATAATCAAATTAATTGTATAATTTATTAATTAATTAGCAGCCTTTATAAAACTCTAATTTAGATTGGTATTTTGAGATTTTATTGTTATTTTGAAATTTTATGATAGGTTTTATCAAGAGAGTCAAAAATGTTCTTAAAACTGACACATTATTATAAAGTCACAATATGATATAAAATATATATATATGAATAAAATTGATGATGGATATTAGTAAATATTATTTATTCTTATATAATAAAACTTTAAAATATTTTATGTTTAAATTATTTTAAACAATAACCTTATGTATAAAAAAAATTAAATACTAAAAAATGATGTAATAATGCTATTAAATCAACCCTTTGATGCCAATGATTAAAAAAAAAATTTCCATAAATTATTTATTTATACACTGTAGAGATGCCCAAATTTTTTTTGAACTTTTATAAAAAAAAATTTCTATAAATTATTCATTTATACACTCCATAGAAGCCCAAAAATATTTTCAACTTATTTTTAATTATACAGGTAAAAAATGATGATGCAATTTGACATCATCATGCATAGTGTAATACAAATATCTATTTATTATGAAAATCTTGAAAACACTTTATATTGGTTATAAAATAAATATTATATTACATTTGGTCTGGAATACGCATTTATGCATAACTTGCATTTTTGCTTTGTTTACGCAGCCATAGGCATATTTTGAATTTTGCTATGGGGAGGCACTATTAGGTGGGTTGCTATATAAGATTTTTATAAAAGAAGAAAGCAATTAAAAATATAGTTGATTAATTCCATTAGTTAATTGGGAAAATCTTTTTTTGCTTTCTTCAACCAGATGAAAATTTGATTTAGCCATTTTTAGCTGGCTAAAAATGAGTGTCCAACCAGTTTTCATAGACTTTGGTATTTACATTATGCTATCCCTACATCTAAAAATAATTGAGAACAAATATAAATAGTGTAGATTATTAATATTATTATTTGCGGTTATGATCAACCACAACTTAGTTGTTTGCACAATAGGAATAGTGCATTATCGTGAAAACTGTGAATAATTTTATTATGCCTTTGTAATTAATTTTGTCAGTTTATATATCTTTTACAAATCATTAATCGTAATATACAATTAAAAAAATATATTTCAATAACAATTAATCCTTTTACCAATTGTGTTTATTTTCAAGGTTAATTGATTATATTACATCTATTCTTTCCTTTTTGACTATCGATTTGAAATGGTATAAATTGTTGTTACTTTCGTTCCTACTCTGGGTTGATCCGTACTACCGATTTCAATCTTTTCATTTATTATGGTGTCTTTGGTTATCGAGTCTTGTATAGGATCAATGTTTGTGGCTATCGAGTTTTTTATAGGATCAATGTCTTTGGCTATTGAGTTTTGTATAGGGTCAATATCATCCTTTTGGTATAGTTTGCATAGTTTTTCCTTCTCTTCCTTCCTATTTTTAAAATTGGAATCATCGAACCTATGTTTTAAATGATTAATATGTCTTCGATTGTAATTTTATAAAATGAATAACTAGATCTAAAAATAATAATATTTTTATAATTTAATTAGGAATGGCAAAGTTTACGATTCATGTGGAGAAGAATTGTTACCATATCCAGATGTTCCAGAAATTTTAGAAAATCTTTCAAAAGATGGATATACTTTAGCTGCGGCATCGAGGTTTAAATTTAGAAGATATTTATCACATACATTTTATTAATTTTTTATAGAATTTTATTTCTTAAAGTAGTACGTATTTCAAACTTACCAAGTTTTTTGCTTGAAACGAAGCACTTTGCAAGTTTGAAAATATTTTACTAGGCAAAATGCTATATATATTAATTTTTTTTATCTATATTGGAAAGAGTAATCATGATATTAACGTTGTTAAACGGCCCCAATATGGCAGAAGGTTTAGACCTCTATTTGCAAAATCTCGTAGCTATATTATTTTGGGTAAAATTTTAATCGGGAGGTTTTGCTGTTTAACAACATTACATGATATTTTAAAAAAATAACAAACAATTTAAATTTATATTTTTTTTATGCATTAAAGGACTACAATACCAGCATATGCCGAACAAATGCTTAAATTATATGATTGGAATAAATATTTCAAATACAAAGAGATATACCCTTCCTGTAAGGTCAAACATTTTGAAAAGTAAAATTTTTTAGTTTTTTTTCATTAAAAAAAATTGATTAATTCCTTTTGAATTTTAGACTTTGTTTTCACAGTCAATCAAAAAAGCTCGAATACACGATTTATTTTCGCGCAAAATTTTCTTTTTTTTGCCTAATAATATGTGTTTTTAATTTAAGCACATTTTATTTTTTTAAGATTTTTTAAAAATATTAAGAAACTAATAGGAAAATTATTATAATAGATTTGGAAAGGGATACTAATAAAATTTTAAAATATTCTAATTTACCATCTTCAATACACAGAAGTAGAATTAATGTTAGTAATTTTGGTAAAGAAATTAGAACAAAATATATGAATTATTTTATTAATGTTGATGTTATATAATATTTGCACCAATGTTATAATATATTTATCTGATAATTATGGATATGAAAAAATTTACAAAACATTTAGATTTTCTATAATCAAAATATAATTATAATAAAACATAAGGATTTTCAATAATCATAATCCATAAATTTTTTAAGAGAAATCTTGTTAAAAACCTTTAATAAAATTAGTCATTTCGTCCTCCTCTTCTAGTATATTTATTTTAATTATTTTCAATTTCTCCTGTTAATTCTAAAAAAAATTCATGTTTCATTTTTTTCCCTTTATTAGGAATTTGAATAGTGAGATTTTAAAATAAAATATTATTTTATTAAATGTAATTTATTACAATCTCTATGTCATTGCTTCACTTAAACCATTGATAATGACTAGAATTAGATGGCAATAAATTCTGAATTAATTAAAATGACAAATTTATATTATGCAATTAATAACCTCCTCTTCAAAGGAAGCATTCTCAAGACTTAAATCTAGTTTAGATTTACATAATGGAGTAATCATCATTGTTTCAAGGAAAAAAAGTGATTTAGAATTCACTTTCTTTTAAATCCAGAGAATGGAGCTCTTTTTTTCCCCTCACATATATCTTTTAAGCATTTTTATATTTTAATTTAGCCTTCTAATACTAATAATTTAAATAATCCGTATCTAATTGTCATAACCTAAGTTGACATATTATGCTTTATAGCTATTTCTTGAAACTCTTTTTCCCTTCCAAATTTATTTTTATGCTTATCACTACTTTATAAACTTGAGTGTTATATCTTCAATATCAAATTTATCTAAAATTAAATATATTAGGAATAAAAGAATAAATAGTAAGCTTAAAAATTTTATTAAAATGTTATATAGTAATTTACCCATCATATAATTTTTTAAAACTCAAAATGCTGATTAAAATTACGAATTCGCAAAAATTCAATAAATGAATATGGAGAAAAGAAAATGTTTTTTTTTAAAATTCGCGTAAAAAAAATGCACGAATATTTGCTGACACTCACGTCTTGTTTATATTGTTTTCAAATTTTGCGAAAATTAAATGGGCGAATATGTGAATTTTTAATTGCTAGAGAAGACATAGTATTATTGTCATTTAACGCTATTTTTGAGCCCTTATTACCAAAAATAAGAACCCGACCCTCGATATTTCGCTGAACCCAAACCCGAACCCGTTTTTTAAATTTAGGGTTCAAGCTTTTTTTCAAAAAAAATTTTTTTTTTTTTATTTTAGACCTTCATTTTATTTATTTTAAATATTATGTTAAAAATATAATTTACGATTTTCATTTATAAAAGATTTCCTATTTAAAATAATTGTTTTTTTTATTAAAAATAAATATTAATTTAAAAAAAAACATTTTTTGATCATTTTTTCGTGGAATCATTTTTGTTATATTTATGAGCCGGCCATTTTTCGTAAAAATTTTTAAATTTTAACCAGCAAAGCAGATTTTAATATTGTTGTTTGTGAATTATTAAATTGATAGTAAGACAAAGAGAAAATCACGAATATATTATAATTATGATGATAAATTATTTTTATGGCAATACTAAATAAAATAAATTTTAAAAAAATGATGTTTCTGTTATTTTTACTAATTTTAATATTATTTTTCTGGTCTCCCAACCCTGAACCCGAACCGGGTTCAGAGATTTTTCACTGAACCTAAACCCTAACCCATTTTTTTTAAGGGAGGGTTCTCCCTGCTTATTACCCTTTTAAAAAATCATTATATTTTCATAAAGCAAGAAATTTGATAGGTAGCTAAGTCAAATAATTGACGTTCTTTTCCTGATTTTTTTTTATTAATCGACGACTTTAACTATTAAATTTCAAGTATTATTTGTACATGCCGATTTTGAGTACCTCTCCCAGCATTTAGAGAGATCATGGTCCTTAAACATTATTTTTTTTTATTTATGTTTATAATGGTTATTAGATGCAGAGTTGTTTACCAATACAAAAATGTTGTATTATCTTAAAAAATATTTCTGTCCAGATATATTTTTAAGGGTAACTATCTATTTATAGATACATTTTTATACTTTTTTTGTATTGTGTATCGTCCAAGTTTATTTTCCCATCTTAAAACAAATTTTATTTTACACTAGTATTAATAATATTTTAATTATAAAATTGATAATGAAGACACAAAAATATTTTCTTGGTTTTGACCACTAGAATCTCTCAGTTTTCTACTAGGTTCTATCAATAATAAATTTCCCACGATTTATCTTGTCACTGGTTCTTAAATTTATTTATTTCTTTCTTACCCCTTTTTTTTATTGAATTATTTTTATTAGAATAAAATTAAATTAAAATATAATTTAAAAAAAAATAATATAATGAATATCTTCTTCCTTTTTTACGAGGTTTTTATAACTCCAAAAAATAATCTTGCCAAAAAATAATATTGGTAAAAAAAGATAATATTGATAATAAAAAATATTCTTAATGACTTTACAAAAAAGAATATTTATCACACATATCATAACCAATTTTTACACACTTGATTCGATTTGGCTCTAATTTCAGAAAATTTAAAGTAAAAAATCAAACTGACAAAACGATTGGTCGATGGATGAACTTTCAATTTCTAAATAATACTATTCGCAGAAAATAAAATCCAAATAGTACATATGTCAAAAATCCCAAGAGGATATTGAAAATATAAAATTTAAATTATCAAACTTGAAATGATAATTTTTAAAATGAGTGTCATTTTACTTTATTTAAAGATTATACTAGTATACGACATTTTCAGCACACCAGCTATGGCTGTGCTTAAATTTTAGTGATTAATACTTTGAGAATGTTTATTAATTGAAAGCTAATAATCATATAATTTTATATTTTATCTATAAATTTAATATCAAACTGAATAAAAAATGTTTAGTTTAATTCACAATTCAATAGATTTTCAATTTTGGCATTATGCACATCTTGCTTGATTATATTAATAAAAGTATCTTAAATATACCTGGAAATATTATATCTGTATATAGATGCATGTTAAAAGTATCTTATAACCTTTCTGGTTAGATTTAAAGCTATTAATTACCGTGTCATGGCATAGATTGTATAATGATAAGCAACTTTTAATATGTAATTATAGTTTTATTCGTTTTAAATGTTAATCTGGACATTTCCTTTATTTAACAACAATATAAAAATAAATAAGATTTGATTTCAGCCCAAATTTCATCTTGTTTTATTTTATATATTATACTTTATATTTTGCAAGAATAATGAAGCAATCTGGCATTTCCTACGAAAAAATGTTGTTTTTTGATGACGAATATCGCAATATCGAAGACATACAAAAATTAGGTTTTCATTAAATTCTAATATTTTATTATCATATACAATTAACTCTAAAATTGAAGTAGAGCCCCACTAGCAATAAATTTTGAAGTTTTTTTACATAGCTCTATCAATAAGAGTATACCTTTATAAATAGCTAATTTTTTTACTCAGAGAAAATAATTTGGAGGTAATATCCTAGGATTTACCTTCTTTAAGGTATATGGAAGGACATTTCTCATGCATTCCTCCTCCATAGATAATGATTATATTTTATCGTTTTTATTTAATAAAGAAATTTCAACAATTACTTTGTTTATTTCAAGGAATATTTCGATAGATTAAATTTCTGTAGTTAGATTAAATTTCTGTAGTTTTTATAATCAGGGTATCGGGAATGAACTATATATTTGGAAGGAGAACTGAACATTAGGTTCCGAAAAGAGATCTGCACGGGTAGCAATTGCATGACCTAACTCGAGTTTTATATTTTCGGATTCGACCCATATTTTTTTAAAAATTTTTAGGCCTAGTCCCTGTCTATGAAGATTTTTTATTGCCTAGGCTTAAAAAAGTCAACTTATTTTTGACGCCCAGATATTAATAATATTAAAAAAAAAATTCTAATAATTATTCATTTATACACTCCATAGATGCCCAAAATTTTTTTAAACTTTTATTTTTAAATATACAGGTAAAAAAAAGTTATGATGCAATTTGACATCGTCAGGCATAGTGTAATACAAATAAATTTAAATATCTATTTATTATTAAAATCGCGAAAACATTTTATATATTGGTTAAAACATAAATATATATTGCATTTGTTCTGGAATATGTATAACTTGCATCTTTTCGCATCTGGCCAATGACCTATATTGTCATATCTGATATCATATATATACTGTGTATATATAATTTATGTGTGAATTATTTATTTTAAAATATAATTGCATAATAATGGTTATAAAAGACTGTTTACTTGGATAAAAATGGAAGAAGTGTTAAGTCAGATTTAGTTCTAATTTAGCATTTTGAATATTGAATTATAAACCAGCAATCTATATTCCTTAAAAGTCATATGATGTGCAAGCAATCTGTATCAAAATAAACCTAGCATATAAATCGATTATATCTAAAATAGCACAACCATATTTACCCATTATAACCAATATTTCATATGACGAATTATTTATGCAATATTAGTTACTATAACATAACTTTTAATAAATATTCCAATACAGTATCTATATTACATACAAATAGATTTCATATGAACTAGTAAAAATAAATTGACCCATATGATTAAACATCTAAGCATATTTTCTTATACATTAGTAATCGATTTATATATATAAATTTATTGGTAAACATGATTTCTAAGAAATTCTTTGGTTATACATTCTTTATTATTATATTTAAAAATATCGGTTACATTATATGTATTTAACATTTTTCTATAATATAATGTTGATTCCCAAGACAAACTATAAATTACCTTAGTTTTATCAAACAATCATAATAAATTACACCTTATCTTATATTAGACCCATACGAAACAAAATATTCTATAAACTTTTTAAATATATTATTTTCCAAATTATCTAAAACACGTTATATAATTTGCTATCGCAACAGACAGCTACTGCTTGTGATAAACTACTAATACAGCATGTATTATTGAATATATATCTCAAATCCTAGCTCTAAAGGTCTATTGATTTGTGATAAAATTTCCATTATTCAACAAGTTAATCTAATCTTGGTCCCTTCAATTATGTAAAATTTCAGGGCACAGCACTCCATAATATGAAGCACGTTTTTTATCTATGGTTTATCTGGTAACTGTATTATACCACAAGAAATAGAGAGTTTACAAATTTTTAAATATAGCAATACAAAAATCGATGATGATGTTGCGATAGCAAATTATATAAAGTTTTTTGATAATTTAAAAAATAATAGATTTAAAGTTATAGAATATTTTATTTCGCATGGGACTAATATTAATTCATATATGATAAGGTGTAATTTATTATTTGCAGATAAGTCTTGTTAATTTTTTGACATTCTGTTTGGGATCAGATAGAGCATTAAATATTAACCTGAACTAGAATATGATTGCATTAATTTTAGATTCTGGCAGTGTCAAAACCTTTCTATTTTGCTTATACTCATGAGCGGTTCGTTCCGCTAGTATATAGATTAAAGTTTCTGGAGGATTTAACAGGTTCTGGTATATTATCCTTAAGTCTTTTTGCCAGCTTCAAAATTTTACCTTTGCTTATAATTCACTAAGCTTTGATTCCGCCGGTGTCTGGCTTGAAGAACAATTAAGACTAAATATTGGCATAAGTTTTGTTAATTGATCCTCAAGTCGATCTGTTAACTTCACGTACATTAATGATGGTACATCATTGGAGGCTTTTTCGGAATTTTTTTTCTACCGAGTATATATTTTCAAAAATAAATTTTAATATTTTGGAAATTAATATTTAAAGAAAAGCGGGGAAAAGTCTTGTTTAAAATATAATATTAGACGTCGGTCTTGAGAGGAATTGCTTTGTAGAATGAGTATTAGTAGTAGTAATTTAGCTCAATTTAAATATAATGAAATTTGTTTATTTTATCAATTAAGTTTAAAAATAAAATCTCATATTATCTAACAATAATTTTCTCACGAGTAAAAAATATATCTTTTTTTATAAAATGTAAATCAATTACGGTTATAAAGCATAGCTGCAAACTCATATTAACAATTTAAAAGTAATATAAATTGAGTAATAATAAATATAAAAGTTAATATAGTACATATTATGTAACAATATTAAAATAACCTTGTTTTCTTTTTGAAAACTAGAAATCTATATATGGAAATAAATAATTACATATTCTTAATCTCTAAAATATAGATTTCAATCTTATCTTCCAATGCCTGTGTATCACATGTTGGTTTTTTTATGACAATCTTGAGCAAACATGTCATTTTGGACTTATAAGTTTTTGGAATTCATTGCTGTTTTATTAATCCACAAATTTTATTGTTATATTAAAAAGACATGCTTTTTGGAGAGTTACAGTAATTTATACAAAGTAGCCTTACCCCCCCCCCATCTCTCATTAGTTATAGCCCTTCTTTCGATTTTATCAAAATAATTTTTATTTGATATATTTTTAGATTAAAATTTATTTTAATATTTAAAGGGGTTACTTGTATTTACATCAAGCAAGGTGGCCTAACTAAATCGGAATTATGCAAAGGTTTAAAAACACATGAAATCAAGCTGAAAACTCAAAAATAATTCATTATAATTAAATGATAATGTTTTATATTATAAAATTAGCCAATATCTTGTGATATTTATTGATAGTCAAATTTTTTTTATATACAATTAATATTTTGTTATAATATTTGTAAAATGAATCATAATATATAATTTTGTTCAAAATAAATATAAAAAAATATTTTTAATAAATTATTGGTCACAGTTTAAATGATAATTTTAATATTTTAAAGAACGCATTAATTTTTTTTACTATTTTTCTACTCAAGTAAATTAATCAATAATTTTTACTAATATTAATTGTAAGCTTTATTATATTAAATTTAACAAAGTATTTTATTCTATTTTTTAGAATTAATAGTTATCATTGAATTAGGCCCTGCTGGATTTAATTTTGAAATATTATCTACTTTTGCATGTAAAAATAAATATATATTATCATTTAAAAAAAATTGCTACATAAATACAAAATTAGTAACAAATTATTAAATGACCGTTCTAAAAAATCTAAGGATCAAATGTTTAAATCCACAATATATGAACAAGTTCATAGCCAATGCTATGAGGGTAAAATTAGACCCTCCAAATAAAAAGATTTTAATTTTTTAAATTAAGTATATAAATATAAGGAAAAGCACAAATATTTAAAAGACAAGTCAAAATTATTAAATGCAATATAACTTTAATTGAAGTTAAAAAAAATTCTTATCCTATTTAAAAGATTAGTTTATGCAGAAACCCCTTGAACATAGAGAAAATACTATATTTTTTAAAATATTAATAAAGAGTAATATCTATTTCAAAATTAATTTCCGTAGGTCATATTTCAATTCCAGCAGGGCTTTTTTATTTTTGTAAAATTAACTGTTAAATTTTACCTAATTAAACAATATTTAGCTTAAAATAACTATATTTATCAAGATAAAATTTAGAATTGACTGATTGATTTCCATTTTTGAAATGTAAGTGCAATTGTGGATTCCCGCAAAGGTATCATAAATCTACTACAATTATCAATGAAGAATCTGGTCTAGGGCGATCCACATATTTTTCACCAATCTGATATTTATATTGATTTTTCACCCCCCCCCCCCCTTCCCCCTTATTTGAACCAAATGTAATTAAGAAATTAATATTTTTTATGCAAAAAATCGAATTATGCAATTAATTTAATTTTTTTATTTCTAAAATAACTTAGAAAAGTTTACGAATATTGGTAGTATTAAATGAATTTTCCATTATTCCTCCCCGTGAAATTAGGATTCTGCAGATAATGCATTTTGCAAAATTATCTTTGTCTTTTGTAAAATATTTCCATAATCCAAATAACATATTTAAAAAAATCCTTTTATTTAAAGTATAAATAATAAAATTGGCATTATTTAAAATAAATAATTGGGTGTTCCTTTCTATTTTTATAAAAAAAACTTTTAAAATATTATAAATCTATTTAAAAAAATAATAAAATTTAAGAGATTTTGTACATTTGCATTGTTTCAAAAAAATTATTTAGAAAATATTATTAATGTAAATCATAAAATAACAAAAAAAGAAAAGTAAAAAGATTGGATTGGTTTTTTAGAGGTACCGACCCAATCCGATATTTTTGGAAAACTTGAGATATCGGTGCCATTCAATATTTAATATCGGCACAGCGCTAATTTGGTCCAATCACCCAAAGTGAATATATTACAATTATTGAAAACCTTGTCATTTAACAATTTTTTAATAATTATAATTGTATCTATTTTGCAATATATTGTATTATAATAATAAATTTTATAAAAAAGAATAATAAATGTTTGCTTAAAAAGAGTCTAAATTAATCCAGTTAATTGTAATGTATAAAATTATAAAAAGAATTAGGATATGATTTGTTAGTCTAAGTTTTGAGTTGTTTTATTAGATCATTCAGAATTCTTGTAGCTATCATTATCTTCATTTTAGTGTACACTATGCAATCTGAAAATAATTAATGGATATAAAAAGTATATAAGAATTAGATTGATAAATTTCAAAAAAGTCCAATACTAAGTTAAAGCAAGATCAAATAGAATGACTCAAATAAAAGTATAAAATATTTTAAATTTAATCAGTAAAAAAATACTTAGTTTGATTGATCAAAAGCAAAATTTACAGATTTATTTTCATTTTAGAATTACTATTTAAATAGGAAAATATTAATTAATATTAAAAAAATATAAGAATTAGATTGATAAATTCCAGAAGGGTCTAATTAGAAGTTAGTTCTAAGTTAATTCTATCAAGATCTACTAATTTAATTCTAGCTGGATCAAATACCATATTTAATCAAAAAATGAATAAAAAAATTGTAAAATTCTGGATTTTTATAAAAAAAAATTTCTGGCTAAGTCTGGATTTTTTTAAAATATATAATTATTTTAATTTTTATCTAATAAAGGCGATTTAAAGCCCTGCTTTGAGGTATTTAAAAAAAAGTTAAGCTTGACCATTGTACTCTGGCTGGGCCTGCAGGTCTCTGATTTAAATAAAAAATAAATCTGAAAATCTGGATAAAAAAAATTAATTTGAACAAATTATCATAAATTTCAATAAGGAGCAGGGTCTAATACCATATTTATCAAGATTTTCTAATTGATTTTCATTTCAGAAATATTAAAATATTTTAAAAAAGGAATAAAAATTTTTTTTAAATTTACTAGTAAAAAAAAATATTTCACTAAAAAGATATTTATTGAAAGTAGAATTTATAATTTAATTTAATAAAAGAATAATTAATAACTTTGAAGAAGTATATATTAGATAAAAGAGATAGCATGAATAACATAATGTTGAGAGGTATTGAAGGAGCTTTTACCACCAGAAAAGGTGAAAACTAAAAATAAAAAAAAATTAATTTATCAAAGTTGAAAATAAAATTTTGTTAATGATAAATAAAAACAACATGCATTTTAAAATATGAAAATTATAATTTTTTTAAACTTTTATAATGTAACTATTCGATTTTAATAAACAGCCCCAATTAAGATTATAACCAAAATAACCTTATGTTAGCCTAAAGATTTTGCTCATAGCTGGCAGGAGCCAAATCTCGCTTACATAATATTATTTCAGTTAAATCTTAATCTGGCCATTCTAAAAAATCAATCCAAATCAAGCTTTTTAACAACACTAGTAGCCATAGTGTTAAGTCAAGTAATAATAGCCATTATATTATGCATATATATTTAAATTTTCATAATTGTAACCTAAAAAAATGAGGTTATATCATTGGCAGCATTTTCTAAGGTTGACAAAGGTATGCCATATAATTTATTAATCTAAAAAATATTAAAATTATATTTAATTTAAAATACTTTTTGGCAAAAAAGTTGTCTAGTCATTTTTTCAGATGTAGATACATATATGATAACTTTATTTGGACCTAATGTTTTGAAACTTAAAAAGTTTTTTCCTTTACAAATTGAAATAAAAATGTGATCATGTTTTTAATATAAAACCTGGATTTAAATCAGAATACCAAATGTTATTAATACTTTTAATAATGGGTTTAGGTGACAACAAAGCATAATACCTATTATCTATAAAATAATATTTAAATATTAATTTTGTTGATCAGAATATCAACTTGTAATTATCTTTGTTTTATTCAGTTGTATAAAATTCAACTTATTAGAATTATCTTTTTCCATAGGTATATGTTTATCTGCTAATTTATGAACTTCTTTACTGAGCCAAGAGCAGATTTCATCCTTAATCCAAATATTAAACATTAACATGTTGTCATACTTTTTGTTCATCCTTTATTTTAAAATCAGAATCCTCATCTTCTTGTATAAACTTTATGTTAATTAGTATGACTTTACCTGAATTATCCTTAATATTAGCCATATATAAAAAAAAATTTCATTTATTTACTTGAAAAAATATACTTTTCATTCTGATTTTTTCAATAATATTTTGAATATCCAAGAGTTCCTGCCAAATGTAATATTAAACAGTTTATGACACCTGAGAAATATTGACATGATAAAATGCCGTATAAATATATAAAATAAATATTATAATCACATTATGTCCTTAGTTTTTAAACAATTTAGAGAAAAATGAATTACATGATGGCAACTCAACTCAACTTTACATTTCATTTTTTTTAGCTATTTGAACTTAATAGTTGATTACCAGCCCTATATGTTTCACCAATCATTTTTAGACAAAAAATCTTTATTGAAACATATACTTTATATAATAAACTCATGACTAAACTGCAATAGTTTTGATTAAATTAAGGAAAGCACCGATAGACTGACACAAACTTTAGGACTCAGAACCAGTTATCTACATTACAGAATATTCACTAGAATCATGCCCCTCTAAGAAAAAATCACCAAGAGTTATTTATATAATAATTATGAGAATGCATAAATAAAAATATTTAAAATAAATACAATGATCAATTCCTGCTTTTTTTTTGGTTTATAAGCATGTTTTTCTTTCACATATAACATAAGCTAGCTTGTTAATTTATACCTTTTCCTCAATGGCGAATTATTTCTAGATTTTTAACCCAGACTTAATGGCTTTTTCCGAATAATCTATGTCCTTCTTTTTCAATTTATCTGGCTCATATCTTTTTCAACTATAATATTGGATAGGCTCAATATGTTAATGTATTTAGACTTTTCCCTTTAAATAGTTTTATTTATTTCATATATGAACTCCTTATTTATAAACTTTTCACTATTATTGTTTTCTTCTCTATTACCGGAAAATTGAATTTATATGTTTTATATCCCCCTAACCAGTTCATAGGCGTCGCCAGAATTTTCCTAAGGGGGAGAGGGTGGAATTAAAAAATTACTGGGGGCTTCCCCCAGACCTCATTTTAGGCGGGTTTTCGGCCGGGTTACCTTAGTCTATATATAGTCATAAAATATCTTGACAGATAGGAGGTTAATTTTCATAAAAAAAATATGTCTGGAAAAAATATGTAATTTATTTTTATTAGTTTATATAAAATAATAAATTACTTGTATATACATTAATATAAAAGCATGGTAATTTATTCCAAACAAGTATAAGAAATTAATTTATAAAAATAAAGTAGACATATAGGTGATATTCATCAATTATATAGAATTAGTTATAAAATACTAGGTAAAATTCCTCTTTTAGAGACATATTTGACAGTAAGAGAATATATTACAGTTTATATTTCAACAAATTTTACTAATTAATGCTCTTGATAATAATAAATATATCAACAATTTGCATTTAATTATTTAACGCCATCTATTTTTTTTAAATAAAAAATGTATAAATAAATAATCTTCATATTATTTATCCCAGAATGTCTTTAAAAGATATTTTCTGATGTCTTTATCAATGTTTAATATTATGTAAAATATATTTCGTTGGTAAAAATTACTTGATTGTCATATGATAATTGATAAAATTAGATATATTGTAAATCTACGACATATAATATTCCACTGCTTGTATTGTGCTTTAATTTTTTTATATAATTTATGATTTAATTTTATCAATAGTTTTATAATTATATTTTACTTTAATAAGATAGATAAATTAAAATTAATCAATTTATAAAAAAATATATTTGTTATATTATATTATTTAGTAATTTTATGAATCTATTATTAATAATTATAATACATTTCACTTTTGTCTTAAAACTTATCTTTGGCTTATATTCCATTTCTTAAAAAATATTTTTGGTTCACTTTTTATATATAAATGCTTTTTTCCAAAAATGTAAAAATTATGATGAATAGTTTTATAAAAAAATATCAACTTTTACATTATTTCTTTCAAATTATTGTTTAAGATATATGCATACATTTTTGAGGGTCAGAGAGTAGGGGAGGACTAAGGGCGATATTTTTTATTAGCTTAAAATGATATTCACGAAAAGTGATAGCAATTTTCCCTTGCCCCCCCCCATGTCTACGCCTATGAATGAGTTACTTCTTGAATGCTACAGTGTTGTTTTTATATGGTGAATATTTGTATTTTACACCATCTAACAAAATCATTGAAAATAAATTGCCGCCAATTGTTTGCTTATTCTTTTAATCTATTTAATCATATAAAGCAGGGGTAGGCTAGGGTGATTGGCTAAAAGAAATATAAATTAGAGGTTTATAAATAAAAAATTTTTAATAAAATTTGCTATAAAATGTAATTAATATTTTTATTATATACTTATTCTAATATGATTACATTGCTTAACATCTACCAAATTTAATCTATGTCTAGATACAGTTTTATAAAAAGTGTCTATATATATAGTTACTATTTTAGAGGTATCGGTCTCTATTTTTAGATATATTTAGATATAGTTATATTTTATGTATTTTTTATATAAAAAATATATTATATTTGAATCAGATCGTTTAATAGTATGACAGAGTTTATTTTACTATAAAAACAAATCAGAATATTACGTTATATGTGATAAAAGCGTTTTCGCCTTCTGGTTGTGGATACAACAGAGCTACTAGGTTTTCCTCAAAATTCATCAAACTGGATATTTAATTTGGGGGGAAGAAAAATGAAGAGCCCTTCACACGTTTGTGGGCAAGCCGCACGTACTTGTACGAACAACAGTCGGATAACTGTTGCTTAAATGTCTATAGGCTCATAAAAGAAGATTTGGGCAAAACAAAAGTCTATACCCAAGAACTACAATATAATTTAACTACTTTAAGGGTGGGTGGTGGCTAATTTTAAATTTAAATACTTTAGTAAAAGCCTTAATGATACAAATAAATTAATAAGATTGAGAAATTAAAAATAAAAATAAATATTAGTGGTGTACAAGAGAAAATACACGAAAGTTTAGTAAAAACTATTAAACAAAAAGGAACTGACAATGAACAAGCTTTTTGGGAAAGTAAATTTATGTAAAAAGTAAATAAAGTAGTGTTCTAAAATAAAAAAAATTTTAAAAATTGGAATAAATAGTAAAAGAAAAGTATGGTGGTAATGGAATTTAAATAAAGAAATTAAAAAATAAATTATTATTAGGAATAAGCAAGGTTAATTAAATTAAAATATAAAGTAAGAAATAGTGGTTCTAATTAAATTTAAGAATTAATAAAAGCAAGTAATTTAAAAAAACAAAAAAAAAATTGATTAATATGTAATTAGTTTAATATGAGGGAAATTTAAAACTAAGGATAATAGAAAAATATGTAATTTATTTTTAATAGTTAATAAGAAATTTAAAAGAAGGTAGATTAAAGTGAGTAGTGAAATTATAATTATAAAAGGAAATACAAATTTAGGAATCTTATCTATTTTGAATCCATAGAATTACCACATAAATAATATAAAATAAGAATATATAGTAGTTACCATTTCATCTTGTTAATTTCTAATTCATTGAGAGGGTGCTCCACTTATATAATGATCAAATTAAACTTTCAATATGAAGTTGTGGATGTTTGCTCAAGTACCCCAAATGGGGTCTATATTTCGAATTAATTGATGCTGCATGTTTATAAATTATCCATTAATGGGTAATGTCCATCTTTAACATTTTGAATTTCATAGATATCCATAATTTTTAAAAAACTACTCTTGTTTGCAAGCAAAGATGACAACAATAAAATAAGTTAACTCTTATACGAGAAACCTGGTTTAATTATAGGTCCAGTTTCTAGCACCTGGTATTGATGTAATTAATATAAATAGATTATAGTCCAGTAATCAAGTTTATATCTGAAACATAAAAATTAGCCAAAATACTTAATAACCTTATTCCAAATTACCTTTCTTTGAAACTTTTGAGAGATATTTCCTCACCTCATCATAGTGTTGGTGCATAAAGGTTTGCTATTTTGACACATTACTTTTGGATCCATACTAACTTATCTTCATCAAATTATATCTCTTCATCAACTTCAATACATATTTTCATCGGAAAAATAGATCCCCCCATATTTATATTTCATTCAATCAGAAAATTTAAATTAAGCAGAGAATAACGACAACACGGCAAATTTTATATAATTATTCTATTTATGTGTAAAAAATATATATTATAATATATAGATCAATATTTCTAGACAATCTTTCTCTGAAAAGAAATCAAATCATTTAATATTAGATTTTTTTTGAGCACCCCTTAGATTATATAAATATTGATATAAGTTTTGACATAAGTTTTGACACTCATAAATTGTTGAATTAATTTTTTTTATATGAATGTCAGGATTATAAATTTAATGATTTTGCCTATATAAGGTTGTTATTCATTATATATAATCCACTTACCGTCATGTGCCACGATAGAATGAATTTAGTAAAGCTAAAATTGTCTTTACATATAAACGTATTGAAAAATATTTTAAGTGTGTTTTATTATTAAAATCTAAAAATAATTTATAATCATTTATTTATATATTTTGTGCATGAATTATTTAGTTTCGAGATTTTATCAATTTTAATTGTGTTTTTGAGATTTTTTTCTATATTTGGCTTAATAAAAAGGAATTGATTTGAACAATTAAGCAGTGATGCTTCCCCAATTTAATTTTCTCTCTTCGATTACCCTTTTATTTCAATAAAAATACACGGGTTGCGCCATGGCGCCGTTTAGGCTACTCTTTGATAATAATTACTCGAATTCCTTTCTTATTTATCTACCTTATATTTAACTTGAATAATGACTAATTTTAGGGAAAACCAACTTTTTGCGCTATAATGAGACTCAATCCAAGCCGTGCTATTAAACCCCCATTTTCTTTATTTATCTCTTGATTATATTCAACCTTGACCAAGGTCAAAACCCTGTCACTAAAATCGGGTCCCCAAGTCTTTGCCCGTAGAAATCCCGACGAAACGATTGATATAGACGCTCCTCCACCCCGTCGTCATGGGAGCCGGCCAACACAGCCCCGACTTTCAATTATTAAAATCTAACAATCTTTATTTTGATGATATATTTAAATATAGAAATCAGAACTCTTACGTTTTATTTATGTCGTATTCAAATAATATTCTAAATCTACAATCAATCTTTATACTTTTATAAATATCCTAATCTTAATTTTATTATTTAAGAGTGCTAATTTTTCTTTATTGCAAAGTAAACTTGAGTAATTTGTTAAAGAACAATTAAATTATTTAAGCAAGGTCAAATTCTTTCCAAAGGAAATAAAACATTATTTTTATATATATTAAGAGGTGCAATTTGTTAACTACAGATCTACTATATATTGTAGCCCGTAGTAATACTTAAACCAAGTTTGCTACAGAATCTCAATACTTGTTGTTTTTAACCTTGTTTTATTGTAAAAATACATAGACCAGACCAAAGATGTTTCACAATAACGACAATATTTTTTAATATATAATAAGTACATAGTATATTTTATTATTTATCTCTAAAAGAATTTAAGCACAAGAAAAACGTTTTTAAAAATACAAGGAGTATAAATTCTAGTACTTTTAGGCCACTTGCAAATAATTCTTAAGTAAAAATCCATAATAATTTGTCCTCAATCTTGTCTTTTAAGAGCACATTATATATTTTAATTAAAAAAATCATACATATCCAGTGTTTATTAATTAGAAAAAGAATTTTTAATTTACTAATACAAGGGGATCCGGAACATAGGTATTTTTGCTTTCCTGTTCCGGCCAAATAACATTTTATGTTCCATATTTTGTAAAGCGTTTCTAAAATATTTTATTTTTAATTAATATTTATTATACCAAATTTTGCACTATATAGTATTGCTATTAATAAGGATAAAATATTGTATCATATAAATTTATATCACTATATAATATTCTTTATTGCAATCATATAACCATTTAAACAAATAATAGTAATCATATATATTCTGATAACAACTTCATAATAATCAATACATAAAGTCCATAACACCAGCTATCATTCTAGAACTTTACCCCATCTGCAAAAACATGATCTGGATTGATAATTCATCCCTCCTCGTGTTCTGTAGCTAATCACTACAGATATTATATTCTTAGATACATATTCTCCATTGACTCTTCTGAAATAGATATTTTTAACCATCCAAAAATCATGCATATGATTGTAAAAGTTTGTGAAATTAAATATTTAATATTATAATATAATTGTAATAAATTTTAAAAAATAAAGGAAGAAACTAAGAACTTAATTTTTTTAAAAACTTCAAATACATGTAAATGAATTTCTTTAAAAAAAAATTAATACATAAAATACCTACTCCAGCATACTCTCTATTCAATCCAAATTAACATTATGCAAATATATTTGTGTTAATATTTTAGAAATATCTATTATTTATACTTTTATTTATATATTTGAAAGAAAATAGAACTGTTAGCCAAAACTTATCTTTAATTTCGTAAATAGTTAATTACATAAAATTAAATAATACAAAATATTTGCATATATCAGTAAATACTATCGTTATGGTGTAAACACATAGATTCTTTTAAAAATTGCCATCTAAATGTCAAAATAATGTCAATAGCTTTAAATTCTGATCACTGTAATTAATTTCGGGATGACATATGAAGAAAATCTCATGTAAACAATTTAAAATTATAACAAATATTTTTTCTAATAGATGAAGCAAAGAAAGATTATCTATCACAGCTCTTAGATGAATCTTCATCCGATATAACGGCTGTTCTGAGAATTAATGCTATAACAAAGTATGGATTAGTGAATGATGAAATAAGGAAAAGAGCATGGCCAAAGCTTTTAGACGCATCATATAGAGAAAACGATATTATTATAAGTAAATTGATCTGATCGCTTTTTATTTAACTTTTATATAGCAAATAGGAATGATTATGAAAATCATTTCTATTACAATCAAGTTGTTATGGACATTGAGAGAACATTGAAACGTTTTCCACCAGGTATATATAAAAATTACGTTTTCTAATATTAATGCTATTATTATGATATGCACTTTTATTACAGTCCTGGGACCCTTGGGTCTGCCTGCCATCAGACTAGGGCAGACCACATCTATTTTAAAAAAATTTAAATGGAAAATCAAATTTAGCTTTGTTCAAATATGAAAATTAGGTCCACACTGTCTAGTGTGTTTGTAATAAACTATTTTTTGAAAATTGTACGCACTTTTAAATTGGTCATTTTTTGTTTGCCCTTGAAGGAGTAATTGATTTTTTTACATAAATATTTTCACCTATTAACACTCATACACTTAGACACAGTAGTTAACATGGACCTGATCTTGTGAAGATTATAATGTCTAATTGTGCCCACCAGGATTGCTATCGAATTGTTGTTTTGTTTATAGGCAAATGAGCTCTAATCTTTTCCTTTATATTATGAAATTGGAGACTTAGGAAATTCCAGTATTTTAAGAAGCCCAATATTACTTACACTATTTTATTATAGACATGTAGAAGGTTATACCTAGAAAGGTGAACTCTTTAATATTTAAATTAAAGGACTTGTTGAGATTTTGCTGGAAAGCAAATAGATATGATTGATATTGGTCTATAAAATATTCTATGGGCATTCTTATTATAGTGTCTTTTAGAATTTCTTTTTCTATAATGCTTTTTTAAAAATAATATTATTACCATGTTTTCAATTGTCATTTCTATTTAATTTTGGTATTTCATCATAATTATCCTATTCCAGATTCCTTGATTCTAGCATTGATCATTTAAATGTATACCTCATATGAATCTTCACGGCAATAGATTTCATTGCATTTATTATAAAATAAATAGTTGCTGTAATTATATTTATTTTTAATGTGTTACTGAGTCAGGCGCATGGTTTTACAAAAATCTTCAAATAAAAATTTGAAGATTTTTTTCGCCCAAAATTTTGAGGAAAAAATCTTTGAAGATCAATTTTTTGCGAAGATTTTTTCGCTAAAAAAATTTTGAGCTTGCTCAAAGAAGATTTTTGAGCAAAATAAAAAATATTTTTTGTAAAAAAATCTTCTATAATTTTGAGAAAATATTTTGAGAATTTTATAATAAATAAAATCTTTTGTAAGGAAATCTTTATTAAAATATTTTTGAAATTTTGATCTTAAAATTTTTTGGTAAATTCTTTAAAAATAAAATTTTTGATATATATTTTTTTTTATTTTATTATGTTAATGAAAATATTTTTTTTGAATAGGTTGTAAATGTGAGAATTGGTCATAATACCGACTGCATTTTTTTTAATATTTGGAATAAGTAATAATGATTATTTTAAAAATGTAATGTCATAATTTTAATGTTTTATATTTAGTGTAAACTATAAAAGTGACAATTGTCATAATACTCATCTCAGAACCTTTAAAAATAATTATAATTTAAAAAGGCTAGTTGAGCATGTTTTGAGATGGTTTCAGTGATTGTAAAGCATATAAAGGTGATAATTGTCATAATACTTATTTCACATATGTTTTAATTGGAAATAGAGAAAAATGATTATTTCAACATGAATTAATATAATGTGTAAACTATAAAAGTGACAATTGTCATAATATTCATAACAGAACCTATAAAAATAATTTTATTTTTAGGTATTAAATAGGCGAGAAAAAATTTTTTGAGCATGTTTCGAGATGGTTTTAATGATTGTAAAAATTGTCACAATCGTTATTTTTGAACTTTTTTAAAGCAAGTAGATAAAAATTTATTAAATATAAAATTAAATGTGGATGTACCATAGAGCAGTGACAATTGTCATAATCGTTATTTTTGAACTTTTTTGAATTTTTTTGAAGCAACAGAGTAAAATAATAAATTGTAAACATGTTAAATTGAAATTTAAATGTGGATGTACCATAGAAAAGTGACAATTGTCATAATCGTTATTTTTAATCTTTTTTGAATTTTTTTGAAGCAAAAGGGTAAAATTATATATTGTAAACATGTTAAATAAAAATTTCAGTGAAGATGTACCATAGAAATGTGACAATTATCATAATTGTTATCTTTGAACTTTTTTGAATTTTTTTAAAGCAAATAGGTAAAAATATATATTGTAAACCTGTTAAATTAAAATATCAGTGAATATGTACCATAGAAAAGTGACAATTGTCATAATCGTTATTTTTAATCTTTTTTCATTTTTTTTGAAGAAATTATATATTGTAAACTTATTAAATTAAAATTTCATTGAAGATCTACCATAGAAAAGTGAAAATTGTCTTAATTGTCATTTTTAATCCCTTTTAAATTTTTTTGAACTTACAGGGTAAAATAATAAATTGTAAACTTTTTAAATTTAAATGTGGATGTACTATAGATAAGTGACAATTGTCATAATGGCCATTTTTAATCTTTTTTGAATTTTTTTGAAGCAAAAGGGTAAAATAATAAATTATAAACATCATTAATTAAAATTTAAATGAGGATGTACCATAGAAATGTGACAATTGTCATAAACGTTTATTTTAATCTTTTTTGAATTTTTTTTAAGCAAAAGGGTAAAATTATATATTGTAAACATGTTAAATTAAAATTTCAGTGGAGATCTACCATAGAAAAGTGACAATTATCATTTTTAATTTTTTATTTAATTTTTTTGAACTTAAAGGGTAAAATAATAAATTGTACACATGTTAAATTAAAATTTCAGTGAATATGTACCATAGATAAGTGACATATCTAATTCTCAACTCCCTTTTGAAATTATTTTAATATATATATTTTGAAATTATCACATTACTCATAGTCATATCCATTATTTTTAAATTAGGTTAATATGATCTTGTTGGGAAACACTTAAACCTCTGGGCAGATGATAATAGTATCATATATGTTAAATTTTTAGAGCCAACCGGAACGGAGTTGAACTAGAAAGATGCATCAATATAAACATGATATTTTTGGGAACAACAAATTTAAAAATATTTTTTCTTTAATCTTTTAAATCAATTTTAGATCTTAGAAACTACTATTTGGATATATCTAGTAAAATACGCCCCCCTCTGATTATACTATTCATACAAAAAATCTAAATCAGTTATATATATGAATTTTTATTTATTAAAATTTCAATGTAAACAATAACTTTATAATGAAATAGGTTATATAAATAATTATTTAAAATATCACATTATTTAACAATGTACGATTAAGCTATATAATTAAAATATCATCAAGTATATCTTTGTCTAATCTTGTCCTTAGAGAGGTTACAGTTAGTGCCAATGCACTAAATGCTCTCTCAACTGAGATTTGGGTGCAAGGAGCAGCAAGAATTATTTGAGATAATTTAAATAATTCTGCATCTTGGTGTTTTTTTGAAACCCAATATTGCAAAATATCTTGTGAGGATGGCAATCTTTTGTTGTATAATAACGATTTTATTTTTAGCTTGATATCGCTATTACATAATTCATAAAATATAGGTCCCTTCTTGCAATCACGCTCAATGTAAAGGTCAAGTTTTGTTTTTTTATAATCACTAGTGGAAGGCATAACTAGAGTTGTATTTTCTTCATGAGGGTCAATAGCTTGCAATTGTTTCCAAGTTGCAAATATATGTTCCTAAAATAAAAAGATGTATATTATAAATTTATTAATTTACCCTGGCCAATATTTTATCTTCTTCCAAAGGATATTTTCCATTTTCATAATGGAATCTATGATCCATATATATCGCACTACGAAATGCGTCATTTTGAAAAAGATAGCTTTCTCTAATGTTTAAACATTCCAACATACTTTTAGATAAATTATTATCCATTTCCTCCAGCTCCATTTTGCATTCTAGCCATGAAGCAAAAAAATCACCTATTACAATATTACTTTTTTGTAATTTCATTGTGAATTTGTATAATGGGAAAAGGACTGATGTACCTAATAGGATAATATCAGAAGAATCGATTAAAAAATGCTCCTTTAGAATATCTTTGAGATTTTTTTTATTTTGCATTATATATAAAAAAAAAATTTTGTAATTTTTAATTTTAACTTTCTTGTTTTTTCCTTTTATTTTTATTTTCACTTGTTTATTATATTTTGAAATAAAAAATCAGGAATTAATGTTATATAAAATAAAAAAAATGAATAAAATAATTGTTTTATTGAGGCCAAATAAAACCCCCATTTATAAATTTGGATGGGATACATTTATTTAATGTTTTTTTTTTTATATTTATAAAAAATCAAATGTTAAATGAAGATATAAAAAATGCATTTTCTTTTCTTTTCGTTTTTCCCATTGTCTCTCTCTCTCCCTCCTTTATTTATTTTTATTTAATGTTTTGCCTTATGAATTAAAGAAAATAAAAATCTCAAAAAAATGAAATTTGCTGGTGCCAGCGAGGCGGCACCAGATTGAAAAAAAGTATTATATAATTTTTTTTTATAAAATTGAATTCAAATTTTTTTTTAATTTTCATTGCTGTAATGGTACCCAAAACCGATACGTTTTCCCCCTTGAAGGAGGGAGTTTGACGGATGGCCTCTTATTTTGTTTATGGCTATTTATATTTTTTCCTGACTCCAATTGCTATATTTCTTTTGTGGTTTATGATAGGTATCAGAGTTTATTGTAGAAAAATTTATTTGATTGGGTTAAGAATTATTTGTTATACCAAATAAAACTGAATTTGAAATATTTTGAGAATAAGATGGTTCTTCCTGTGAGGAAAAATCTAAAAGATTATATATAATAAACAATATAATGTTAATTGGTACCAACATGTAGATGTAGAAAGATTTAAGAGACCTGGAGATAGTGACTATTTTACTAATTTTGTAATTTTTAATATCTTAAAAAATGGGAATTTTATTTCCTGGGAATTATATTCATAGATTCTTTTTAATGTTTACCTAATAGATTTTAAATAATAAACTAAAGTTAAAATTTTTTAGCCCGCTAATTGTTAAAATTTTGTAACCGATTCGCTCGCACTTTTTAAAAT